TCCTGCTGCTTAAAAGCTCCGTCCTTCCTCAAGACAGTATTTTACTTCTTCTTTCCATTCGTCTCTCGTTCGCGTAATATCTACTGTTTCAAGCGCTGGCATTTACTTGTCAAGTTCGAGAGAAGCAAAAGAAAAAAGAAAGGAAGCAAGCAAGCAAATATACGGATATATTTCTCTGCGTATTTGAGCGCCCTTTACAATTTGCTTGCTGGCTTGAGGGAATTGACTGCGTTTCAGCCAACGGGCACAAAAGATAAACCTAAAAGGCATAAAGGCAATCGAAGCAAACGTTTTCGAACCAAAACCTGGTTTATGTGTGCAAATGTTTCAAAAGTTACACACAGCACCATAGCTCCAGGAATTCATAACGTTGACTGTCAGATTGCTCTGTCGCTTCCCTGAGGTTTTCTCGAAGTCCTCCATTCGGTTTCCCATCATCTTAAGTTGAATTTGTCCTGTGGCCTTGAGTAGACATGACAACTCCAAATCAGTTTGCTTGTGGGTTATCACTGTCGCTATTTCGCTATCAAATTAAATTCCCTGGCTTTGTGCAACTCCATCTGCATTCAGTTAGTCCAAAAGAGAATCATACTGACACATTCTAGACCGCACACAAAAGGGTATTGCTATTGTGGATGCATCTCCAGTTTATGAGCCACTGCATGGGTTTTCGAGGTATGCAAGGCACAACATTTGGTGGAAGCTGTATATTGGGTGCTAATTGGGTTCCCGCAGACCAACAGGTAACTTGCGCTGCTGCACTTACTCTCCATGTGGCCGGTATTTTGCCTGGGCGGCTCCGGAAGGGTATGTCCTTACGTTTCCTTGCTCCTGTTTTACCTATCCGTTTTGCATGTGACATTTTTTGAAACGGTATTTCCTACAGTGTTGTGGTTGTGGATCCCTCTGTTGGTCACATAATTACTACGCTCCCTGCCGAGAATGTCTATGAATTGGGGTTCTCACCTCTTGGATCATACATCATCACATGGCAACGACCTTCGAAAGACGAGAACGGTGACGCAGTCAAAAACTTGAAGGTTTGGAAGGTTGTTCCGGGCCCGCCCGACGATGACAGCAGCAGCACCCAAGAGCATACCAGTATTGGCAGCTTTGTGCAGAAATCCCAGACTGGCTGGAATCTGCAATATACGCCTGATGAGAAGTTCTGCGCTCGAGTTGTGACTAATGAAGTTCAATTTTATGAGAGCGGGCAGCTCGGGAAGGTGTGGAATAAGCTGCGGGTTGAAGGAGTGGTGGACTTTGCTCTATCCCCTGGAAAGAGTAACTCAATTGCAGTGTTCATCCCAGAGCGTAAGGTTAGCTTAACCCCCAATTGTTCCACTTTTATGTTTTGCATTCTTCTAACTAGTTACACTATTCGTAATCTATAGGGTATGCCAGCGTCAGTCAAGGTTTTCAATGTACCGCAATTCAACTCTCCTGTTTCGCAGAAGAACTTTTTCAAGGGCGATAAGGTTCAGTTGAAGTGGAACAACACTGGAACGTCTGTTATAGTTCTTGCACAGACTGACGTCGACAAAACCGGGAAAAGCTACTACGGGGAAACGACTCTTTACCTCCTGAGTGCTAGCGGAGGATTCGATTCGAGAATCGATCTGGGTAAGAAGATTACGTAGAATCCACTCTACAAAGAGCTCTACATCCTTGCTAACTCTTCAACCTATAGACAAGGAAGGCCCTATCCATGATGTCACATGGTCTCCGAACTCGAAAGAATTTGGAGTTGTCTATGGATACATGCCCGCAAAAACTACTATCTTCAATACTCGCGCTGTTGCAACGCATTCGTTTGCCCTCGCGCCTCGTAATACCATTATTTTCTCCCCTAACGGGAGATTTGTGATCGTTGCTGGTTTTGGTAATCTTGCGGGCCAAATGGACATTTATGATTTGCATAAAGATTACAACAAAGTAACAACCATCGAGGCGTCTAATGCTAGTGTGTGCGAGTGGAGTCCCGACGAGAAGTTCATTTTGACTGCCACTACGAGTCCAAGACTCAGAGTCGATAATGGAGTTCGCATCTGGCATGTGGGAGGTGGATTGATGTACAACGAGGATTTGACGGAGTTGTACCAAGTGTGCTGGAGGCCCCTGTCTTCAACCTTTCACCCACCGGAAAACCCATTCCATCCAATGCCCACTCCGCAACCTTCTGCGCTCGAGTATCTAGCAACTAAGAAAGCGCCTTCAAAGCCATCCGGGGCATATCGACCACCCGGTGCGCGTGGGCAAACCACCCCACTGGCCTTCAAACGGGAAGATGAAGGCGGGGAAAAGTTTGTCAGAGATGGATCATCATCTTCTGTCGGAGGCAACAGCCTAAATGGGTTTGGGAAACCTAGACGGCGCGTCGTTCCAGGCGCAGAGTTGGCTGGGGAGTACCTTCCACCTGGCGCTGCACCCGGAGGCGGGGTAGTACTCCCTCCTGGAGCTGATGGAGATGAAAAAATCTCAAAGGCTGCAGCAAAGAATAAGAAAAAACGTGAAGCAAAGAAAGCAAAAGAAATGGCGGAGAAGTCTGGTAATCTGACAGTTGACGCTGCGGCGGATTCAACTGTTCCCAACGGTCCTAGCGCCGACCGTCGGGATCGGAGAGCCCACTCTCGCAGCCGTTCTGGAGGAAATAATGTTTCCCACACACTTGATCCCAACAGCTACAGCCTCCAGAATCGCGATCGAAGCCGCAGCACTCACCGCAGACAGCGTAGCGATCATCAAACTCCCTCCAACGCGCCTCCAACTGGCTCTGCTAGCCAAAATCGCTCCAATGTTAACCCCAGTGTCGCAGCCAACGGCACAGCAGCAACCACAGCAGCAGCAGCAGCAACAGGAGCAGCTCCCCCGCCGGATGTAACAGTCACCTCACCGGTGACTCCTGGAGGCGGCACTGCCCAGGAGAAAAAGATCCGCAGCCTGTTGAAGAAGATCCGTGCGATTGATGAACTGAAGATGCGTGTAGCGAGTGGGGAGAAGCTAGAGGATACGCAACTAAAGAAAATTCGGACTGAGGACGAGGTACGGAAGGAGTTAGAAGCCTTGGGACGGACTGGTTAGAATTAGACAATCACTGATTTTTGGTGAAAAAGATGTCGATATGGATGCTTGCTTGAGAGAAATTTTGGACAGCTAGCTCTTCTTTTTTGCTTTGTTTGATTATAGCCCCTGTCTCCTTTTGGTGTACCTTGAAATCTGTTTCTAGACCCATGGCGTTTGGAATCCTTCCATCCGAGAAAGATATAGAACTGTCATGAATAGGACTAGAAACACGGAAACATTCAACATACATAGGTGTTACCTGCAAGCACTATAGTTTTTTTTACGATTCTAGTCGAGTTCGTGAAGCAGTTAGTTTTTATGGCTTAATTGAGTCTTCTTGCTAATTTGCATGCATTCGAGTCACAGTGTTTAAACGCATTCCCTGGACATTGGGAATGGAAACTAATGAGTGAAATCGATCTTCTCGGTGACATACAAATGAGGGTAAACTCGAGATGGACGGGGGACTTTGGCTTCGAAATGAATTAATTGGATGTGAATTTTGTTGTGCGGACAGAGCTTCAAACCCCGGAAGCCATTCCTTATCACCATCTTCTAATAAATGATCTCTAAAACCAATTTGCAGACAGGATACTGAGCAACTACGTACGGTCTTGTCGATATGGTGTCATGGCTTCATAGACCAGCAAGCTCTCTGGTGTTCCCGCAAAAGCCATCCAGCCATGCGTAACCAGTAGTTATCCTCACCCAACAAGACAAGCGGAAGTGAGTGCAATTCCCGTCAGATGAACATGGAGCAACGTCCTTCTCCTCATTTCGAGTTGAATCAGGGCTGTCTCCGTTGAGACGTCAAAAGTAGACAACCGCATCGTAGGTCCGGGACAACCAACGATTTCCGACCAGAGCGTTAACTAACCCCAACGCGGCAAAATGAATCAGGGTTAGGACTGAAGATCCCAACCAATCTGAAGCACCAGTGCCAACGTCCTGCAGCATACATGAAACGGATTGGCAAATGTGAAGTTTCAGCCATCATCGGGGGCAAGAATTCAAGGCGCAGGTTGCTTTTAGCGGCGGTTAAAACCCTTTCGATCCTGACCTGACGCCTGGAGATCTAATCCCCCCATTTTTTCTCTGGGTGTATTGGAAGGCTGTTAAATGACCACTTGGTGTGCAAGCTCCGCTCCAGCTTTTATATCTTTGAGTGACGAGTCATCGGCTCTCAACACTGCGCTGCCTGGAAACCTCCTTCTTCAACCTCACTGGTTTTATCCTGCCAGGTGTTCGGCCTGTCGGCATGTACGAAGCTATGTTTCATTTTGTCACTTCAGGGGGTGCCTACGGGGAGCAGAGAACAACTCCGTATGCTGATTGATGGAACCCGCATCCGTGTCTGCCATGCGAAGGACAAGAGGAAATCCAGGTCCAGCCTTGGTGGTAACCAACTAACGAGTTATTTATTTAGCCCAGGAGTCAAGCAACCCTTTACCTAAATATCAAACACTGGCCCAGGACCTCCTGACCCCCAGTGGCTGTCTCTGGCAGCTGCCCAGAGCCGGCCCATTCTTAACTACAGTTGCGCGGGCCCGTCGCGATAAATATTTGATACCTCGCCTGTCACAGCCCTCCCTGTCGTCGTCGTCGTCGTCGTCGTCGTCGTCGTCGTTCTCTCTGATGCTTTGGCGCTTCATGACTCCTCCTGCTACGCCGCCCGCCAGAGTATTCCGGCAGTCCGTGAGCAGTTCATGGTCAATCATCCCGGCATTTCCTTTCTCTTCCTTCTTGGATGCTCTCCGTCTTGTTGCAGCACTCCTCTAGTTACTCCCCTCTCATCAGTGGCCTTTTCATTCCTGGTCGTGTTTGCTGGCAGCACGACCATACGTTGGAACACCTAGGATATAGAAATTGTCCAAGCCATGTTGATGATATATTTATATTTTGTTCTTTTTACGTCTTCTCTTTAATAATTTGTGTCTCACCAAAAAGGATCCCTTCTCCTTCTCCTCCTCCTTCTTCTTGCATCACCTACACAAACTGAACTGTAATTCTCCCTCCTTCGAGTTTTTGAGAACAAATCTCGATAGACACTGTTAATGTACGGTTATCATCTCTAACTCTGCGACTGACGGAAATATATGTACGCAATTTTTGGCTGTTGAACATCACTATCAACCGAGTGTGGCATTCCTTGATTCCAAACACCTTGTCGCGAGTCCTTGCGGTTGTGCTGCTGCGCTGTTATTCGATATTGTCTGTCCAACGTTTTCTATCTGGTTGGCTGAAGGGTATTCAACCGATATCCATAGAACTTGGCGATGGGCAGCGAAAAAAGTTCATGGAGCGGCCAAACAGAACGGGCACGATGGCCGCCTTTGACGAGGATGTTGATGTCAGGCGAAATGAGCGAGGAGCCGCCACGGGATTTGACCATGAAGGAGAAATTTGATCGATGGTATGTTCTACTGAAGTTTCTGCGGGAGATTTGTAGGAAGAAGAGTTAGTAGGTTTACCTAAAGCATCTGGCCAGGCCACTGACTGGTGGGATTTCTACGTAGGATGGTCAATGAGGGTTGGAGAAGACTGTGGGTTTATAACATCCTTTCTCTTACAAGCAAATTTTAAAGAGTGGTTAGAGATGCTAATTTTGATTCATCAGATTCGTTTTAATGTTCATTGTCGCTCATTTTATGATTTTTGCATTCGGGTTTCTAAACTACCAGTTGAAGGTGTGCAAATTATCCATCCCCCCTTGTGATACAACATAATACTCCTCATAGCTCTAAATTTTTTATTCTAGGACAACCTCAACACAGCACGAGGAATCTTTGGCCTCACATTTGCTATTGCTAGATCCTCGGCTCTAGTTTTACATTTCGACGTTGCCCTGATTCTCTTGCGTGCGTACACTTTCTTCCCCGAGATTGCCCCAGTTGAACCGGCCCTGACCAAGATATAGCTGTTTGTCGAACGTTCATATCGCTGGCTAGGCAAACACCCCTGAATGGTATCATCCAATTTGGTCCGTGAACCATCCTTTCTGCCTTTCTGCCCCTTAGACTTGATATCCTCTGACGTGGGTAACAGATAAAAATATCACTTTTCACAAACGTGCGCCGATTCTCAATCTTGAAGCAAACGTTTCTTACTCATTTTTCAAACACTGACTCCATTTTCAGTCGTGGGCTGGTCCATCTTCTTCTTCTCCTGGGTCCATACTATCGCCCATTGGAACAACCTCGCCCAGCTAGCCGCCAAACAAAAGCTGGGGCTCAAGGGTTTCCTCCTGGCCAACTTCGCCACTGGGCCCGGCTGGTCTGGTTACGTTATGCTCATTGCTCTGACAGCCATGGTTTTCACCTCAATGGAGAAGCCACGTCGAGCAAATTACGAACGATTCTGGTACACCCACCATCTGTTCGTGCTCTTCTTTGTTTTCTGGGCCGTGCATGGCGCATTTTGCATGATCAAACCGGATTTCCCCCCATTTTGCAATGGAATAGGCGTCTTCTGGCTCTATTGGATGTACGGGGGCGCGATCTATCTCGTGGAGCGTCTCTTGCGGGAAGCCCGTGGCCGCCACAAGACGTATATCTCGAAGGTCGTGCAGCATCCAAGTAATGTTTGTGAAATTCAAATCAAGAAAGAGAACACAAAAACCAGGGCAGGGCAGGTACATAGATAGCTTACCATTAAACCCACTCTATTCATTATGTCGCTAACCCATGCTGTTTTAAATAGTATATTTTCTTATGTTGCCCTGCAGTGTCAGTCTGGCAATATCACCCGTTCACTCTAACCAGTGCCCCTGAAGAAGACTATATCTCTGTCCATATTCGCTGTGTCGGCAATTTCACTAAAGCTCTCGCTAAATCTTTAGGGTGTGATTTTGAGAATAAGGGCGGAGCAAAGTCGAAACCAGGCACCTCTGCGGTTGTTGGCGTTGACAAGCGAACAGCTGATGACGACGTGGATCCCAAAATTCGCCGGATTCTGCCTAGAGTGTACATTGACGGCCCATTCGGAAGCGCGTCTGAAGACGTGTTCAAGTATGAGGTTGCTCTTCTCGTGGGGGCTGGTATCGGCGTTACCCCTTTTGCCTCGATCCTGAAGAGCATTTGGTACCGCATGAACTATCCGCAGAAAAAGACGAGACTGCGGAAGGTATATTTCTTCTGGGTGTGTCGAGATTTTGGCTCTTTTGAGTGGTTCCGCTCTCTACTTCTGGCTATCGAAGCGCAGGATAGGGCAAACCATATTGAGATCCATACTGTATGTGAACCTCTCCACCCCATCACATCAGCTAATGATATCGACATTCTAACTGCAACCCAAACCCCACTACAGTATCTCACCGCCCAAATCAAATCTGACGATGCCACCAATATTATGATAAACGATGCCAATGCAGACCAAGACGCCATCACCGGCCTGCGGGCCCCGACAAACTTTGGCCGCCCAAACTGGGATATGGTCTTCCGATCGATTCGCAAGATCCATGCTCCGGCCGAAGCGGGAGTGTTCTTCTGCGGGCCTAAACCTCTAGGAAGCACACTGCATGTTAAATGCAACATGTATTCTGAGCCTGGTTTCAACTTTGTGTGGGGGAAGGAGAACTTTTGATGTCGAATTAAACACATGCCGACTGATCAGCTATCGTTCGGGCCTATATCAACAAATACGTCCAGCTTTCTTTTCTGTCTTTGTTTCACCCTTCACTTTACTTTATCTTCTATATTTCATTTTTCGTATATTTCTTGTCATTTTCCTCTAGTTCAGTTTATATGGACAGTGGCGGAGTGAATTTTTCCCTTCCGTATTTTTTGTAGCCATTTATCTAGTTGGAGATGTGGGAAGAATGTGGACACGGTAGAAAGAGGTTGTGCGTGGTGAGATGTTTCTTCCTGTATATCTCTATCTGTAGAAATCCGTCTCGATGCTGTTTCTGATAGCTGCGAAATGCATTAAAGGTTTCCATTTTTGGAATACTATAAGCTACGATAGTACCACGATCCATTGCGTGTAGCATTCAATTAAATATGCCTCTTTGACTGTGAAGAAAGGCGTGGTCTACTTTTGGCGAGTTCTGACACAAACGTACCAACACCGTATGTGATCATAGCAAAAAAATCAACCGATTCTCTATCTAGTGTACACTGTCTAAAGAGAATAAAACAAGAAATATAGATACCAAAAAAATACACGACAAGTTGACTAAAACGTGTAGAGTCATCATTAGCTGTCATACGATATCATGAACTCCGGCGCTTAAATCGCTCCCGATGTCCTTCCTTGCTTTCAAAAATCTATTCTGTTCGTCTTAGTCGGGTGGACGGACGACCCGGGGCGTCGTAGGGACATCCGCAGACCTCGTGTGAGGCTCCTCAGGATTCTGCTTTCCAGCATCATCATCACCACCAGGAGCTCCACTTGTACTATCCCTTTGATTATTCTCATCAACTCCCTGCGACTGCCCATCCCTCGAACACGACGACCTGAACATAAATTGCTTCCCTTCCTCGCCCTGTTCGCTAAGCCACCTGAAATCCTCCTCTTCGACCAGGATACCACTACTCCTGGTGCCACTGCCATTGCTATTCCGTTGATTATGACCGCGGGAACCCCTTCGTATAACCCGTTCCTCATCATCATCATCAGCAGCAGCAGTGCGCGTGGAGGGCACAGCCAACCGAAACATGGAATCCTCAACTTGAAAGGCTTCCTCGACGGCTGGAGTTGCAGGCAGCGTCAACATTTCAGTTGCTTCCACGATGCCGTCCGCGACAACATTTGCCTCTCTAGCGTGGACGTGGACGTCACCATCCTCCTCGGGATCGTAGCAACCTTCACCAGCTTCAAGAGACGATGCGGACACCTGGTCAGCTGGCAGGCTGGCAGCAATCTGCCCTGTCCAACGACTGATTAAATAGCGTTTAATCTTCGAGACAACACCCAGGCTATCAACACCACTATCGCCTGTGTTCCGCGGAACATGGATGGTTTTCTCAGGGGCACTCCAGCGTTTGATGAGAGACCATTTGAGGCGTGCGAGGCGGCCTTTGGGAAAGATGTAGTTCCGGGGCCCCGTAAGGGACCACGATTGGGAATTTTCGGTGGCCAGGTCATGGAAGAAGTTCTCGTAGACACCCCGCTGGTAGGGAGTTTGGCGCCCGCGGGCCATGAGGTGCTTGACGAAGTACCAGCCGATGAGCACGCACAGCATGAATGGTACGCTGGATATAAAATACCATTTTATGCTTGGATTGTCAGCGAAGGTGTCGACATTCATCCCTAGTGTAAAGCAGAAGATGTTAGACTTGAAAAGATCGGCCACGGGAATGTCTGGGGCCACAAATTACCGAAAAAGCCAACGATAAAAGTCAGGGGCAGGAAAATGAATGTTATCCAGCTCAACCGCCACACTAGATGTCGGGTCCTTAGCAAAGAGCAGACTCCAGCGGGATGAAAGGAAAGGAACACTTACTGCTGGTACCAAGTTGGATGCTATGTCTGCTATCACGGATTGAAACGCTCTGGTACAGCAACGAAATCAACGACTTCGTCGGCTTGACCAAGTCTTCCGTAACCAACGTGCCCAACCTGTCGTAATCTCCCGGGATACTGTCCAGCCATGTATCATCCGTCTCCATATCATCTGTAGAAACCTATTAGCACTGGGTATACTCAAAGCCACAACTACCAACCTCCCCAACAACAGCAACAACAAAAAGCACCAGATGGCAACCTACCCACCAGCTCCCCCAGTCTTGTCCTCATCTCCTTCACAACATCAATATGTATGAACAGCAACTTCTCCACTTTCAACCAGATATTCGAGTTCGTCCACAACTCCGGCGCCCGCGTCTCGTCTGCGGGCTGCTCGTAAACCTTATCTTCCAAAATACTAACGTGGTCATAAGCCAGGTCCAAAAAGGCATCCCACTCCATCACCACCGCCTTGAAAACGTCCTCCAAGATAATCCTGGAGCACTGAAACGCGAGGTGCTCATCCGTATCTACGAGGTCTCGGGACTCAAACGCGAGAAAGAATGGCAGCCGGCGCCAGCGAGACTCCCAGAGACGACGGGCAGCGATCAACGTGTCCTCGATGCTGTTGGAGTGAGAGTTGTCGAAAATGAGGATGGCGTTGCCGTTGTCGAGAGTGTTGAGGCGAGGGATGTACTCATGCTTCGTCAGGTGGCTCTTGACGCTCTCGGACTTGGGGGGTTCGCTGATGTAGGGATTCTTGATATCCGGATCCAACGGCACATCGACGGCAACCTGCTTGTGCTGAACGTAGCAGCCGACTCGCTGTACATAGACATCATAGCCGAATATAGGATTATCTGGGGTAGCGTCAGCAAGCATGTTTCCCATCCCCATCAACGTCTGCTTGTTGCTCTCTCATATATCGCTACATAATGCACAAACCGGGGGTGGGAGGCCCTACCATCTTCGTCAAAGCAATTCAGCTCCATCATCTTCAAGCTATCATCCTCCTCATGCTGAACCCTCGACGCGCCGACCACCGGATCACGCACGGTATACTGTTTGAAATAATCCAATCCAAAAGAGGTCTTGCTAATCCCGCGCCACGGATCATATTGGACTTTCCATGTCTTCCCGCTGAGAAAAGGCTTGCCTCCACGCCGTTCAGGTCGCTTATGACGGACATAGCGACCAAAGTCAGTGCCAACAAGGTCATCTCGGTTGTCGATGTTGAACTTGCGTAGAAGATATTTGGTGGCCCAACTTGCGTTCTGGATATGGAAAACACGCAGCACTGCCTCATCATTTCGTTCCGGATTAGTGTAAACCTTTCGCAGCTGCTCGAGGTCATAGATTTCCTGCGCGGCTACTTTCCGCATGCCGACTTTACAGTCATCTAATCCTCGAAAAAGCAGTCAATTAGCTAATGGGCTCCTCTTCTTTGTTCCCCACGGTCCGCTCAAATCCTACCCACCCTGCTTGACGAAATCGATTATTAGGACCCGACCGCTATAAAGGTCTATTTCAGAGTATTCTTTATGCCATTTGGGACCCAAGTCTTGTTTCCGCGGGTGGAGAGCTGGAAATGTTGCAAATCAAAATAAGCTTTATATCCGTCTGATGAAAAATAGCTAGCTATTTATGTATCATACTTCTAGCTTTCTTATTACGTTTGGGAACAGTCGGTAGTTCCTCTGCAACCCGTGGAGACGGAGCTGGAGATCGCTGACCAAAATATTCTGCTCCTCCAGAAAATAATGAAAGACGTTAGCAAAATCCTATATATTGTGGTTGGAAGCTTGTTGTTTTCCTTGGAGAGAGACGCACCATGGCCTCCTGCAAGGTTCCTAGGGTCCAGGCGGGGTGGGAGAGGCCTCGCGGTGGTCGGCGCCGCAGTTGATGAGGTCGTCGGGTATGTGGAGTCTCCCATACCGGAAATATGTGCGTTCAAACATTAATTTCAGTGGACATACAGCACCAGGAGGGTGAAGATGGAAGGCCGTCCAATGCATACAATCAACAATCTAATCGCACAAGCGGAAAGTGAGGGTGGATATATTTTTGAAAAGACCCCATTTATTTATAAACCCAACAGATGGCGCTTAGGCAGACACCGCGTGTAGGCTAATATGATTTAGGGTCAACGGCACTATCCATCGTCGTTTTTTATTTCAAAACGACTTGAATGGATAACTAATTGGTGTTCCGCATTCAAAATAATGTCCAGCAGGTGCTCAGCAGGTTGATTGTTCTCTAAGCGCATGACGAGTCAGCAAGCAGCTGGTGAGCCGTAAGGCGGATCAAGGGTCCCCCGGTCATCTGGACACTGGATCTGTGACCTGGGATTGCAGCTGAATTATACCCGGAATTATCATCCAAGGGTATGAATAACCAACGGACGAGAGAGACTAGGGTAGGGAATGTATTTCTAGGGTTTGAGGTCCGACGAGTTATTGACTACAGGTCAGAACCGGTTGATTTTCAGAACCAGAGCCAGAGCCAGAGCCAGAGCCAGAGCTGGAGAACCAAAATTGCGCCTGTTTAACTGACGAGAGAAATCATTCATTGTCTGAAAAGTCAGTTAATTATTCGTCAGTTTAAGCTGCTCGGCTCTGCAAACTTACCGTAGGTTTTACTGTTTTTCAACTTACCACTGGATTTGAAGGGGAAATTTCTTGTGTTTCTAATTTTTCTCATGATTCTCATGCACTTGCAAACTGATTTCATAATTTCAGAGGATGAGATCTATATTGGTGAGCTGGGTTGGGGTGGTGTGATGTGGTGGGAATCCTGCGGGGATTTCCCCGTGGGACGAGCGGATTCTGGTCGAAAACACTGTTGATCGGTTGGGAGGGGTAGAGAATTTGGATCGCAGTGACAATCTGGCAGATTTTCCTGTTAGCAAGCATGCGAATATGAGGAGGAAGTTTCAGTAGGTTAAGTGTCCTACATTATCTGAGAATTACGCTATATCGCAATTTCATCCAGGCTCTTGGGGGATAACTATACGATATGAACTGATGAAGCCACGAGTCAGTAGGTGCCATCTACCAGATTGCGAACATTTTCTCTATGTACTTAAAATAGAAATTAGTCCAAAGTCAGCTTTGCATTTGTAAAAAGGAGCTGGTGGAGGGGCCGTTTGACCAACAGAGCATTGTTTAATCCCCCGCCAGTTGCTGTTGCTATACAGACAGCTCAGGGCAATGTCCGCCAGTGGAATACGGAGAGAAACATATAACTGTCGACCTGAGAGAGGGCTGCTCTCATGATATGATATCAGGATGATGCATATGTCTGCACGTCAAGGAGCCTCTACCCTTTTTTCTGCGGCCACGGACACATAGACATAGGACTCGAAGGACTGAATGGGATGTAGAGATTTGCCCTGTGCAGATTGCAGCGCATCCAGTGCTGAGTGACTCTCGGTGTGAATCTGTAGCTATTGGTTGTGAGTTTCCGCGTTGGTTTATCCGGATAGAAAGGTTGTCTCCTACCTGGTTTGCGTAATGGTTTGTTTGCATAACTGTAAAAAGCGTATACGCCCCCTCCCCAAAACGATTAGCATGGAATATTCTAAAAGTACAAATCTGTTTATTTTTATGCATTCTTGGTGGTTGTATCCGCTATGCTCCTGATCCATCCAGCTATCTGAGAAGTAGAGTTGGAAACAAAAAGAGAGTAGAAGGGAGTCTGAGGAACAGAACGATGTCAAGAACAGAAGACACTTAAAAAGTAAAGCGCACCAAAACCACCGTCCTATGCAGTTACGGAAGCGTACGTTTTGCCATCAAAATGCTGGGACGTTCCAACGGGAAGAAATACCAACAGAAAAGAAAAAATGTGTGAAATTAAGATCAATATGATAAAACAAGAATATTTATTTGGAGTACTCGAAAGCAAATCGGCTCAGCCCCTATCCATCGTATTCCTTGCAGATTGGATCTCTATTAAAGACAGAACATTGACCATAGACAAACAGGTTGAGATGTTGGAACAGTAAGAGAGAGATAGCCCGGTAGAGGAAAGGGAAAATATCAAAAGCTCATTGACAGTCAAAAAGTAAATAGCAATCCAGACCCGCTGACTCCACTGTCCCATCCAGAGACACCATTTTTCTTCAATTTTTCGCCAAAGTCAAGACATACCCCTGCGAGTCCCATAACTAATAAGCAAACAGAACCAATCCCATTATGCAAAAGAAAATAAGCAAGATAACCTGGAGAACCTCTCGGTTGAGATAGAATGAAGAGAAAAGAAAAAAGATTAAGAAAACCAGAAACAAAACTAGCCCATAACAAAAAAAAAAAAAGAGGGAAAGAAAAAAAAATAGAAAAGAATTTTTCGCTACTCCGCCTTCCCCTGAGTTACCTTGGCAGCCTGGATAGCAGACATCTTCTGTGTCCAACCCTGCGTGGGGTGCGGTTTCTTCACGGTGCGCAAGTCGTCTGTTGAAAACCCCGGAATACGCATGTTATAGTTGCGTTCAAGGACGAGTTGGATGTCGCGAATATCGAGGGTTGATGATGGGCGAAGTTTTGCCAGGCGGCATGCGGCGGTGATGACGTCATCGACGAAGTCGTCGGCCATTTGGAGGATGAACTGTTTATTTTGTTTAATTTTTGAGCTTGTGTTAGTAGATGGTAAAAGGATGCGTAAATACACTGAAAGAAAAGGTGTAGGTCGTATTGAAATTGAGTTACATACCTCTTCGGCATCAGGAGTGAGCCCTTCTCCCTCTCCACCACCCGTAACCTGCTTAACAAGTACATCCAGCATCTTCTTGCTAAGCACATGCTGCCCTTCACCCTCAAGTACATAGCCGGGATGTTTCTGAATAGCTGGTTGGCCCATCACACCCCCAGCATTCTGGCTGGGTCCGCCAGAGAGGGTGGGGCGAGCTGGACCCATAGTTACCGGTTCGGGAGCTTTGACGTTTAGGTTCTTTGGGATAGACATGTGGACTTGGCGAGTGGTAGCGTCTGCGCGGTGTGGGGCGTACCCTTGTGGGTGTGCGTGGGTGTTTTGCTGCTGTTGCTGCTGCTGCTGCTGCTGTTGTTGTTGCTGCTGCTGTTGCTGTTGTTGTGACGGCTGAGTTTGCGTGGTTTGTTGCTGGGGATTTGAGTAGGTTTGCGCAGACTGCTGGAACGCGGCTTGCTGGGAAAGAGGGCGAGGAGGGCCTGGGGGGATTTGGGAGGTGCTAGGGGGCGTTTCGGAGTGAAGGGGTGGCTGCTTAAAAGGTTGTTGTTGCTGTTGCTGCTGGGTGGAGTTCGGAGGAGTTGATTGGATTTGAGTTGGGAGTGAGACTGGGGCATGTGGTGTTGGTGTTGGTGCGGAGGGCAGTCCAGGTTGCTGTCCAGAGGAAGACATGGATGTTTGACCAGCCTGGTTACGCGCGGCTACGGCAGAAGTGATAGTATGAGCAGCCGGAGCAGAGATAGGAGCAGGAACTGGAGGACGAGATACGTCTGGTATTCCTGGTTCGGTTTTAAGAGCGAGACTTGGTTGTTGTTGTTGTTGTTGTTGTTGTTGTTGGGGGATGGTAAGAGAAACAGGAGGGCCAATGGGCCTGTTGTGTTGTGCCCCTGGCGGAGCTGGTGTTTGCTGCAGCTGGGGCTGTTGTGCTTGCTGCGACTGCGATTGTGCAGGCACTTGTGACTGTGTTTGACTGGAGCGAAACGAATCCTGTTGCTCTTTGAACTTGTTTAGAAATTCACTTCCCTCTTGTAAAAGTTTGTTTGCCGCCAGCTGCCGATTTTTGAAGTCCTGCATTTCTTCTTGCGTCAAATTCCCCGCGCTCTGACGCTGGGTATAAGCCTGGCGCAACTCATTTAGCTTGACTTTGCACAAGCTCCTGCTTCTGCAACGCAATGCCATATCGTAACTTGGCCTCACTCAACCAGCCTTCAATCTGAGGTTTCTCGATCCTTGGAGGATACACAAAGTTTAAACTGTTGACCTTGGCTTGGATCTGTGGAAGAAGTTGCTGAAACGTCTGTGGCTGGCCCATATGAGGGCGTGGTTGTTGTGGTTGCTGTTGTGGTTGCTGTTGCGGTTGCTGTTGCGGTTGCTGTTGCGTTTGCTGTTGCGTTTGCTGTTGCGGTTGCTGTTGCGGTTGCTGTTGCGGTTGCTGTTGCGGTTGCTGTTGCGTTTGCTGTTGCGTTTGCTGTTGCGCTTGCTGTTGCGGTTGTTGTTGCGGTTGTTGTTGCGGTGTCTGGATTGACTGTATACCGTCGCCTTGTTGCTGTCCCGGCTGTCCCGGCTGTCCTTGCTGTCCTGGCTGTCCTGGCTGTCCTGGCTGTCCTGGCTGTCCTGGCTGTCCCGGCTGTCCTGGCTGTCCCGGCTGTCCCGGCTGGCCTGGCTGTCCCGGCTGGCCTGGCTGGCCTGGTTGGCCTGCCTGAGGTCTCTGCTGCTGCATCTGATGAAGCTGTTTTTGCTGCTGTTGTAATTGGATCTGTTGAGCTCTGCTATACTGGTAAGATTTCATGCCGCGCATAAGGGAATTCGAAAGGCCTGCGAGTTTTGCATGGGCGGAATTGTATTCCTGGGAGCCCTGCGGGTGGGAGTTAATGATCTCCCACAGACTCCGGACAACCTGGGTATTTGCAGACTTCTGTGCGTCGTTGAGATGAGGAAGTTTTTGGACCTGATCCGTGCGAATCAGGTTATGCTGCTGAGTGGAGAGGTTGGGGGAAGCGTTCGCCGGGTTTGATGGGTTTGGTAGGTTCGCTGGATTGGGCGGAGGGTTCTGGGTCGGGGGATTAGAACTGGGGGGATCCATTGTACTCTATGAGCCTGTATTGATGATGGGGTTCTCTGGACTGATCAGTGTAGAGAGGTGAATGAGTAGATGGCCTCAGGATGGAGAGAGGGAGAAAGAGTCTCAGCACAATTTCCACATACGGATGTGAAGCTGTTGGAAATTGAGATAACAGCAACGAAAGAAAAGATGAAGTTGACGAGAGTTGCTGACTAATCAGAGCGTTCAGTAACATCAACTTAGTAACTACTGACTAGAAAAATGGATATAAATCCATACAAAGAATAAGTATAAATATATTTTCTAAGCACAATTATCAATTGAGATATTCATATTCAGTTCATAGTAATGTAAGTGTTATATATCATCACTCTCTTGATTGAGAATGTTCCGTACTTAAGCTGGATTTGTTCTCTCCTCTTTTTATAGTTACCGGACCGAAAACATATTTTTCCGTAGCTGATATCAAAGAGAGCCAAAGGACAGCTCAATCTTGCCAACAAATATCTCCCAAATATACCCCGAGTTCCCAACCCCACGCCATCTCAATATCGAGACACTTGCAATCGCGTTATCTCCCGTTCCAAGCAAACAAACCCCACATTTTCCTTCCCCTTGCTTCATGCGGGAGCCGGGATCGGACGGTTTTCCGCCACATTGAGGGCAAATATCCCTCGTTGCCAATATATCTATCTTCCCCTTCATATCATCTTCCACTGCAAGCTGTAAGGAGCGAAAGGCGGCGGGCACTGGTAAATAATGGATCCCACTCTGCATCAGCAGGCGGAATAGCATATAGCAACGGCGAGGCCAGTGTAAATGGCAACGGCATCTGTAATCCCCACTCAGATAAACAGTATCCCCAGACTCTTAGGATTGAAGCCCCTCGAGGCCCCTGCAAAAAGTACCTGGATTCAAAACCACAGAGTTCACACATCTGAAAAAAACCGAATCCAATCCCCCCTGTATCTACCCTTCACCTCATAAGCCCACCCAAATCCCTCTCCATCCCCGTCACCCGCTCTTCCAGCCTACGCTTCCGCTCCTCCAGCTCGCAAATCTCAGCCATCTCCCGCCGCAAGTCTTCGTCTGTGACGACCGGGATTGCAGTATCAACCGCAGATTGCACCATGTCATTCTCATAGTCGTCGTCGTAATTGGAGGAAGAATATGACTGCTGCGATCTATTCATCCGCTCCAACTGTGCAGATTGTTCTGCAATGCGCGCTTCCAGGAGGGCGATGGAGTCTGAGATGTTGACGTGGCGCTGGCGGAGGGAGGAGATTCGCTCTTTGGCGCCGGCGATGGGACTGGCAGCAGAGGAGTTTTAAGTCGCGTTATTTTAGTTCTAACTGTTCCAAGGAAAACACGCATGACCATAAAATATGAATTGGGTTTCGACTTACTATACATTGCACAGCATCTCCGCCCCCCGCAGCAAAACGTCAACATCAATCTCACCCCTTGCAGCAGCACGACCGGCCGAAGCTGTAGATACAGACATGGACGAGGACGAGGTGGCTCCAGTTGTCTTCCTAATCTCATCCAGCATCTCACCACCCAGCACCTGGACAACGGCAAAGTGGTTTTTATTGTGTTTTGCAGCGTAGATGCGGCTAGCCATGGAGTCTCTGCCGTCGCCTGTTGGTCCCATTGCTGCTGTGCGAATTTCACTGCCGGTGAAAGCTGTGGCTCTTCTCGTGGCTCTTCGTTGGCAGTGTCTTGAGGAGTTGCTCTTGTCAGAGAAGGGGTCGACGGAGAAGAGGGCTCGTTCGTGGGGTTCTGTGTCTCGGATGAGGGAGGTTATGTCGTTGGTTTTTAGCATGGCGTTTGCAAAGATTTTGGGAGGGGGAAAGCTGGTTATTTATGCAGTAGTATGTTAGATATGTGTATGTAAAAGGTTCATATATATATATATATGGCATCTACTCACGGGAGATCTGCGATGGCAGCTGCAGAGAGGGAGATCTGCTCCAAATGGCTCTCGAGGAGGCCCATGCTGAGCTATAGCAGTAATGTAGTGTGCACTTATTATGCGAGTCGGGTAGGATTAAGAGAGTTGACAGAACATATCAATTGAGCGGTGAGATATCTGTGCAAATGGGGAGTCCCGTTGATATGGACATCTACTTTGCGAAGTGATACCGTATATCTTAGGTGATGTTGGTAGATGCTGAACTGATGTTTGTTGCGAAGAAATACGTAAATATACCGAGATCATATGATATTGATGATACTTCGATGATGTGCATGCCAAGCCCCACGATGCAAGCAAGTATTTTCCAGGGACCCATTTTATCATCTCCACAGCAAGAGATTATATGAAGACACATAGCAACTCCCCGGTCCTGCACAATGGGGATGAATGAATAAAGTACAAGAGATTAAAAATACAGATACAGCCAAACAACTCCCCATACAGCCTCTCAGACAATCCAGCTGTCCTTGTCCAGCCCTCATTAGAATTGCCAACTCGTTCGTTAACTAGTTCGTTCGTTAACTAACTAGTTACTTCTGCTGCTGCTGCTGAGTCACCCGGCCTTGGCCTGGTTCTTTCTATTTCTCCCAACGCCCAAAACCCCAAAAACCAAAACCTGGACAAACATCAACTGCACCAACGACGCAGGACACCAGCAGCATCAGCTTCCCTTCAGCCACCCTCTCTGCTCCCTGTTCTGCGCCCCGTTCTGCGCCCCGTTTCCTGCTGTCTACCTATCTTAATCCTGTACTCTTTGTTTCGTCCCTGTTTTTCCCTTCTTCCTCTCTTCCCTTAATTCCCGCTCTTCCCTCCGGCTACCCTAGCTTCCAGGCGCCGAGTAGCACGCCCGCTCCAGAGCTCCCTCACAGCCTGAAAATGCCCGCTGAAAGGCGTTCTCTCAGGTCCAACAAGTCGGACCCCTCCGCCAACGGAGAGAAAGCTCTTTCATCCTCCCAGAGCTCCACCTCCAACTCAAAAGACAAACCCGCTCCCGCCACCAGATCATCAGTCCGGAGTAAGACCGTAGCCGGCAAAAAGGGTTCCACCACCTCCAGCTCCCCAAACAACGACATGACCGCTGATGAGAAGCCTCATACTAATGGCTCTGAATCCGTGGAGAATCGTGTCAATGGGACGGGAGATGTGGAGATGGCGGATGAGGCTACCACCAAAGGCTCTGCTGAGCAACAGCAGCAGCAGCAGCAACAACAACAACAACAACAACAACAACAACAACAACAACAACAACAAGCTACACGTGACGGAGGTGACGGAGATGAGGAGATGACTGTCGTGGTACCTCCATCCAAGAGCTCTAGGTTGTCTGGAGATCCGGATCAGAATAGAACGGATGTTGCCATGAATAGAGCTGAAGAAGACGGCGGTGATGCCTCGGAGATTGAGATGCAAATCGCTCCCAGAGACAAGGCCTTATCAGGTATTATCATCTTATATCAGCATCACACCACATGACATAGCTCCGATGACTGACTAATTTCTAATCCCTCTATTATCTTTATATGTGTATAGATATCAAAAGCAATTTCTCCCTGCTTGAACGGGCCGTTTCCCATTTTGATCCACGTTTTACATTGCGAGTCTTGAGGACGATATCGTCAATGCGGAAACATCTCTCCGCCGATCTTCTCGTCCAGGTCATAGTAGAGACATACCTCCCCTCGGATTCAATGGCATCCTTCCTACTCGCATCTTTAGACAGGCAGTCGGCTTTCGCGGATGCTCCCACAGATTCCTCAATGGATATCGATAGTGATGCCAAGTTATCAGCAAAGACCGGAACTGCTGCTGCTGCTGCTGCTGCAGTTGCTGTGCGAGAGGTTCTTCCAGAGGTCGACATCTACCTCTCCATTCTCATTCAGATATATCTTTACGACAAAAAGGATATCGAGCGAGGTGCAAGCTTCTCCAGCAGCCTAGTGAATCTATTGCGAACAATGAACCGAAGGACTCTGGATTCCTTGGCTGCCCGTGTCTTTTTCTACTATTCTCTCTTCTACGAACAGCTTGCTCCCCTTCCACCTTCTCCAGCCGCAGCGTGTCATCTCCATCCGCCAGCCCCTGCTCTCAGCTCTGAGAACCGCAGTCCTTCGCAAAGACCAAGATATCCAGGCCACCGTCACCACCCTCCTCCTTCGCAACTACCTCTCCACCTCCCACGTCTCCCAAGCAGACCTATTCATCTCCCGTTCGGAATTCCCCCCAGCGGCCTCCAACAACCAAATCGCCCGCTATCTCTACTACCTTGGAAGAATCCGCGCCATCCAACTGCAGTACACAGAGGCCCATGAGCACCTAATCGGCGCCACCCGCAAGTCCCCTTCAACGCACACCGCCGGCGGCTTCTACCAAGCATCCACCAAGCTCCTCATCGTCGTCGAGCTGCTAATGGGTGATATTCCCGACCGCTCAATTTTCCGCCAACCTGCCCTCGAGCGCGCCATTCATCCTTACTTCATCCTCGTGCAGGCAGTCAGCATCGGAGACCTGGACGGCTTCGTCAACACCGTGCAGAAGCACAACTCCACCTTCCGACGAGACGGCACGTTCACACTCATTCTACGCCTGCGGCAGAATGTTATCAAGACGGGGATCCGGATGATGTCGCTGTCGTACACGCGCATCTCGCTGCGGGATATCTGTCTGCGTCTCGGGCTGGATAGCGAGGAGTCGGCAGAGTATATTGTTGCCAAGGCCATTCGGGATGGGGTGATTGAGGCATCGTTGGACCATGAGCGTGGGTTTATGAAGAGTAAGGATGTTGGGGATGTGTATGCGACGGCGGAACCGGGGGAGGTTTTCCATGAGCGTATCCGATTTTGCTTGAACCTTCATGATGAGAGTGTTAAGGTATGTTTCTTTCTTTTTTGTTTACGTATATGTATGTACGATCTAACTGGGTTAAAACAGGCCATGCGATTCCCGATGAACCAACACCGCATCGAGTTGAAGAACGCGCAGGAGGCGCGGGAACGCGAGCGGGAACTCGCCAAGGAGATTGTCGAGGGGGACATGGACGATGACGATGCCGGAGGGGATTTTGATGGGATGTAGAGGTGTCCATCGTGTCAGAGTCATATTATTATTTTGTCTCGCGGGCGGGAGGGTGGTTGATCTTGATTGACAGACATCATTATACTTAATTGGGACCAGGAAAAAAAAAAAAAAAAAAAAAAATCAAAGAGCAGATTATATTTTGTTTGTTGACTTTTTTTTTTTTTTTCTCCCCCGCCCCTTCGATTGCAGCTCCCTCACTGCCTCTCCTTCAACTTGCTTGCATTCCGTTTTTTTTTGCTTTCTCCTTATCTTTCCCCTTTTCACGGAACAATCCTTACAGATACAGTGGGTGGTTTGGAAGGGCGGCAAAACAGCACGACCGAGGCAGAACCTAGTTCGGGTGTTTTCATGTACAGTGAAGTCTACTTGGGCCAATTGTGCCATATTTTCTTCTTGTTGTTTTCCCATAACTTTAACCCGTTTTATTCTCCGTGCTGTGCTCACTTTGCTATTCAACTGTTCTACTATTTATCTCATGTCTTCCCATGTTCTCTAGTCAGTTCAGTTCCCTGTTCCAACATCATCCTACATGGGGCCTTCATCCCATCCCATCCTATCTTTTTATTATCTGGCTTCCCAGGTACAGTCATCCTACTCATTATTCCACACATTTTGTTTTATTTTTTGTGTTTTTATTTTAATTTTTGTTATCGGTATCTTAGACAAACTCGATGAAATTCACTTTTCTATCTCTTCATCCTGCCTTTATTTTACTTTTTGTCCCTTGGCTTTTTATCTTGGTGGATACGCAAGTAACATAATAATAACAGTCTCCATGCGGACCACTTTTGGAAGCGGGCGAATTAACCGTGAAGCCGTAGGAATATCCAGGGATGAGCACGAATAGCAGCAGTCGGAAGAGTAGTCCATATAGTCAACAGCTCTTGTGGACTGTATATACAAGGCCGTTGTTGGCATTAATATCCTGTTGTTGTCCTTTCTCTTTATTTAGTAAAATGTTTTCTACTTATTTAATTATGCCCCTCGGCGTTTTGCGTTTTAGAATTCATGCATTTTGTTAGTGTCTGAGACTTTCGCCCGAAGATGAAAATAAAATGTTGGGGCCACAACGACAAACATCCAACCAACCAACCAACCAACCAACCACGAACGCCGCATATATATATCTATACTCCAACCACAACGTCTATTGCAATTGAATTTTACATGCGTATCTAAACAGCGAAGAAACCCATTAATAATAACCCCCCAGGGCCAGGTGCCGTCGAGCCAATGCGAGCTCAACCATCTCTCACGCCCTATGGCCTCCTCCGCCCTGCTGCACCTCCGATCCGCTCCGCACACCCAGCATCCGCATCAACAGCTCTAATATGCTCCCAATGCCTGCTGCGACACAGATCCTCCAGCCTCCTCCCCTCCCCCAAACTCCCCTGCAACAGCCGCAGCTACCACCCCTCCCGGCGAAAATACCAGTCAGCCCTGGGCTCCGCCGTCTCCGCCGCCCAAAACCTCTTCTCGAAGAATAACCCACCGCCTCCTCCTCCTCCTCCTCCTCCTCCTCCTCCTCCTCCTCCTCCTCCTCCTCCTCCACCACCATCATTACAGCCGTCGCAAACGCCCATATCCATCGACCCCCTCCGCATCGTCGGAAAGGAACTAAAGTTTATGAAAAAGAACATCCAACAACTCCTCGGATCCGGACACCCCTTGCTCGACCGCATAGCGAAATACTACACAAGAAGCGAAGGCAAACATGTCCGCCCCTTACTCGTCCTGCTTATGTCACAGGCAACAGCCATAGCCCCCAAATCGCCGCGACAGGTGCAATCCGTAAGTGAATCGGGGATTAACGAGGCGATTACTTCCCCCGCCATCCTGGCCGATACAAATCCAGATCACAGCGTTCTCACTTCCTCAACGACGGAGGCCTCATACACGCTCCCCGTCGAAGAGGTTGAGAAAGGGCAGGTGCAGGGTGATAGAAACATCCTCCCCTCCCAACGCCGTCTGGCAGAGATTACAGAGGTAATCCACACAGCCTCCCTACTCCACGACGACGTGATCGACAACGCTGTCACGCGCCGGTCCTCCGTCTCCGCGAACCTGGAATTCGGCAACAAAATGGCCGTGCTTGCCGGTGACTTCTTGCTCGGGCGTGCATCTGTGGCATTGGCCCGGTTGCGGGATCCGGAGGTCATCGAGCTGGTCGCGACGGTCATTGCAAACCTGATCGAGGGCGAGTTCATGCAGCTGAGAAATACGGAGCTGGATGAGGAGAACCCGTTCTTCACTGAGGAGGCGATCGCATACTACCTGCAGAAAACGTACCTGAAGTCTGCTAGCCTGATTAGTAAATCGTGTCGGGCAGCGGCGTTGCTGGGTCACAGCTCGCCGGAGGTTGTGGAGGCGGCGTATTCGTACGGGCGGAATCTAGGGCTGGCGTTCCAGCTCGTGGATGATATGTTGGATTATACGATTTCGGGTGAGGAGCTGGGGAAGCCGGCTGGGGCGGATTTGGAGCTGGGGCTTGCCACGGCGCCATTGTTGTTTGCGTGGAGGGGGCATCCGGAGTTGGGTGCACTGGTTGGCAGGAAGTTTAGACGAGAGGGCGATGTGCAGTTGGTGAGTTTTTTGAGTTTCATTTTATTTCCATCATATAATTTTTTCTATCCTGTGTAGTCTTTTGGCCGGGGGAGGGGAAGGGTTGCAATTTCAAGAAGCAGAGGGAACAGGCATATACTTCCAAACAGCCAATCTCTCCCCCCCTCCATCATCGCACAATTGCTACCCGCACACTTTAGAAAATATCCAATCCACTAACCCAAAAATCCACACCGAAAAAAATATAAAAAAAAATAACAGGCCCGCCAAATCGTCGCCCAATCCGACGGCCTCGAGCAGACCCGCGCTCTCGCGCAGGAATACACCGATAAAGCCATCGAGTCCATCAGCATCCTCCCAGACAGCGAAGCGAAAGCTGGTCTAATTGAGATGTGCGCGAAACTCACGCAGAGGAGGAAGTGAGGTGTATATATCTCTTGTTCTCTATATGTTCCGTGCCAGGATAGACGGCGATTTTCAGAAAAAGAAGAAAAAGCAGGAGGAAAACGGAAATAGGAGGTCGGTGTGGGATTTGGTGGTTTCGAAAATCATTATTAGATTTATTTTTATTTTTATTTTTATTTTTGTTTTATTTTTTGAGCTATATTTATCTATCTACGTTTTGTTTTCCCATATGTATGTATATATATGTGTGTACATATATATATACCACTACTCTCTGCTAATCTCTTTGTCGCACCCAGCTCTTGGGTTTCCTTTTGTTCTCCACTTTTGAATTGCTGGTATACACGGGCATATGTGCTGGGGGGATTGCATCATTCATGCCTATATGTCAATGTATGTTATGGGACGTATGGGAGTATAGGGGCATTTTATGCATTTTATTGCAGGAGCTGGAAAACTCTTTGAACCTCTTTGTGCCTTCTGGCTGTGCTGGGCTTTCTGTCTGTGAAGAGGACATTTAACAAGTTATTTATCTTGCAAACGGGAGGGAAGAAGGGGCAGAGAAGAGATGGGGGAGAGAATGCTATGGGAACCCTTTGCCTGTTATGATGGAAAGGAACGGCTTGGGGAGAGCAAGGGAGAGTTTATGAGCAAATATGTGAGCATCTCTTTTATGTTTCCTGACTTGTATGATGTGCTTATTTTGGTATCTGGGTGGGCATCTTATATTATTCATTTCCATATTTCCTTTCCATGGTGTCTATGTAATCGTTGTTAGTAGTTACTTGAGATCATCTCCCCGTTTATCTAAGTTGTTGGCCACCACCGTACATAGTCGTTCTCGTAGTTAGCAGCCTTTGCAATTGATCAAGCGTGCCATTCTGTCATATATATATTGTTATTATCTTCTCCAGTAGATCGAGGAAGATTTAACAGTTAGCGTTTCTCCCAATTTACTACTCCTGTGCCCTTCGGCAACCTTCTGCTGACTACAAGGTCGCTGGGTGAGGATTAGAGAAAGACCGAGTGAGTGACAAAGAGAGGATGTATAGGATGTAGGATGTATATGGACCTAGATGCAACCGTATACGCAAGTGAGGACGTGAAGGTAGAGGAGGAACAAAGATGAAATTTGCATATGGAATGATAGGTATGATGATATTTATGTCTGTTACCTTTCCGAGAACACTATCTATGCTCTACCTGATCTGACGTAACTCAACCCTAATTCTTCTGATCCTATGTGATCTTCTTTCTCACGATGTCGAACTTCAATTATCTCTTTTGAAAAGTGCATGTAAAAAGGGAAATCTCACACTAATAATCATACCACGCCATATCATAACACTCTTCACATATCCCATAGCAACGGCTATCCCTTCCCTCATGTGTAATACAAGTGTACTCCGTAGCAGGTTCGAGTTCAGGGAACTGGCGGGCGGGATGTGTAAAATGTATCCCATCCGCCTGTTCCCGTCCCCGCACAACAGCAGTAAGTAGCAGCAACTAACTAGTACCTATGATTAGTCATTTAAGATTATATGAGAAATATATGGGTTCTCCGTCACCAGGTCCGCTCTGTCATTCTCTTCCGTGCAATGATCCCAAAATTTGATATACCATTTCCGCTTCCACGACGACAGATGTATAAGATCCCCGATCAGCAATCAAAATTAGATTCGGCGGATAATATGTATCTATCCAACGGGACTCCACGGCATAGGAATCAAAATCCGACTCTTCATAGTCTGAATCAGCGGCACCGTTTTATGAACAGTATCCGCCCAACCTTCAATCGACCAGGACTTTTCGCGTCGAATCTTGCGCTCCTCCAGATCCGCAAATTGCCATAGGTGATGCACCGTGTTCAGCTCGCCGATCTGCACAAACCACGCGCCTACTCCCTCCATCACTTCGCGGCGGGCATGCAGCCCTCTTCGCCAGTGGGTTTCCCACTCGAGAAGGTTGCCTGGGTGCAGCGTGTAGGAGCGGAGCTCGAAAAGGCCGCCGAGTTTACGGGGTGGAGTTGTTGGCCAGAAGGAGAACTCTTGCATGAGAGATGTGCGTTTGCTGTTGATGAGGGATTTTAGGCGACGATCAAATGCGCGGAATTCGGGGTGCTCGGAAATGGCGTGCAAGGAGGCGTGATAACCCGAATAGCGTTGGTATTCCCAGATGTGGACTAAATAGAATCACCGTAGTTTAGCAATGGATCGCTTTCATGACGGACAGTGTTCACTCAGACTTACCAAATGTATCGTTGTCTCCGACCTGTGTTCTCCAACTTCCAACGAGATGAACTTTGTTATTCTCGATCTGGGCCATCTTCGGATACCACTGCCCGACCAAGTCGACATATTCATCCACTTTATCCGGCTTGACTTCATGGAAGACAATCGAATGCACGTATTTTCCCCGGGCCAGCACCTCTGAGAAAGACCGCTCGATATCCTTGTCCAGCTGCTGTCCTTCTTTGGTGCCATAGATCAAGCTGGACAAGGTGCCACGCCTGGGAGTGTTACTGGTTTCGGACTGACGGTGTTCCCCTACAATGCGATGGGTGGAGAGTGAGCTCAAACCATGCACGTCCAAAGTCTCCGCAGCGTCAATAATAAGAGGAGTAGGAGCATCATTAGAAGCCGCCGTAGCTGAAGCAACTGCAACGCCAGCGGCGGCACGATCGGACTTCCCGCTCACATTGCTCATGCCTGGAGCAGTGGGATGCGTTGAGCCCGATTGCTGACGACTTGTAAAGGAAAATGAAGCAGGAGAAACAGAAGCATCACCCAACTGACTCTCTTGCTGTTCTTTTTTCCTCCGAGCAGCTTCCAGGTTCTCCCGAAACTCCTTCTGCCTCGCGTTGAAGGAGGCCGCGGTGTCTGGTGTGATGTCTCTAATCGAAGGGGCCCGACATAGCGCTGCGGTTGTGCACAAGGAACGGATCCAGGCTTGGGGTGAGGCAGAGCTGGATCGGAGTAGACGTGGAGCCAACATGGTGAAATAGAAAATAGTAGAGTAGTATAGAGTACAAGTGCAGGAGTTGTAAGCTGTATAATTGTTATGATTGGTGTCTGGGAAGTATGTGGACAAAGCAATAATAACAACTGATTGTCACCAACTAACCCAACTCCTCCACTCGAGGACCGTGTTGAATGGGTGTACTTAGTGGCAGTATAACAGGCGAGGGCGTACGGTGAACAAGTTGGAATGAGAGATTGGCAGACACAGAGGTACGGGGAGCAACAATGAATGTAGGTAGTTTCGAAGCACAAAGACAGTGGTGGACTGGAGAGGGGAAACAGCCGTGTGGCAGGGATAGCGCCCAGGTAGCACCCTATCCGAGAGCCAGGATAGTTACGGGACCTCCGTGCAGACTGGAAGAGAAGTAAGTCTAGGCTGCAGAACAGAGGCCGCGGGTAAAATCTGATGGCACAGTCTACAATAACAACACAAAGAGTAGAATCCAATGAGTCGGACTTGACTGATAGAGAGAAGAGACTGGACTGTAATGAGAAGAATGAAGAGAATGAAGAGAATGAAGAGATGACGTTGAACTGGAAGACGTTTAAAAAAGTATCAAACCCGTGGATGCTTTTGCAGCTACCCTAATCACGTGCCTCCCTACATAGGAAGGGTTGAGATCTTAAGCCAACGAGTAGCTGGTTTTACACACAACAATATTTCGTCGTCAACGAAGGTTATAATAGTCCTTGGAATGAAAAGCTGCGAAGTAACATGTGATAAAACAATGTCTTCATACTTATTTAATGCAGGGTTAAAAACATCTTTACTGGATTTAAGATATAATAAAGTATGAAACTATATCGTTGAAAATTATAAAATTAGATAATAAAGATTTAATTTTTATCAACATTAGTAATAAATAAAAAGTTTATATTTTATATAGTTAACTAGCTAATTCAATCTTACAAAATTAATTTATTAATTCATACAATAATACAATGCTGAGATGAAGTGTTAATAGTAATATCATAAATAAAAAATAATTATTATAAAAATTATAAAAATAATATTAAAATATATTTAATTTAAAGAAGAAGAATTAAATAATATTAAAGAATCTAAAAGATTAATTTAATATAAGAAAGATCTTATGAAAAAATTAAAGATTATATTACCCTTTTTATATATATATATATATATATATATATATATGAAAATATAATCAATTAATCATATATATTTAGATCTTTTATTTTATAATTATAATTATAAACATTATATAATGACTCTAAAACTATTGAGCATGCAAAAAGAAGTTTTAATCCTGGTATATTTTAATTGTGAATGGAATTTCTTCTGATTGTTGTTGATAACTGCAATTTAAATCAATGCATAGTTAGTTGGTGGTTTTCAGTGGCCGACTCGGTTGCGAGTTACATCAATGTAACCAGAAGCTGTTTTGAGGTAACTAACTAACTAATCAGTTAGCCAAAGTTCAATGTATGTGTGACATCAGCGAACATCCACGTCAACATCATCAACGTGCGATGTTATTTCAGTTGATGGAAAACACACAACTAAATTATTATGTGTAGTTATCAAGTCAGTTGGTGTGAAGAAACTGCCAACCCCCAAGTGAGCAGATAGCTATCCCTATACTCAGATACAGCCGAAATCAAGCAGACCCACAATGGCGGAAACCCACCCACCCCTCAGCTACGAGGCATCTGCCACAACAACGCATCCACTGTTCACCAGCAGCCTCCCGCCGGAAGTAGACAGCTGCCTCAAGAATTCAAGATTCGTATGTCATGTACCCTGGCGAACATACATATGAAAATATGCCTGCCCACTAACATCGCCATGTCCCTCCTCAGCTCCATCTAGCAACATGTGACGACCAAACCCCTCATGTTAGCCTGATGAGCTACACCTACCTCCCCTCGACCACCTTCACAACCCACCCTACAATAATAATGACCACCAACGCCGCCTCCAAAAAGACCCTGAACCTCCTCTCAAACCCTCGTGTCTCCCTCCTGGTCCACGACTGGGTCTCCCACCGGCCGCCCACCTGCTCGACCCACTCCAGTCTTGCCCGTGACGGGCCCCCGCCCCCCGCCGCTACACACTCCAGTCTCGCCTCTCTCTTACTGAATATCAACACGAGTGCCCTGAGCAGCATCAGCACGACTATCATTGGTGAGGCGAGGTTTGCGGAGCAAGGATCTGAGGAAGAGAAATGGTGTAAAGAGAGACATTTGGAGAATAATACCTTTGCGGCCGATGTGACGGATGGAACGAGCTTGTTTGCTGCGGCAAGTGAGGGGGAGAGGGGGAGGGAAAGTGTAGTTGCGCCTTCGGTGGATGATACGGTGAGGGTTGTTATTGTGGAGGTTAGAAAGGGGAGGATTGCGGATTGGAAAGGGGGTGTGCGGGATTGGGCGGTTGTGGAGGAGGAGGAGGAGGAGGAGGAGGAGGAGGAGGAGGGTACGGAGGGGGTGCAAAGGGGTGGAAGCATGGTCAATGGGGTTGAGGATCGATAGGGAGGAGGGTACGGAGGGTACGGAGGGTTTGCTCTCTTGATATCTATAAGAGAGGAAGCTCTCCATTTTCCATTTTCCATTCTTGAGATATAACTATGCGTTAGGTAAAAAGCACCTGGATTCCCCTGCGAAATAATTGGGTTGGCGGAAACAAACTGTATGTAAATTTATTCGTTTAAAAGAATTCCACCTCTATTCATGTAAAGAAGATATACATGGATCTATACGCCAATGCATTCTTCCATTCTCTTCTTAGCGGTATCTCTCGCAGGCAAAATAAATAGACATAAAACTCTTCTCCATCCGTTCCTATCCTTTCTCCTGCTCTCCCTTCCCCACCTCACTAACAACTGACGAACACAGCACAACCCCGGTTCCTGCATCAAAAACAAAAAACAAAAATGGCCTATCAACTCTCATCGCTACAGGAACCCTCATAGCACTTGCAGCACTACCAAAAACCCCCGAACTTGTCACAACAGCAACCTCCGTCCCTTCTTCATTCACCTCTACGAACAAATCATGTTTGATATTTGTCACATAGGCGGGTTGTGAACGTGAGATGGGCGCGAAGTCTGGGGATGGGCGGCAGATGGGCCGCAACCCAAGATTGAAGAGGGGTTCGGAGATGTCTGTGCTTTGTTTTAAAGTAAATCGGGGCAGGGAGAGGTGGAGGAATGTGGGTTTTAGGCTCCAGGACTGACCGCTAGTGGTATCGGAATGGCTGGTAACAAGTAAGGGGCGGAGGACAGAGGGAGAAGCTGAGAAGTGAGAGAGGATGGCGAGAACGGATCCTACGCCGGGGGTTTTGGGAAGGATTATGGCTGCGTTCCAAGTTGGGGATGCATCAGCTGCCCCAGCTGCCCCAGCTGAAAGTGGAAGAAAAGGGGAATGATGCGGTTTCGTGTTACCGTTCTTATACGGCAACACACACATCTGCGCGATGTTATCTTCCCAATACAAGATCTCACTAGTTCGATGCATCATATGGCACGGCATCCCGCCCGCCCAGCTATCAGTATGATCACTCCCGAAACTCCGAAATCTATCCACACGTGTGTTGGATCTCTCAAACGGCACCGCCCATTTGGCTTTGAAGTACAAACTCGTCACCAGTTTAATATCTACGTCAGATACCTCCTCCTCTGCCACTAGGCCGGCAATTTTCCCCCTGGTCTTTTCGTGAACCCACAGATTCATTGCCCGCGCATCCTGCGGCGCAAGCGTCGCTTTGAACACTGTGCTCATTGCTCCAGCCCATATCGGCTCAATCAAAAACGATTTCCCATACCATATCGAGCTGCTGATATCTAGCTCAATATCACTACCAGCAGCAGCAGCAGCAGCAACGGGTGTGGAACGAGGATTGGGCTTGCAGTACTCATCCAGTTGCACGATATCCTTTATGGCACCGTACACCGATACTTCTGAGGTGTTAAAACCAAGCACTCTAGAAAAGGCATCGAGATTTAGTCCCTGGGAGCCTGCTGCTGCCATCATGAGGCAACGGTAGATGTTGGCAGACGCAATACCGCAGGGATATCCTGATGTTGCGATGCTGTGGAGCAGTTTGAAAGCGAATTGGTTAACGGAGTCGACGAAAGCTGGTGAAGGAGCGTTGATGTATGTGGTTCCGGTTTGTGGGGATTGTATCGCTGCGATGCCCCGGTCATGCAGGACGAATCGGGGGTCTAGTTGCTGCTGAACAGTGGTGGGAGTGGCTGTACTTGGCCCATTGCCCAGGGCCCGAAGCTCTAGGAGTCGTGGGGGTGGAGCGGGGATGAATTGGTAGACATCGTTGATTAACGGAATTGGTGTCCGGATTTTGAGGAATGTATGTGTGTGATCGTGGAGGTTGAATTCCTCGCAACTTGAGCACTGTGCGCGCATGGTGGATGGAGATCAAGAACAGAATAATCAATACATGATCACCAAAGGGCTTACTCAATATCGGAAGTGATATTGGTTCATTGGATGCATCCCAACCACGCTGTGTAAGGAAGATAGCCCGGAGGGCGGGGTGATTTGTTTGAGCGGGAATATGAAACATCACGCTCCTCTTACCAGGTCGAAGTCCTGGCAATTGATACATTTAAATCTGTGGCCTATGATGGGGTCCATGTCACAATTGTCGCAGGTGATGCCATGATGCTGTGCTGGTTCTATTCTTCTGGCCATAGTTCATATACGGAACAGGCTCCAGTGGTTTAAGTTAAACCACGGTTAACTGGGTAGAACGGAACCTCCTCAGATTCACAAAATGATTCATAGAAATGAAGGAAACTAGCTTGGATGCAGGTAGTTATTCAACCTGTCCAAATTGTTCAACGAGGTTCTTTTCCAGGTTGTAATCCCAGGCTCATGTGTGGCTGACTGGTCGGTTATCGAAAGAGGTTCCCCGCTTTGACTGAAAATCATCATCGAGGCTAATTAACCAGCTAAATAACTATAGAGTAAATAGTTAAGTAGTTGGTTAACTTTGCTATGGAGCTCTGTTGCAGATCTGGATCTAATAATAAGTCTGATGCGTCCGATGTCAAACGTATTCAATTATCCCAACGAGCCTGTTGTCTATTTCTTCTGATGTATCCTTGCATCTCAAAGTTGTCTTTGCACTGGGGTTCTCGCAAACACAGCTCTTGCAAACACAGATTCCTTTTTATCGCCTATCCAACTTTCAACATACTCCATGATTGGGCAACGGAGCCCGTGAAACAGCTATTCTCACCTCAATGAGCTATCTCTAGGAGGCGTGTAGCCCTGCTCCCAGGGTGCTCGTCCCTCTTGCATCTAGCCAATCGTAAATCCTTAGCAGTTCAGCCCCCCTTTCTCTCTTGTCTCTTATTCGTCTTTTCCTTTGTTCTTTTCTGAGTCTCAATCTCTTTCGCTCTCATGCTACCCAATAAACGACTGAACAGTCACTTCCACGCCAAGAGGCCGTCACGGAATTGAGGATCATAGGTCTTGTCTTCAGCAGTCATCTAACCAACCAATGCAAATGCAAGCCCCAGAAAAGAATGTGCAAAAATGAACAAGCCGCAAAGGGAAAATAAAAAGAAATTATCCAGATATCCATCATGACAACACGTTGACTTTCGTTGCTGGATTGAGAACCCCTCCTTTTCTGCAGCCTCGCTGCAAGTTATTTCTGCATCTGTCGGGAACCCTGCGGGACTTGAAGCTCTCCCTCTTTCGATTGACAGATGTAGCCGGGGTGGAAAGGAGGGAAGTTTACATCTTTTGAACCAAATGACATCGTGACGAGGAAATCCTGCGCCACATATCATCCGCCTTGAACCCGGATGACGAAAAGTGTGGAGAGAGTTAACCGTCAAAGCCCTGGACAAACTTCCCAAACTCTCTACTATCACACAGATTGTCACGCTAGTCACATAGCTGGTTGACAAGCTTTAACTGCTCATTAGTGAAAAATGAGCAAGAGAAGACGGACATCAGGAGGAGGTGGCTGAGATCCTCAAAAAGCAGTACTCGAGATCTGGTCTCAACGATGTAAAGGACCTTGCATGTTATGATTAGTGGTAATCTAGGCATAAGAATGATGAGTTGTGGGATACGTGGATCGGTGACGAAGATAAGATCCAACCGTTCTTATTCCCGGGCAATGTAGCCACCGGTAATGTCAATGATCAACGGCCCAGAAAGCCAACCTTCACCCTCCACTGTTAACACCACCACCTTCCCACCAATGCCAGTCACAAAAAAAGCCCGAATCATATGTGATATTACTTCAGATCATTGGGGAGTTCGACAGTGAAGGGAAGAACGAAGACGGCAGCAACAACACCATAATCAAGCGGCAGAAACAAAAAGGTTGTATTACGCCACGGCATCTGACTCTCCTCTGTTCGAGATGGGTCTGCACGTTGAAGGATGGCGTTCGCGGCATCCATCACAAGCGGCGAGCGTCGTCTCTCTTTTCACCAACGCTTTCATGCTGAGACACCCTTATCTGCATAATTCGTCTGGAGAACCAGGCAAAAGTAACCGGCTAGAGAGTGTTTGTTGAACATTTCTTTTCCTCGTGGTTGCCCCTCTCTTCCGTTGTTCCCGTTCTGTTCCTTGTCTCGTTAGAGCTGCACATTTGCGTCCATATTCTCATATTGCCCCATCATGTCCCGTGACATCATTACCGTATAGCCTTGAGATTCTTCTTTTTGCTTTTGGTTTTAAGATGGAAACAGCGAGGAAACAGGATCAGTTTGTGTGTCGGTAGTTGATTTGTTTGAATGTCGGATGTCTTCTGAAGGCAAAATAGTGGGTAATATAGCTTCATTTCGGTTGTCAAAAATTCCAGTGTAGATACTGTCGAGTAACAAGCTCAATTGCCCGAAAATCTTCCTATTGGTCATTAATTCACAACAATCGTATACAAGCGGTTTCAAATGCTGTCTAGCACAGAAAGATCGATTATCATGACACTTGCAAGCAGCCGTTTATCATTTTTTTTTTTTTTTTTTTTTTTTTAATACGGAAAGCCCTATTAATAATGAAGCTCAGTACTACTCCACTAACATCCAAGAAGTAATAAAACTGACCGGATTGAAAATGCGGGACTGACTTGAAAGAAAGTGATATCATCCGTATCTATGATATGGACGGAATATAACACATATGCTAATAGTATAATGTAAATTCAGCAATATTCTGCAATAATAAATAATTCGTGAAGGTAAAGAAGAGAACATAAAAAGCGTCATGAGTGAGCAGCTCAATGGAGTCAAAATGAGAGGGTGAAATAAAATGGTGAACAAACGGGCTGGGAGTATCGAAACTTCAACTTGTGAGCAATAGGAACGCCACAACGCTAAATGAATATATGACAAAATAATGGGACAAAGGTTTCTAGGGCGAGTAAGAACAAGTAAAAATGTTGGAAGTCATTTCTCATCACGAATTAGCTATTCCCACCATCGGAATATAGCGGGCGAACTGCGCTACTTATACTCCTCGTTTGGGTCCCATTGAGATGGCTGGAAATCGGGGTTTTGGAAATGTGCAAGGTTATTAGGAGAACTGAGTTGTCAGTACAGGTTTGGATTGTTGAGGTCAGGTTTTGTTTTCAAGGAAGTGTGGGAAATGGAGAAGAGAAACCTAGCAATCCACTTACTTGCGGAATGGTACAGACGTCAGCGGGAGAGTATTCATCGGTTCACATACTAAGGGGTTCATCCTGATCTGGAGCTCTGAGGATTTACCCGGAGTGGAAACTCGGCTGATGTGGAAACCGGGGAATGAAGAATGTTCGGATAGAGCTGGTGGAGACCGAGGAGCTAGTGGAGGGCGAATACTAGAGTTGATGTGCATGGGATATGTGTGCGACTGGCTGGCATGCAGTGGCGACGGAACACTGGTCGTGTCGAATGGGAGACTCGGTATGGCCATCAAAGTTGGGTTTAGATCAAATGGCAGGGCATTTGAATACCAAGAGGCATAGTCAGAAGTCATAGAATATTGGTAATTGACCTGGGTTATTTCCTGGTTTTGGATTGGCTGCTCGGTTCGGTAAAGAAGATCGTAGTGACCCCTACAGATCATTTTAGCCATTTACTATTTCAAGGTGAGCAAAAGAATGTAGTTTCTTACGGTCGATAAAGAAGCATGATCGTCGCTATAGGATTATTGGGTGAGAGCAAATGTGGGGTTACTTGAGTTCCTTCACTCCTATCCAGATAAAGAATCTCAATGGCAAATCCGGACGCTCCAATGACTCCGTCGAACAGCCCCTGAATCCCAATTTGGTCGATTTCACTTTTAACAGTTTCGATTGTTCTTGTGCAGTAGTCAACAAGGGGAATTCCGAGGAAGTCCGCGTAGCGACTCGGATTCAACTTCATCCATGCACTAGTCACCAACTGATGAGATAAAATTTGTAAGCCAGGCCTTAGAATTGACAAATGGTGGCTAATTCCGTAGACTCAGACTTACCCTAAAATGCATAATGATAGAAGATGAATTATATTCATCATTAAACGCTTGAAAGAGGAATGAATCGTCATAGCTTCCTTTCTCAATCTCCTGAGATATACGGGTAAGAAGCTCCTCCGTTGCATCAACGAACATTTCATAGAGATGCTCTTGGCATCCAGTGGAGTCCAAAAGCTCATTCAAGGATTTCATCCGCGCCAATTCTTGGGTCACTTTTGCAGCATCTCTCAGGTTGAACAAAGTCTCGAAATATCCGAAAGCAATTGCTAGCGTAGAATAAGTCTCAAGCACATAGAAAGCCAAAGAAACGGAAGCATTGAATAGCTCACCTCTCCATCCACAGTTTCCATCCCCTTTCATAACACGATAATGAGAATGGGTGTGTGAGAGTGCCTAGAAACAGGTAAGCAGGCATACACTGCCGAGATTTGTGAGAAACGTTCTCAACATACAATAGTTTTTGCAACATATATCGGATCTGCATTTGCATATTCGGAGGTTATCGTGCCGCTGGACTGTTTTGGACCAACGAGGGGACCCTGTGCGAACCAATTAGCCAACGGATCAACATAGGCTATGTTGGAAGACAAGAGACATGCTGCCCACCTGTAAATCCGGTTCATAGTTATTGGAGAGCTTCTGGAACTCCGCCATATGGTCTGGGTCTGCCATATTGTCTGGTGAAGGAACAGCGCCTATGGTGGGGTTGTAATGCGGTGTTCGGTGGAAATTATCCAGATAGGGGGCTCGAAATAAGCGTCGGAATGCCGGAGCAGCCTGAAATGTCTGGAGGTGAAATCGTGCTACCGCAGATTCTAGAGAACAAAATTGACGGTAAGCAAGGCTGCACATGTCTAATGCAGCAGTCTGAGCATGAATGGTGCAATACACAGAGAGCACCACCAATCAACCCAATGTGTGTTCGTGCTTCTTTGTGATTTTATCTGATGAGTAAAGGGGGCTCGGCCAGCTGCAAAACATGACGGTTTTCTGATAGCACATGAAAGGCAGAGAACGTAGCATATAATAGTAATGTCAAATAATAGAACGACTACATAGAGTATATTGGGGAAGCAAAGCAGAGTTGCAGTAATAAAGCTACCAGCAAGACCTAACCACAGCAGGAAGAGGATGTGAAAACTCACGTCAATTGACAGTGACAGATTCCTGCTGTGTATTATTATGGAAGCGGAGGCGACCTTATGTACGGAATACGGAGAAGAGCGGTATTGATATGCAACCCGGCGAGCTGGACAATAGCACACACCTTCTGAGGAGCCCCTCGTGTCGAATGGTGTAAGCCGTCACCACTGCGTTGCCTTGCGAAATCAGTTGTTATCACCGCTTGGAACGGGATTTACGTCTCAAAAAAGTGATCAAACAACAGCGACGAATGGGAGCTGCATGGTGCAACTCACGGCTGGAACGTGCCTTGAAGCAAATAATCGCTGCGAATGAATGTTTTTTGTTAACTCGCTGCGAGGTGGAGTGGGACAGCAAGATCCCGGCTGACTCAGCAGCGCGGCCCTCGAGTCAACTCATCCGGTTCAAACGGCGCAATATTCAACCTTTTCGCCCAACCATCATCACCAGCAACATGCGATAATCTGCAATTCGCGGGACAACGTCTCCTTGCTTACCTCTGTTCCCAAGTAAGTATGGAAATTACTATAATAAGAACCAGCTGGTTTCGATCTGCTGTAGCAAGCGTGTATTAAGGCTAGTGAGATGCTCTATAGCGAGAGGAAGTGGAAAATGGCCAACAACCATAATAAGTTAACTGACCCTTTGCAGCGGATTCTCTGAAGCGAAAACTTGAAAGTGGCGCAAACATCAGGTGCGAAAATGAGGACATCGGCAGAAAACCCACCAGCTGTGCACAAGGCGAATCGTTAATTTGGCTCCCGAGAAGCTAGCAAATAGTGATTAGTGTGGGATTGTCATGTATGCTGCTGCAAGCCGAACCTGCACATGCAGAGACAATCTGGTCAAGGCACAAATTGATCCAAGCGTTGCCAAAATTCTGCTGCAGCTTTCCCTTCTCGCCAAGGGGTCGCTTGAAATTGTCAAGCCTCCACCATGAGCCTCCGGAAGAGTGGGAAACTGCCGGTTGACTTAGCTTCATGTTCTCAAACTCTCTCTGCCGGCAGGCTCACACTTTTGCAAATTCCACGGGCCGGCTAAACCGATCAATTCTGCACTCAAATCAATTCTAAACAATACCCTCGAGGTTGATTGAAGAAAGAAGCTTTAAAAAAGAAGTCAATATGTTTGATACGGTTACCCCCAACAATACAATTTGATCGTCTCTGGATGACGTCCCATCAAGATATTGCGTCTGAAAGACTAATCCATACATATCTCTCGATATCCTCTACAATGAAAAATCTGGTGTGGCTCAGTGGGGTCAATCTAATTGGCGATCAACAGATGCAGTTAAGCTTGTCAAGACTTGGTTCACCTTCAGGGATAACTGCTTGGTTGGCATGTAAACCGGAATTGCCATAGCATATCCACCAACCTGGGAGTGAAGCAAAGGCAATCGTCAACTCGTGCCGGAAGTATGAGGATTGGGTTGAGATCCTTTTTCACTCTTTTCGTTTGTTCATCTTGTGATGGGAAATCACGCGCAAGATTTGATCCTCTGATACATGCATTCTTCCCCCTCCCTAGGATCGACTTAGATTCATCCCGTTCGATTGTTGCGCCTAGACGTGTCACAGTGCCGAGGAATACTATATCACCCAAGCAAGGCTCTTCCAAGTATGCTGCCGGAGACCCTCCTAGCCTTGAAGATTAAAAGCTAACATGGCTTTAATAACGCATCAGGCTGAGTCTCCGGACCCAACACAAGATTCTAGCATTTTCTCATCGATCTACCGAAAACCCTTTGAACTATTGTCGATTAGAAGGCCGTGGTAGCCCACCGTTGTCTATTTGCTGTTGAAACAAGCTCATAATGTGACAAGCCAATTCTGTAGCTCGATATACCAATCTTCCAAGGCTTAAAACCCAATCATTACCAGACTCCTTTTTAGCGCTAGCCTTAATACCTATGGGAAATGCCAACCATGGAACCGAAGGAAAGAGATAATATACTGTTTCTCAACAGTAAGTGCTCATCTAGTACTACTCAATTCAGAAGGATGAATTCACTTCGTCCCTGTCTTGGGTCGTTCTAGTTCTGGAGCGTTTGTCTTCCCCATTCTTTTGTACCAATACACCACTTCCATACCTTCAACCACAGGCATTCGCAGAAAGAAAGCAATTGGAAGGGATACCAGCCAGGCGAAGCACCCAAATGGCCGCAGATACGCGTGTCATCGTGGTGGGAACTGCGAAGATTAGGTCATTTTTCTTTTTCCATTGCGTCGCAAACTTGACCTTTTGCTTTTGTAGGCTTATGCCAATTACATGCCCCATTCTATCCGCCCCCCTCGGGAGCCAGAAAATCCATCTTCTTTCGATTTGATAACTGGTACATATCTTCTCCCTTCTCAGTCCACGAACCTGCTCCCTTTGCCTTAGACGTCAACACGTCAAAGAAATATGGGTCTCAGGCGTCTCACGGTGCATATGTCGGATCACCACGGATATCTCCTTCTTTGCAATAACCTTGTGCTTCCTATCCATCGGGACTACTGATTAATTTACATCGTTAAATCAGCAGCCACTTCCGACTTAGTTATCCATGAATCGATCTTGAAATTGACAGGATGTTCCCTATGCAAGAACACACAATTGATGAGTTCGAGAAAACATAATAGACACGAATTTGCATCGTCAAATATGGATAAACGTATTAGGTTCGCAGAGAGCCACAGCTCAGTGAAAGTGACAGCTCATTGTGGCATCCCAAACAGAAATGCTGAGCTGAAGCTTTCCGCTCGTTATCACAAGTCAGATTTATCCATTAAAACCTTAGTTAGGGACCACATATCGCCATTTCGCGTTGGGTAACTTAACCATATTGTGTTAAATCACTTGCGACGGACTGACACCCTCAAAATTCCGTTTCTTGGCCAACACCACTCCACATACCCATCTTGCCAAGGTCACTAACTGACATGGTCCTTTATTCTCCAGATACAATATTCGGGCTCTTGGAAACGAAAAGGAACCTTGGAAGCTGGTTTGACCACATTCACCGATTGCCTTTATGCACCTCCAAAAAATCGTTTTCGTGAACAAAGTATTCGCGGTATGGTTGAACCTTCGTGTTTTCTTTCTTGTTTCACTCTATTCATTGGCCATCGTTTTCCTATCTAGTTGGTGCTTCCGATGCAGAAATGAAACATCTCCAGCTGGCTAAAACATAATCATTGTTCTTGCCTAGAATGTAGCTACCCCCAAGCTTGTGGAGTGGATAAGATCCGTTTCTTCTTCTTGTTGTGGGGCTCCTAGGGTCTTGGTCAACAAGAACGGAAAGTCGATTATTTCCAAGGCTTAACTAGCGATCTTACCTTCGGGACGAGCCATTGATGTTCTCCAAGACGCTTGGAATTCGCCACAAAATGTCCCAAGTTGTGGCGGTGGCTTCTCATCGGCACGTTTCGCATGGGTCGAAACACGCTTCGCTTCGACGCAGATCGGCCCAACCATCTGTAAACTCAACGCAGGTGTAGGTGGCTCAATGTCAACTTGTCAGATATACGGGCATCAGGCATGGAACTTAAAAGAGCTAACAAACTTGGCCATAGAGGGACTGATATGTGGTCCAATTAGGTAGATATACTTTCTTTGTGTGCTTGGGTTTCCAACGCCCGTCGGCCATTTTGGGAGCGGTTTGAATTCGAGATATCAAGTCACCCTTGTATAGTAACTGAGGTGAGTGGCTTTCCGTGGTTGTTAGTCTACATGGAATTTATATTTCTCTTTGTTTCCTTAAGGATGAAGTGTAACGGCGCTGTTAGTTTTCTTCCCTGCATATGTGCAGGATTAACAACTCCTTAAGATACTTGTTATTCGGTTTTGTCCGATCACTCCTGGCTGCTACCGATAGCATGCTATCAAGCTCCTAGTTAGGAAACCTACAAGATTTAAGGCACCCAGCGAGCCTTTCCGCTACTTTCGATCGGTAAATACATGGTTATTATTATTGGAAACACTCTAAATGTGCATTCTGGGTCCAATGGTCGTCCCACTGAAGAGCCTGATGACATTTGGTTGAGCGATCGACGTGTTAGATATCCCGAAGATGCAGGTGAACTTACCCAAAAAGATCCCGTGGAATACCCCCACATCTCATTTTGTTGCGCTCAACGTTAGGCGCCCCATAACCTCCGCCTGTATGAGAGCGATGGCTATTTCTATATTGAAATAATTTGCCAGCACCATGCGGGTAGATCTGCTCTAATTGTTCGCGATGGCCTAGGTTTAGGAGTCCGTCACATGTGTAAGCTTTATACCACCGGACGTTTGGTTCCAAAAGCCGCCAATTGTGATATCGTCGGAAAAGCCATCACGATGTCGTGGTATTTCCTATATCTACCATTCTCCAAGTCATTATCGAGCATATCGAACGCTATTTATTCCTGCTATCGTCATATACCATATTTCTTCCCATACAGTTGACCTGCTTCTCCAGATGCGTATATATATATTTCTTCCAGAACCACAAGGGATCAACGCCCTCAGGGCCTGGCTCAATAATAACTAGACCGGATATAAATTACAAAACTGGATGGAATCCTAATCGTTTCCGTTCCCAGATTGTTATTCTCGCCCTGTCTACGCAATTTGCCACCCTCTTGTCCAATCACCACTGTGCCTCTAATTTTATCTAGTGCATAGGACACACTCCTGGAAATATCTCTCGCGATGTCATAACTTCTGCATATTCATGTGTCAAGTTTGGTTGGCCGGCAACCTGGAGTCATCTCGGTAGCCAAGATACGGTTGGAGTGAGGGTTTGTTGTATTTTTTCAAAGTTGCATTGATGTAACCAGGATTACATATTGTACGGAGCGCAATAAGGATTCGTTGATCGACGCGGGGATATCTGAAGGGGTATATACCTGACATTGTCGGTGGAGATACTCGGCGCTTCCAACTAAGGATGTGAGTATTTCAAACTCCTGCACAAGTGTTCATTTTTTTCATTAAGCCTGTTTCATTCCTTCTGTGTTCGACGGTTTTGCTTCTTCAAAGCTAGTTGGAAGGGATGATATGTATGCATGAAGAGCTGACTGCGTACTGCGTGCGTCAAATATGCGAAGTATAGATTGGGGCATATTTGGAAAGGAGCAGGTTTGGGAAGATCAGCATCGTTTCAACACGTAGTGGCAGCCTTTGTTCGAAAAACGATTAAGCATGAGCAATTCGATCTTTACGCCTTGGCTGTATCTCCACATCATAGCGTCCGTCGACGACACCATGCTGCTCGGCATTTCCCGCTCCCAACGGTGCACTAACGGGAGAAACATCTCCCAAAGTGATCTCACACCATTATCACGACGAGAGCAATTCCCCCCGCTTCTAATTGATACATACAATATTAGTACCGAAAGTTACCCCTTATCAGCAAACACGTGCCCCTTGTTTCGAGCGGAAGGACGGGAATACTAATAATACCTATCAATCGGCCTTCACCCTTCCATCATCCCATTCTCATCCAGCGTCATGATAAAACTAAAGTATGGATGACTCTTTGGATTCTAGGCCATCGACATGTTTTGAAATCTCAGCCACATTTTCAGATATCACTATATTGGTTATCTCTGTCACACCAAAACTGTGCCTTCTTCAGCAAAGCCGTTACTTACACTAGAATCTGCATGTCCGCGGCCGCTCCCTGCCTCCTGCACACGAGCCATACCGTCGGTGCTGGATCGATCTCCTGATAACGGTTCAATTTCCCCTCGTTTCCGTGAACTTGTTTTTGAGAGAGGTATATTTGAGCATAATAACTTAGTAAGGTGACTATTGGCACGTCGTTGCTTCTTGACCGCCCCGTATTTCACTACCCTATATTCGATCGTGTAACCGATGAACAATACATTATATCGGATCTCCAGTTATCGTTATCCACAGCGATGCGATCGACGACTGCAGCGATTAGGACGAACTCTGTAGATCCACTGGAGATCGACAGTGTAAGGACACACGCACACACACACACACACACACACGCACACACACACACATATATATACATATAAATTGTATGAATATGAAGGCGACTCGGAGTGATTGAGGATTCTTAGGCCTATGTGAATGCATGGCTGCCGGGTTTTCTTAACATCAATCTTGGGAAATAAACCATTTTTGCCGGGAGAGTAAAACGCATCTTTGCGATAACGTGCCTCCAGTGACAGGAAGGGGATCTTGCTTCTATCACTAAATGTCTGAATTTAGGCACTTTCAACAATCATTTATGTGCATAGGCAGTTTGTTATGTTCCATCACGGTCTACGGGGGAATCGCAGCAAAGAAAGAAGGGCTGATCTGGTGGAAGGCTGCTGACAATAATTGAAGCTGGCCTAGTAGAATGTTTTATTTCTTGAAGTGGTTGCTGATAAACAACAACAACAACAACAACAGCATCATCGCTTCCAGTGGTAAAACTCCTACCTATCCCAATGGATCCACACTGGTCAAAAGGGGTTACCAGAAAGCAGTCAGCTACCAGAGTGGCGCAACAAAAGGGATCCCAACGATGTAACAGATGGAACACAAAGGGATAAAAGGAAAGAAAGAAAAGTGAAGAAAAAAAGAAAAGAAAAAAAAACCCCGGGTCATTAGTGGAACTGTATCATCAGAGAGGTCGTGAAAAAGCTTTCGCAATGCCTGACTTCCCCTTCCAATCCCTCTTCATCCCACCAACACCCATCTTCCTGAACTCCGGCGACGATGCAGAATCGTCTGTAAGGCCCATCTGCCCATACCCACCCCCGCCACCACTCAGCATAGATGTGTGAAGTCGCGCCGTCTCCTCGGCCCTAAACCCATCTGCGTTTGTCAAAACACACTGACAAAGCGAGTTTAGCTGAGATGTCCAGGTCTCAAGAGCATGCAAACGCTCATGGTCCTCATCCCGACTGATAACTACAGCACCGGTTTCCTGGTCAATTTTTGCGTCTGGGATTTTCCGATCAAGGATCAGGAAGCTGAGGATATCCTGGACTTCTGGGATGGAAATTTTGATTTTCTTGGAGATGAAGGAAAGGCTGAAGCGGGTGTAGGGGGCGATTAACTTTAGGACAGCCTTAGTGCGCATGTTGCGGCTTACTTCGTCGATGTTCTCGGCTATGAAGGGGTCTGAAATGACGTCAGGGTTGTCGCGGAGGATTGATTCGTAGGCGTGTATGTCGTCGCGTTGGAATGCGTCGACCAGGTCTGTCATGGCGGATATGCGGGGGTCGGTTTTATATGGTTTGGTTTCTTGCGAGTCAAAGGGGTTGATGTTAGATTTCATTAACATGGTAGTCAAGACGAGGTACTTGAGGACCTGGATGCGCTGTATGGAGCCAGCTTCATCGTAGTTTCTGAACGACTCAAAAAAGTCACTCTGTGCCTCTTTCCAATTCTCTTCACTCATGTGCATCTTTCCGCCACACTCGCGAATTATTCCCATGATTTTCGGATGCGGCACGGCAGACCGCACGGTGAGCGCTTTCTGATAGAGGGCCTTTAGCCGTTTATTGTTCTTCGTATTCGCGTACATCTGTATTTCCAAGGCGTAGACCTCCAACGAATATGTTCCCTTAACCGGGTCGTCTGTCCCGTCCTCACGCTGACACGCTCGATGCAATTCTTTCACTTTCTTACTTAGCTGCACGTACTCCTTCCGCTCCAGCCACAGCCTTGCTAGCTTGATATTTGTCTTCAACCAAAGCCGTTCGTTGTTGGTATTTTGGAAAGATTTGAGTGTTAAGGAGTAGAACTCCTCCATGCAATGGTATGCCGTTTCATCATCGGAGCCTTTTTCAATGTAATCCAGCATGCTGTTGATCGACTTTTCGGAATAGTTTCGCGTGACGGCCGATTTGACGTACGTGAGCAGTTCACGGTAGTGTTCAATCGCCTGAATGGATTGCCGTGAGTCGCATCATCCATGCAGCGCAGGTGTAAGTAAGGTAGAGCACGAAGTGTCACTCACATCCTCAAATCGACCAAGCTTAAATTCCAGCTTAATCGCTTGCTTTAAACCTTTAAACCCCCTGCAGGAAGTGCTGTCAGCCAAATCCTATCGCAATGCAATTCCACGATGAAGACGCAAAGATTACCAGTCGCCTTTCTCCTCCTCTAGCGCAGGTACTTCTAGAAATTCAGCAATGGCCTCCTCTGGATTGTCCCCTTTGATCTGCTTCGCGTTGTAGTATTTATTCTCGATACCGACATCGGCTTCTTCGTCGTCGTCTTCGTCTTCATATTCGAAGTCATATCTATATAAGCTGTCAGCAGATGATAAGAGAAGTTAGGGATAGGCACATACTCCTCCTGGTCGGAGTCCTGCATGAAGTCGTCGTCCGACATCTTGAAGCAATGTGCAGTGCGTGCAGCACCGGCTATAACTACCCCCACAGCAATATCTGGCTCCTTGCTAACTGATTCTGTGGGGAAAGGGATAAACGACTCACGATCTGAAGCTTTCTGAGCCGTTGATATAAGAGTAGAGTACGGATGAGGGACCCGTCGTCAGGTACGTGGGGTGGGATGCTGCTCCATATTTGGACTAGCGCGGCTCCTTATCTGATCGCGCCACTCTGTGATCTAACTTGGTTATCCAGGCTCACCTGCAAACCTCGACCTTCAAAACAAACGGCACCTGTACATATTCAGTCCCTCGCTGCCTTCAACCCAGCAAGAGTCTATAACGCTATTTCACATTAGACACTGTGCCACAATGGGAGGCGATCTCAATCTCAAAAAGTCGTGGCATCCCGTCCTCCAGAAAAACCAGGAGCGGGTATGGATCGAGCAGAAGAAAGCGCTCGAGGAGCGCAAGCGGATTGAGCAGATGATGAAGGAGCGGCAGGAAGAGAGGCAAATACAGGAGCTGCAGCAAATGCAGGAAGCAGCAGGCGGGAAGAAACGATTAAGCCGCGTGGATTGGATGTACTCGGGGCCCGCCGCGGGCCAGACAGGGACAACCGAAGAAATGGAAGGATATCTCCTGGGGAAGCGCCGCATCGATGATCTTATCAAGGGCTCTGAAAGCTCGAAGCTACAGAAATCATCCACGGAGGACTCGTTTATGGCTGCGCAGAATGCGAATACCGCGAGGGATACCGCTGCGAAGATTCGAGAAGATCCCATGCTGGCCATTAAAAAACAGGAACAAGCCGCCTACGAAGCAATGATGAACGATCCAATCCGGAGGAAACAACTTTTACAGGCTGCCGGTGTCGATGCGCAGTCGTCAGAAAAAAATCGGAAGCACAGAAAACGCAGACATAGGAATGATTATATTGATGACGAGCGGAGTTCAAGACATAGGTCTCGCAGACACGATGATAATGGCGACAGACATAGGTCCAAGAGACACGATGATGGGGATGACAGACGAAGTCGTCATCGTCGGAGCCATCGATCACGCAGCCCATCCAGGTCGCGATCGCGATCAAGAAGTCCACCACCCCGCCACTATAGATCCAAAAGCTCACCGTCGCCACTGCACAGGCGACGATCTTACTCTCCGCATCCCCGTGACCGCTCCCGAGAGCGCTCATCACATCGATCCCGAGAGGAGTCCTCCCGCTCCAAGAGACAGAGCTGGCACCATTCTCGAAGAGAGTCACCCCACTCCTATCAGAGATCCGACGCTCCTGCTCGTGCCCGTCTCCCTGCTCCACCAAAGGAGACCAAATCCACCACAAATGATGAAGAGCGCATGGCCAAGTTGGCCGCTATGCAACGAAATGCCAACGAGCTAGACCAGGATCGCGCGGCCCGTCTAGCCGTAGCTGAGAGGCGAGAACGCAAGGAGCAGGAGGCGGACGATGCGGCTCGTGCGCTGTCAAGCAAATATGGAGGGAAGGGGAGGTTTGTGAACGGTCTTAATAGGCGGGCTGGAGAAATGGATCTGGCTGATAGGCTCCAACGAGGGAGGAGGGGTGTTGAGAAAGAGCAGGAAGCTTACTGAGAGCAAGGGGTTTCCCCCCTTTTTTCGCTCTTATGGCTAATTCTTTTATGATGATAATAATAACATAATATTTAATCTGGTTCGTGTTTTCTGCTGCTTTATATATTGGGATCTATGAGTAAACTTTTTGTGATATCTGTTGGATTTTGTCTATTTCTAATTTTTTTTTTAACGGTGCTTGGGTATGGAACAAAGGTTCTGGGATATATGTTCTGTACATATATATGCTGATAAACCTGTCAGTTTTTGGGGGTTGGTGAATATTGTTTTCCGTTTCATCTGTTTGGGGAAAAAGTCGATGATTACAAATCTCCATGGATGCACCCATGGTTTGACGATGGACTCATCATCTATGATGCAGCCGTACTGACCGTTGAACAACAGGTCGAAACACTTGTATACCGGAGTGGAGTACGTGGGTACATACATAGCGAGTCCTTAGGCCTTGTATATATATATATATATAGAGAGAGAGAGAGTTATTACTTGCCATGAGTTTCACAAAAAGGCAGTCCGCAGCAGACCCTTGCGCAGAAGCAACGGAAGTTCTGAGGATTGGACAATGCCAGATCCTGGAACCCCGCGTAGCTGAAATAGGAAATCATTACACATTGAAATGGATTGTTCCCAGTCCTTGTTTTTACCTCACGGGAACAAGCAGGATCGCTGGGACTTCCAGGTTTACGGAGTTGCCCGGTTAAACTTTGAAGAGTTTTCTCCCGGAGGCTTTCCCAAAAAAGGGGGGGGAAAAAATGGGGGAAAAACTGATCCCCTGGCTGGGCCCCTGAACCCGGGGGCCCCGGGGGGGGTGGGGGGGGGGGGGGGGGAGGGCGGCTTTCGGGCTTGTTTAGCTAAGTTTTGCAAGTTAGTTAACCTAAGTTTAGCTGAGGTTTGCATCAAGTCTAGACTGCACCTTACCTGGGGGGTTAACCCACTCACCCAGCGTCGAGGCGTTGACTTACCATGGCAACCCCTAAGCTCCCGGAGTCAGCGATGTCATTCCACCGGCATACCCACCCACCCACTCTTGCGTTGCTGTGGCTGAACACCTTGATCCGCTCTGTTTTTTATTTAATCTTCTCTTCCTCTGACGGCAGTCATTTCTACCACCTTGCTACAAACATCCACTTGCTGTGGACACATCTTATTCACTACAGCTTATATTATAATACGCACTCTCATTTCTTGTTTCTGCACCTCCTCCCATCATCATCTTCATCCTCCAATATCCGCCCGCCCGTCCTCCCCCCCGTAAGAGATCGCCATCCGGGAACGCTGCTAGCTTGTCCCAATTCAACGTTCTGTCCGTTCCCGGACTCCCTCCATATTTACCTCCCCCCGTCATCCATTCGCATCGTCTATAACCTGACGTAGTCGCGGTTCGCGCTCTCGTCATGATGGGTTTGTGTCGACGGGAAAAGACGGTCCATCGTAAGCTGGTGCTCCTGTGAGTTTAAGACTCCTCCGGATAGAAGCGCCTGTGTTTGCCCTGTCCAACGTCGCCTCAAGTTGCTACCCCGCCATGTACATCAAACTGTTATCAGTATACTAACGGGTAATCTTGGATATACAGAGGTGACGGCGCATGTGGAAAGACGTCGTTGTTGAATGTGTTCACAAGAGGGTAGGCACATGCATCTCTACCTACAATACATCAGACTTCCCCAAGTCTAACCCTTGACGAAACGTGCATGTTTGACGACGCACTGCGGGAGGGGGAAGCAAAAAAATAAAATTAAAATTAAAAAGAAAGAAAGAAAGAAAGAAAGAAAGAAAGAAAATTAATAAAATAAATATAAATAAATAAATAAAGCGGAGGATGAAACAGAAAAAAATGTTTTTGAATCGGTACTGATCTTGCATCTAATGCGTTGTGCAGGTTCTTCCCTACAGTCTAGTAAGACACCACACGATTCCATCTACATTCTCCTGTCTACACAACCAGATATGATCCCCCCATAGCCCAAGAGAAGAATGCCAGTGTTGACCAAAGCGCCAATATATCCGTTGTTGCATGGATTGCAGCGAGCCAACTGTCTTTGGTATGAAATAATAGTTCACCTCTACCCTTACATATCGCGAGATGACATTGGTTTGGCTGACCTGATTTGCTTTGAATATAAAAAATATAAATAGAAAATTACGTACATGGTAAGTTCCGGCTCCGTCCTTCATTAGTCATGGAACTGGTTAGCAAAGAGTACCAAATACTGATTGTTTGCGGCAACCAGATGTCTATGTCGATGGTATCCACATGGAAGTCTCCCTTTGGGACACTGCTGGCCAAGAGGAATTCGATCGCCTACGTTCCCTCTCATACGATGACACGCAAGTCATAATGTTGTGCTTTAGCGTAAGTTTCGACCGTCCCGTTTAGTTTTGCGTGGTTGGTTGGGCGCATTGCATTTTCTTTTCGTTGAAGATTGGGAGCGGAGAGAAATGGCAAACAAAAGGTAACGGCTAAAATTTTCGACGGGGGAAATATAGGTTGACAGTAATGACTCGCTGGAGAACGTTGAATCGAAGTGGCTAGCGGAAATTGCCGAACACTGCGCTGGAGCTAAAATCGTCCTTGTCGCCTTGAAGTGCGATCTGAGAGAAGAGGTCGATGAGAAAGATGGAGAGGAGGGAGGATCGCAAACTCCCGCGAAATCAATCGTTAGATACGACCAGGGACTCGAAGTGGCTAAGAGAATTGGTGCGCTGAGATATCTAGGTATGAAGACATGTCGCTTGGATTTCTATGGAGGTTTCTCCGCCTTTCTTTTTTTTTCTTTTTTCTTTTTTTTTCTTTTTTTTTTCTTTTTTTTTTTTTTTTGAAAACACTTTTGTCTAATTTTTCCTTTTGGTTTCTTTTGAATAGAGTGCTCCGCCATGCGAAATCGCGGCGTCAACGAGGCCTTCACAGAGGCTGCTAGAGTTGCACTGGCAGTAAAGCCTGCGAGATCTTCAGACAGCAGGATCGACAAGTGTGTGATCCTGTAATATGCCCTTGAAGGAAAGGTTCTCGGGATCACCCATGCATGCACAACGCACTAGCTTTTTGTGTCTCGGCCCTGATGATGACCATTCATATAACCCACGGCCCCAAGTATATCGGTCCTTATTTTCCTTTGTTTCTAGTTATACGCGTCACGCAATACCCCCAACTTCCCCAGGCTGAAATCCTTTCCGCGTTGATTTTTCTTATGGTCAAACATGACGTGGATATAGGGCAGTTACGCCTTTTCTTTTCTCGTCTTCTTCGACCTTTTTACCCATTATCGTTTATATGGCCAGGGTATGTGGACATTTTCCTCATTTTTTGTTCACATACTCTTTTCATTCACGTTACCATGTCACACTTTTACAAACCTCCACCCCAATTGCCACCTTGGAGTGGTCCTTTGTTTTCTTTGTGGGTGTGCCATCTTAACGGAGCAAAATAACTCAGGGCGACGGGATCTCCGGATTGATTCCAGGTTGCTTTCTTTCTTTACTTTTCTCTTTTACTGCAGATTTCTTTTCCAACTCCTTCTCTCCCCGTTCCCGCCTTTCCCTTTTAATGCCGAAGAATCCTGTACAAAGTTAGTTTTGTTACTTCTCTGTTTGATTCTGTCTATTCTCCTGTCTTTCCATGTGGTAAGATAACCTTCTGTTTGCTTGTTAATATTAGTATATGTATATTGCATATCTTTCTCCCCTTCTTGTCTCTCTATGAACACTTGAGGAGATTTTCCTACGAAATCACAACGCCAATACCTCTAATGGCCCGTTACATTATTTGAAAGAGCTTTTAAGACACCTTCTGTATGTGTCTGGTCAACGATGTGCTTATCCCCTTGCGACGTTTGATTTTCTTTTACTTTTGCTTTTGTGACGTTGGGTACGTTCTATTATTCGTCTCCCAGAGATCCAGCGATACACATATTAGCGATAAACCTGAAGAAGTCTGGGGGAAAATGGGCAAATTATTTTAGATGATATACCATATTTTTGTTCCGCTGCTCGGATTCTCCAGGTAGTCTTGCTTGCCCTTCGTGTGCGAAAGGGGGTTGCTAGGCGTGTCATGAAGGACATTCTTTATTTATTTCTTGAGAAACTTCATATTATCACCGTCACTGCTGTACTTGTGAGATGGCATTACTATCCAGATCCCTAGAAGTATCTATGCAATATAAAAATCCCCATAAAACCGATCCCAGAACGCCATCGCAATGCTTAAAAAGAGCCTTCTATCCAAAACTCAAGTAAAAAATCCAGAAGGTAGCTAGGGTCTCTCATCCATCCCTCATTCCCGGCCATCCCCAAGTACATCGCCCTCCTCTATCCTATACACCTCGTCAATCCCCACCCCGCCGCCCGTCTCACAACAACCATCAACCGCCCCCGGAGTTCCAACCTGATTTACCCTCCTCACAAAAGCAGCCACAAACCTCTCCGCCACTTCTCTCATAATATCATCGCCATCCCTAGCATCACCAAATCTAACCCCACACCCAACAAGGCTCGTCGGCTCCCTCCCCTCCAACCCACACGCAACAATCTGACGAAAGAACCACATCGGTTCCTCCGTAACATTCAGCCCGACACCGTAACTGCTCACATACCGACGCAGATGCACACCCACCGCCGCAATTTTCTTAGCCAATAGGTCACTGCCGCCTCTCCGCCCATCTTGTAACTGTGATGGTTGGTCCACCCAGACACCGGGATCCTGTTCACTCAATACGCCGCCTTCAACCCCATAATCGCTCAAGACATCTAGTATACTTCTCTCCAGCAAGCGGATGTGCTGTCGTGGACCCAGTCGTAGTCGTCGCAGGTCGAGAATTGTATATGCCACCAGCTGACCGGGGCCGTGGTAGGTGGTTTGGCCACCGCGGAGGGTTGGGTGGAATTCAGCAAGAGGGAGCTGGGAGGGGGAGGTGCGGGTGAGGAGGTGGCGGATTGGTTGGAGTGGCGTGGGGAGGAGGTTAGGATCGAGATTGTTGGAATTGGCTGTGCTGGTTTGGGGGAGGTCGCGGCGGCCCGTGGTGTAGACGGGATGTGGGGTGAAGGTTAGGATTGTGGGGTCAGGAGGAGCGGGAGTGGGAGTGGGAGGTGGAGAGGATGGAGAGTCGTACAGCTTTTTGTGGGTCAGGAGGCGGGAGACGAGAGTTTGTTGGAGACGGGAGGTGTGGGTGAAGGGCGTCAAGTGGGGGATGTGGAGGTGGGCGAGGCGCATGTTGATACAAGGGGGGCATCGGGCGCCACAGAGGAGATATGAGGGAATCGATTATGCCTCTTCTCTTCTCCTTGTCTTTGAGATAAATTGCCTTCTTCATCAATGGATATACGCCTGGACAACGTAAATGTTTCCATAAGGGAAATTTTGAAGCTCAACTTTTGATCGGTACCAAGCAATCACGTGATTCTGTATCCGAGTTTCTTTGCTGTTAAATGAATTCATCCATCCGTTGGATTTACTCAAAGCTTGGAGCTAGCCAGCCCATAGGGAAATCTTGTGATTTTTCAGAAGTATCAACACTGTTCTGGCACACTTTATGTTGTTGGAAGCATGAATATATCACAAGAGCGTGTACCCGCCTTAAACATTCAGCGGTGGAGTTACAGCAGCAATGTCTCCCATGATCTAAAGTTCAGTGGCTGCCTTGCAGGGGAGACTGTGGGTGGAATATCTTGCCTGGCCCTCAGCTACATCACCGATAGCATCAGGCGAACGATTGTCTCCGGCCCTTGCCCACCTGGTTCGCTGGTGACGTGTTGGCAGAAGTAGAAGGGTGAGCGCCCCTGACGGTGGTATAGCTACGGTCCTCGTTTAAGAAAACTCGTACTTATGGCTGCGGCGCCGGTTTCGTGATGTCACCACAGGCGTTGACCCATAACTACTACGAGCGGTGATTGAACAACGAGACCGGTTCAAGCAACGCCTTGTTGCCCCTCCATAAGTTTTGGGGAACTCATACGTATTGCCTGTTCATGAGTACGTTTAAGGATAACTTGGTTGAGACACCATTCTTTCCGAACCCGTGCGTAGGGCCACGGTCGATATGCATGAATTTGTCAGTATATTCCACTGTGCACGGAGTAGGGTTTACAAATTTTGAGAACACGACGCTCCAAGCGAACCCCGTTAGAATATCTAGAAGAGCAACGGCACAAGGTCATTTCAAATTCAGGAAGAGATGAAGTTATCATCAAACGATAAAGACCCTATAGGCTAGTATCAAACAGCGTCGGCTAAGAGTTCTGAACCGTGGAGCAAAATCATCTCAAGGTCTAACTGACGGTCCGCCTCGGTGTCGACGTAGGTGCTCTTAAATTCGCAACGATTGACTGGAGAGAGCCAGACAAATGGAATAGGATTTGGAAGCCATTTTGTCTGTTATGACACAATGTCGGCCTAGTTTCTAGGCCGTCATGCCCTCTCACACTGGTAAGACCTTTGTCTTACAATACAAACGGATGACACTTCCAATTCACTGCCATCAGATAATTCAAAGTGTGGACATCTCTATCTTGCCATTCTCAGAGGCTAATGCATTGTAAATGTATTGCGAAATGCCAATTGAGGTCGTCAATAGTTGCTCCCGATCTTCGGTAACAAACGGTGTCCTAACGAAGACCTGGGATTGCAGGTCGCCGAGTTGGATGACGTATACTTGAAACAGAGCCCCGATACCCGACCATGAGCGTCCTGCTAGCTATAGTAGGATGAGACATTCGGGAGTGGGTGTTTTCAAAGCACTTCGTACACTTCGACCTCACTAAGAGTTTCGTTTTCAAGGTCTTCGGACACATATGCTAAGAGACTCGATGTCTTGACATAACAACCAAGCAGTGGCGACAGCAACCAGGTGGGCTTGACCGTTGGTCCTCTATCCTCAACCACGAACTGCTTACCATAAAGCTGTGCCAGACAGTGAGCTCGACTTTTGCGACCTCCCCATTTGGCAGTGTACAAGGAGTTGGTAAAATGACCCGGAGGGAACTGAACTGGAATTTGCCATAGTTTTGAATGCTTCGTTCGACCAGATGATCTCAATCCTCTCTGAGCCCTCCTGGCTTTCCGTGCCCTCTAAGGCCATGTGTGATTCCTCCCTAGGTCAGCAGCGTTTCTCGGAATTATTTCCCTTCTAAGCCTTTCGTCAGAGGTTGATTCTGGATATCGCGTTGTCAAAGGTCCCGCTTTTCGCGAATAAAATTTGGAAATAATGCACCGTTGAGCATCACGTGGTTTTGACAAATTACGTAACACGTTGCCCGGGCAGCCGCCCCGCCGCACGTGATTAGTGTATATAGACAGTTTGGCTTAGCCTTTCAGCCGACGAGGAGATTGAACCATCGCAACATTCTCTCAGTAGCTAGTTAATAACTAAATTCAACTTCCACCGCAAAGTTGTTGAACCTGTCAATGTGAAGCATGCAAAATCCACAACCTAGGTAACCACTGCTTTATCGACCTGGAAATGCTGTTGCAATGTGAGTTGCTCCGCCAATTGGACGTATGGAGCTATCTATTAACCGCTTCTCGTTCAGGGTGGATATAGCAGTGGATGTTCGCTTGCGCAGCGCCATACTATTGAACGATGTCTTGCTGGTCAAACGCATCATCAAAAACAACCCCAAGTTCCTGGAGAACCCAAACTACGAAGACAAGAGCAATACATCGTTGCACCTAGCCGCCATCCAGGGTCACCTTGAGGTCGTTGTATGGAATCTTCCTCCCGTCCAGCTTTACCCACGACCCGCATCTAAATATTTCTGCAGAAACTCCTCGTATCCTTCGGCCACGACTCATGCACACCTAAATTCCTGAAGACCGGCCTGGACACCGCCCCAGGCATCAGCTTGAATACTGACGGAGCCACCCCGCTCCACATGGCAGCTATACATTCTCACCCTGCCTGCGTGCAATACCTCTGTACCCAGTTCCCGCAAACCATCAACCAGCCCGACAACAACGGTGCTACGCCCCTTATGCTGGCGGTCCAAAACTCGAACACCTCTCACACTCCACAAAGCACATGCCTAATCCCCCCGAAACAACGACCGCGTTCCTCTTCCAATGCTTCAGAGGATACGAGCACGATCGCGACACTGCTCAGACTGGACGCCTCTGTGGCTTTCACGGATAATGCGGGCAATACAGCCTTGCATTATGCCAGTGCATGGGGCAATCTGAAGGCGTTCAGGCTGCTAGTGTCAGCGGGTGCGCCCCCTTTGGCCCTTAACCATTTTATGTGTACACCAGCAGACTATGCATTGAGCATTCAAGCAGGGGTATATTTCCGTAGTCTGATTTCGGAATTCGAACGATTAAAAGTGGAATCACCCAAATTACAGCAGCACCAACAACAACAAAAGATGGAACTCTCCTTGAAAGTCAAAGAGAGCGATTTGAATAAATCACCTGCCAACATGGCTTTCCAGCAAACTCCGTTATCCCCAATTTCTCTGACGGAGATGCGGCTGGCCAAAATGGGACTCCGTGGCCCGCGAGCAGGAATCCCTGCTCTATCTACGGGTTCTGTACGATTGGTTTTACAGGATGATGGTGGAGATGCGTTTGCTTCTGATATCCCGTTGACGGCAAGGAAAGTTAGTGTGCCGATGGACGCAGGCAGCGCCATTGGACTGACAAACCCGTACGCTGGATTTCGTCGGGGTTCGAGTTGACAGGATTGATTAATTTTTTGTTTACACGTTGCCGTCCATGGAACGTTTGCGTCGGTTTGTTGGCATATACTATTTTGGTTCTACTATGGCTTCTTGTGCGCATCGGGCTATCTGTTATTGGAGAAAATAACGAGGCGATAGGGGTTCACGCACCGGCTGAGATTACTCTCTGGCTTTAGTGAACTGTTGATGAATGGTTGACTCGTTTCCAAGGAATGAACCTTTCTGCCTGCTCGAAAATGCTGTATGTGCGTATATGCCAACCTAAACAACACGTAGACGCTGATGCTTTCCATGGTTATGGGCGCTTGTTTGGATACCATTTCCTACCAATCTCCCCTGCAAACATGACACGCAAGCTGGACTTTTGCAAAATACCAATGGCAATCTTCAACCCACAGAGGCGGCTAGGCGAATTGATAGCCAACATTATTTTACTCCCACGACGCAAAAGTCACGTATCATGTAAAATAAAATTACTGTGTCTTGCCATTGCCTCGCCTTGCTGTGATTGCATGAATAACAACGCATGGGAAAGCTCGGAAACATTCGCAAACATGTCTTTAAGCTGCATCCATAGCACTTATCTCCAAACATCCCAAATTTTTATTCCGTTCCTACTCTGACGATAGCGTATGTTGTCACCGTGGCTGTGCCCACTGTGCATATACACACATGGTTCATGGCCATGGGCTATACCCCGTAGTAGCGATAGCAAATCATCTCCGCGATGTTTCATTGACCCAACATCAGACTTAGAGAGCATCGTGGGTTTCCGAAGATAAGAAGTGTGGGACCAGTAGCTAACTAGCCTTCCGCGGGTCCTCGGGATTAACTCCGCTACCCGACATCAAGATCGAAGATTCCACGGTTCAGTCAAATTCAATATCTGGGCTCACTGAGTATGAGGCTAATGGGAGATCTTAGAATCTCACCTTCTTCCGTGGTTCTTTTTTGAGATTGGGTCCCCAGAGCTCATCGGAACCATTCTTTTATGGAAGAGCGGCAGCGCTTCCCATGGTAACCAGCGGACTATTTTTTTATCACATCAGTCTTTTCCTTCAAGGTTGGCTGCTCGGGTTTGCTCGGGTTTATCTGATATCTCTCCTAGACGTGGGACTGCACATTGCGCAGAGGGCAATCAGTAACTACCTAGCTACGGCCCCTCGGTGGGCATATTGCCAATGCAGCTACCAGATATCCCACACCCTGAATATCATCATTAAAAATCCTCATATTGTCTTATGGTTGTGAATTCAAAGTACAAAGTTGTCACCCCCTTCTATCGAGTGCTACAGAAGTAAGATGAGACATATGGCTTAACTAGAGCTAGGAGAAGATACTTTGGGTCGTAGTGCTCGATCTTGGGATGTGGTACACCATGAATATCACACACCATCCCGAATCTTGGGATGCAGAATGTCGTTGCTCCCAAAACGTTGGTGGCATGATTCCAAATCCCCCGGTCCCTGTCCCAGGGGTGTACGAGAATACTCCCTTGAGCCTTGTCAGGATCAGCCCCGGTGTCCAAATCTATATATAATAAGGGGCACTGTCCTGGTCCTGCTTGTTATCCAGTGTCAAAAATAGCAAACCGATATCATATCGTGGTCTGTGCCTATCAAAAGACAAATTCCCACACACATCCAAAATTTCTATAAAAAAAAAAAACAATCGAATCTTACAAAGGTGCAAACCTTCTTCTTCAATACCGCTGGAGCCTTGTTGTTGCTCCATCCACTGCTCTCGCTCGTGTGCCCGAAGGCACGTGGATAGTTAGTTATGTGGCGCAACGAATGCTCTTCTTAAATGCCGGCCCTGTCTCTGTCTTCGAAACAACAGCACCATCATCCATATAGCTTAAGGAAGTTGGTGATTATCATACATCCATCCACTCAGGAGAAGCAAAACATAGCAGGCAGAATCTGTGGTGCTGGAACCGATGAGGACTGCAGGCGGGGACGGGATTGCCCGAACAAATCGAACAAGAGGCCCAAAGGGATTCGCCGCGGTAACAACTCTTGGGCACTCGCCTTCTGGCTGGGCTCTGCGAGGACAAACAGGAGGACTTGGCGCCAAAGCATAACCAGACCAGTGGACGTACGTCCAACCGAAGCTGGAAGAAGAGCCGCCATATGGCCCACCCCCGAAGAGACCCCAGCCAGGCTGAGATCCCGGTCAAGGTTCGGGACCCACAAAAATTATACCCAGAGACAGATGGTATTAGAAAAGAAGAGGTCAACAAACAGAGCGGGAAAGGAGGCGGCAACAATTAAGAGCTCGTGATGAGTGTCATTGAACAGATCGGCCTTATATAGAGAGAGATACCCAGGTAGATATATAAAAGTTCTATTTATAATTCTTGAATGTCTGTGTTGGGTCTTCGTGTCATGCTGTTGCCAATTTTATCCTTGCCTGTTCTATCAACATAGGCTGAGAACATGAAGTAGACACCTAAGGCACCTAGTACATGCCTTACCGAGCTCTTTCATATTTCCCTTTCTCTTTTGCCCCTAGGTGATTCGTTACTTTCTCACATGCAAACTGTTGACAGACAGCACAAGGGGGACCCTGGGAGCCCTGGGAGCCCTGGAGCCCTATACAAACGGCGTTTTGGGGGTGAGCTAGCTTAGCATAGCTAGCTGTCTTCCAAGTTGGCCATGGCCCGTTTGGCCCAGCGTGTTTTTAGCATCAGACCCAGCTAACTAGTTAGCTTCCCCAGCAAGTCGTCTTTGAGTTAAAGCTCTTTCCCATGTCCTGAGCCCTGTCTTTTTCAACTAAAAAAAGAAAAAGATAAATAAAGTTACGAACCAAACAAAAGGCGATGTTTTTCTGCGGCTCCTGGGTCATCACGTGAGGCCTCCGTGGTCTGGCCAATCAGACAGCCCAGAATTGTCAAAGCTGTGAACAACGGCCTTTTTTTTTTTTTAAAAAAAAAAAAAGTTAAGTTAGTTACTTAATTCAACTGTTGTATTCCGCATGTCGCTTCGCCAACAACAACACCGCGCGCGCGCATCTGCATCTGCATCCTCTCTTCTATACCTATAACATAGACACCTCTCGCTGCTCTCGCTGCTCTCTCCCCTCTACTGTCTGCCCAGGGTGCTCTCTCTAGACATCCACCCGGCAAATACATAGCATAGCGCCGGGCTAAGGTGCCCAGGGACCCAGTGTAGTTACTTGCGAGGTAGTGCCCGCCTGCCCAGCTGCCCAAGGTGGACAGCGATCTACAGACAGAGGTTACAGAGAAACAAGAACAAGAACAAGAACAAGATCCAAAGGTCCAAGAACCTCCACGAATCCAAGAAACCATGGTTTACATCCGCCAACACAACCTCCCCGCCCTGCGCACGTACCGCTACTCGGGCGTCGACAAGTCGCTCGTCTCCAGATACGTGCTCAAGCCCTTCTACACACATGTCGTCATTAAGTGTTTCCCGCTGTCTATGGCGTGAGTTACACACGTGATTGTGATTCGTTTGCCCTTTTGTTTTTTCCCCCCCTTCTGTTGTGGTCATTTTATTTTATTTTTATTTATTTTAATTCATTTGGGACTGCAGGTTGGGAGTCAACTGTCCACTTATACATGGGGGGTGAAGAGCAGAGGGGTACCAAAGGGGAGGGGGGGGGGGCCCGAGATATGTATCCATGAAGGATCCATGATACATACATTGCACATCGGCTCCATACCATTGGGAGATGCTTCTTTTTTTTTTTTTTTTTTTTTTTTTTTTTTTTTTTGTGTGTGTTTCTTTTTGTTCATTGTAATGTTTCATATCCTAACCTCACACTAACATCTGTCACTTCTCTTACGCACTTCTAGACCAAATGCTGTAAGTGGACGATGCGAATTAGGTCTTTCTTAACCCCCCCCCCCCCCTCTTCCTGGTGACGCCACTAAACATATCACATCATTTTGTTGTCTTTTTTATATTCGCTCCTTTTGATATTCCCTCCTTTTCTTTTTCATTAGTTTTCCCCCTGAAAAGCCTATCGAAAAACTAACATCAAATTTATCCAGATCACACTTACGGGCTTCGGTTTCGTGGTTATCAATCTCCTGACTCTCCTATGGTATAACCCTACCCTTGACCAGGACTGTCCACCTTGGGTCTATCTTAGCTGGGCTGTGGGTTTGTTTCTTTATCAGACTTTCGATGCCGTCGATGGGACTCAGGCGTATGTGTGCAACGATTTTTAATATGTTTCCATGCATGGGGTTGCTTGAAAATCCCTTTGAACAGGGTTGCTAGGGGAGGGTCATGACTTGGTGCTAATTGTCCATTGCCATGCACAGACGGAGAACTAAGCAAAGTGGACCTCTAGGCGAGCTTTTTGATCATGGTAGGCATTTCGTCTCCCCAGGGAAGATCGTGGATACTGACGTTTTATCCAGGAGTTGACGCCTGCAATACCGTACTGGAAGTCCTCATCTTCGCGGGAGCAACGAATTTGGGGCAAACGTGGATTACCGTATTGACTCTGTTTGGCTGTACCTCCCCCCTCCCCCTATTATCACCCACTATGTCCATCCTGGGAGCCCTGCTGACATTCCCTCCAGCGGCATTCACATTCTACGTCCAGACATGGGACGAATACTATACCCAAACCCTAACACTAGGCATAATCTCCGGCCCCGTCGAAGGCATCCTCACACTCTGCACCGTCTACGCCACAACGGCCATAGAAGGCGGCGCAAGCTTCTGGCACAAACCCATGCTCCCAACACTCGGCATCGGCCCCTCAATCTCCATCCCGCCATCCCTCTACAACCTCCCCTTCACCTCCTGGTACATTGTCTACGGCGCCTTCGTCCTCCTCTTCAGCACAGCAAGCAGCATCCACAATGTAATGAGCATCCGCCGCCAGCGCGGACAGGATGTCTACAAGCCGCTGCTGGGCCTGTTGCCGGCACTTGCCATGTGGGGTTTGGTGGCTGGATATTTGTACCTGCAGCCGGTGATTCGGGAGAGGCATCTTGTGCCTTTTTCTATGTTTGTGGGGCTTATTAATGCGTATTCTGTTGGGAGGATGATTGTGGCGCATCTGGTTAAGACTGAGTTTCCGTATGGGAATGTTTTACTTCTACCGCTTGTTGTTGCGGTTGTGGACGGGGTTGCGGGGAGGGTGGGGTTGTGGGAGAGTATCTTGGGGGTTGAGAATGGGGACGGGGAGGGGTTGTATCAGGTTGCGTTTTTGTTTATGGCGTTGGGGATGGCGGTGGGGATTTATGGGAGTTTTGTGGTGGGTTCTTTTCCCCCCCTCCTTTTCCCCCTCCACTCTCTTGCTTCTCAAGTGCGAGGAGGAATTTAATATCGTGTCCTTGATCTATCGCAAACTCACTCTGTGCTTAAATATAGTTCGACGTCATCACTACCATCTGTGACTACCTGGATATCTGGTGCCTGACCATCAAGCACCCATATTACGAAGGAGCTGAGAAGGCGGAAGTGGTGATAGAAAACTCTTCGCCGAAACCGAAGCTGTCATGATGACGATAATGATGACTATGATGATGACGGTGATGAAAAGATAAGGATCTAAAATAGCAGGGGACCTGTAGGTGCGAGCCGATCTGTATCAGCCTTTTCATGGTTTTTTTAATACATGAAACGGTTCAGAGGGGATGGGAACTGTGGTCTGTGAACGGGTGAGTTATACATATGTGGTATATGGGCGTTGGAAATCGCTCCGCCCTCCTCATCATTCAAGTCTTTTTTTCTTTTTCCTTTTCTTCTTTCCTTTCTTTCTTTCTTTCTTTCTTTCTTTCTATCTATCTTTTCTTTTTCTTTCCGTGTTTATGTTATCGTGTTGTTCTCAATATCAACATTGCCTTCTATGTTTTGCTTCTCCTGAGTGTATGGATGTATGATAATCACCAACTTCCTTAAGCTATATGGATGATGGTGCTGTTGTTTTCTTTTGCTTTTCCTTTCCACGTCATTTTGTTTTGTACACCTCCAGTCTATGTATATTCTATGAACCTGTTATTGTCCGTTTTCTTTTTTCTACTTCTCCTAGTATCTCATCAGATATCCCTATAAATCGCTGCTACGTTGTATGTACAGTATACGTTTTCTTCCTCTTATAACGCTGATGCTTTTTATCTTCTTTTTACTTTTCATTTTCACGCCTTGTTTATTTCCCGTTTTTGCCCTAATGAATACTTGTCGATCTTTCAATTACAGGTTATTTATATGCGTGGAAATGAGAGGGTGAGTTGATGGCTAGTCATTGTGAAGGTGTGTTAAATGTATGGCTTGTATAATGGGTGGATGTCTGGTCATATTTCTCGTGCATTCATAAATGAGAAACTGAATGGATTGCTGCATTTGAAGACCAGGTTAGAACTTGATCTGAGAAAGGAAGAGAAATGGGATTTTTCAAGTCATAATCGTACATCCATTTCAGTTACAAAGGCAAGTCGGGGGTATCACACTTACACACACACACACACATATACACACACAGAGTGAGAGAGAGAGAGAGAGAGAGAGAGAGAGGGAAACCAAATCATACAGCAACAAATATACTGGTGAAACCAGTATGCTAAACCTAATCTTCGCCCGATATTCCGCGAGTGCGACAAGAACATATCACGAGAAAATCAAACGGCCATCACGCACAAAACAATTCTCTTTTTATTTTATTTTATTTTACTTTATTTTATTTTTATTTTTATTTTATATATTTTTTTTTAATGGAAGCCTATCAGCCTAAACACATAAGACCTCATAACTGGCGTTCGATAATTCGTTTACCCAGGACAATGAGGTGCATTGCCTACACCTGGCTGGCCTGCTGTAGAGATACCGGAAGGCAGGTTCGCAGCCGAGTGCACCCCGGTAAACACCGTTTTCAAGTTCCCATGTGCGTGGACACCTGCAAGGAATGTCGCGCCGGGGACTAGGTAGACCTGTGGTGGATCGACAGTACCAGTGCCCGGGTGAGTTAGGGGGGAATTGTTGTATGCTCCCCCCGGTGCCTGGTCCGTGTCTGCACCAGGTCCAGCGCAAGGGCCAGCACTATTGAGTTGAAATGGGCTTGGGGTTTGGGTGGTAGATAATTTTGAAACTTCGCTAGCAATCTGGTGCTGGTGGGAAAAATAGTACGGCGCTTGGCTTTGGCTTGGTGGGACGGGTCCCATGGGCCAGGCGATCATTGGCATCATTCCTGGGGCCGCTTTAACGTGGCCTACCTTGGTGTGGATGTAGGTTGTGGTGGGCACAGGGGCCCAGCAGGCCTCGTGGAACATGATGCGGTTCTTCCTCGTCTACGACGAAACGGAAGCCTGCTGGGTTTGGGGGCTGAGCATATGGTGAGGGGACGCCGCCATTTGGAGGGCCCCACGTTGTAGCATGCGAGGTTGGGAAGGTGTGCTCCAGGTCATGATTTTGGGAACGTACTGGGCAGTGATTTAAAGGGGGATCGATGGGAGGTTGGAAGTTCTTTTAAAAAAGTCATGGAAGTATAGGTGATATCCAAGAGTATGAGAAAGGAGGGCACCAAATTAAAGCCAGAATCCAAGGGAGATTCTTGGTGTCTTTATAAAAAAAAAAGCATCCTACTACAGTAGAAGCAAATTGTCGGTGATATCTATTTGATTTTGCAATATCCAAAGATTCACTTGCTTGTATCTGCCAGGGCATTCATACTGCTTGTTGTTCTCCTGCACGCAACGGAGATTGTTGGTGAATATAGAACAATGGCAAAGAAGGCCCTTAGTTTGTTGTGGGGGTCAACATTATACACGATCTCAAGTAGAGGTTCAAGCACCAAGCCACTGCCACCCAAGCCACGACCTTTTATACGTCGTATGTTGAATGTTCAACAGTATTGCGTTCGTTGAAAGGTGTTCAGGGGCTGGAGTTGATATTGCGGCTGAAATAAAGTTACGCTGACTCAGCTTTACCACGCTAAGCCCAAAACATCGGGCTAAGCGAGTGCACAATTCCGCTGTGGTAGCCATATTAGTCATTCAACAATCTCCTCCTCCCGCCCAAGATACACGAATCTTCTCAGTCTCCTCATCGCCGCCCTCCGAGATCCTCTTTATCGACCCTTTGAACTTGCTCGCTCCGACTGTCCATCTCGACAAGTTCATTCCACAGGTCATAGCATCGACACCGTCTCCAAGCTGTCAACATGGTAAGCTCCTCTCTGGTCGTGTGATGTGCGAGACCATGTCTGGTTATCATCACTTATTATTGTTATTCACTTATCACTTACCGTCTTTACCTAACCCCGCCCTCTCCGGTATCGACAATTTATTATTATTATTATTATTTATTTATTTTTTTTTTTTTGGTCAAGAAGCCAACACTAATACTCATTTCCACCAATAGGTTCTCGCGGTCGATCTCCTCAACCCTACGCCCCAGGCGGAGGCCCGCAAGCACAAGCTGAAGGTACGCTATAACCTCTCCTCTCTCCTTTTCGAACCGTTGGCATGCACAGGGATATCATATAGACATGGAGATTATTCCAGGCATCAATCAGGTGAACTAACATGCATTTGATCTAAAACAGATGCTTGTGCCTGCTCCTCGATCCTTCTTCATGGACGTCAAGTGCCCCGGTTGCTTCACAATCACCACTGTCTTCTCACATGCCCAGACCGTCGTCATCTGCGCCGGCTGCTCGACCGTCCTCTGCCAACCCACTGGTGGCAAGGCTAGATTGACCGAAGGCTGTTCGTTTAGGAGAAAATAGAGAAGAGGGGGGGGGTCCGCGCCTTGAATGATGATGTGATGACGATGGCTGTTGTTTGATAAAGTAAAAAATCACCTCAAAGTTATCGGGAAATAAATCGAAATGGCGTTTTTAACTTCTGTCAAATATCTTCTGGTCGTCTTAATTTTTTTGCTTTCATTTTCTTTCATTTGCATTCTAACATCTATTTTTTTGTGCTCACCCTTCGATACGATCTGCTGATAGAAGATGGAAATATCCGCTTCGATTTTTTCCCCCAAGTGACTGCCACAAAAATAATAATGTGCAAAAAAAAAAAAAAAAAACACAAAAAAAGACACAAAAAAAGACACAAAAAAAAACAATTAAAAAAAAAACACAAAAAAAGACACAAAAAAAGACACAAAAAAAACAATTAAAAAAAAACGATTCAACTTGCATACAGGCATGCTCGCGTTCTTTTTCTCTCGCCCGACTATTACACGGCAAACCCCAGAAAGAAAGGGAAAGAGAAGGAAGTTCCAGGTATCTTGCAAATCAGAAAACCAGTTCTGTAATTGTGTACCATTCTGTGCATCTTGCTTCCGGCTTTTGGCAGGCAAACAAACGATAAAAAAAACTTCAAACGTCAAAATGTTCTCGCAGCTTCGTTTACCCCAATTTCCCTACCAAGATCAGCAAATATCAACAGCCAAATAGGCCCAGAGATCCAAAACGAGATATGTGGAAAGCTGCCTTGTATTTCATTCAGTGCTAGGCTTGCAACGGGAATGGTTTAGTGATTCATGTCAATGGAGTTCGCCAAGGCAAACACTTTTGGAGAACTGTTTGATCCGTTGAACATCCACTGTAGATGCGAGTTTACGAAAAATGAATGTGGAGATGTATAAAATAGGATACGCAGGGTAGGGAAACTATATACAAAAATACTATCCAATCGCTTCACCAAAACCAACCCCAACCCCAATCACAACTACTTACCCTTACTGCTGCCCCCATCTCTCATACCCGCATCCACCTCCCAACCTCCACCCCCCGTCTCGCCGCCCAGAAACCTCGTAGCATGCCCCAACCCTTCCAGCATATTTTCCACAAGCCCCAGCACCTCCTACCCCTATCTCTTTCCCTTTTCCCTTCCTCCCCAACCCCCCCGCAACCCCATCCAAATCCACTGTCGAACTTCTCCATCTCTTCAACATCTCCGGCACTACATACCCAACATATATCTTCTGCGGATGCTGCATAGCCAACGGCCACAGATCCTCCATCCACTGAGCCTGCGCCATTAACATTGCAAACAGTTCAGGCCAAATCAGGCTTGTCTGGATGCGCATCTCACCCATGTACTTCGGGCGATTCCTCGGGCCGCTCAAGGCCCTTGGCGGGATCAAAATTTGTATCGACGGCGAGGAGGAAACGGGCGTCGAATTGTGTGGGGGAGGGCGTTGTCGTTGTCGTTGTCGTTGTTGTTGTAGTTGTCGCGATGTTGTTGGCGGAGTTGTAGGAGGAGAAGCTGGCGGAGTCAAGGACGAGGAATGAGTTTTCGTGCATGCCTCGTGGGAAGCCGGGGGAGTCGAGGAACTTGGAGAAGTGTCTGGTGTCGATTTTATTTATTAGCAGCTTGTTTTACCCTTTTCGCCAGGTAATACACAGTTTTGTCTTTGTCTCCTTTCTCTTCTTTCATTTTGGGGGACTGTTGTGACGTCGATGTGCGCTATACATACTCTTTTGCACCATCAATGTCATCTTCCGCAAGCCCCAACTTCTTCCCGTCAAACGGGTGCAGTTCCAAAAATGGCTTTAGGTCCTCTGCTCCGTCGATGCCGGAGCCCCAATCTGCCAGATCTTGTTTTATATTATTCAAAACCATAGACCAAACATTATCATGAGCCGTGTCACCGTCATAGCAGAGCCTGTAAATTACAAACCCGACTTTGCGAACAGGTTTATCTGTGCTCGCAGATTCACGGATGCCTCTCAATACATCGCCGATCCATGGCACAGGTGAAAGTAATTCGGGCTCTGGATGCCATTGAACCCTTTGCCGTGTGTTTTTCTGCTCCTCAAGTTGAATGTTAATGGTCCGGTACAGGCGGTCTTGCGCTGACTTCTCTGTTTTGCGTGCGGGTTCTTTGTCTGGGCTCCTGACTAGGTTTTCTAGCATATATTTGGTCATGTTCGTTGTAAGGGTGTCGAATTTAAATTTATCGAGATATGCCCCACGGCGCGTGCCTAGATCTGGGCTTTGCGTTTCTGGAACTTCCTCGGGGGGTTGGGGTGGTATGCCCTCTATAGCCATTCATGGGCATGAAGATAGTATAATCAGCCTCCGCAGCAAGCCCGGCTAGCCTACGCAGTTTGTGCACGATGGCCAACTGATCCGGGCTTATAGTATCCTTTAACACAGGACCCTGTGTGCGTATGTGTTGGAGGAGCGGCTGTCGTAGGTCGTCAATGTGAGAAATAACCCAGTCGTGTGCGCGCCGTGTCATGACCTCGTAACGGACACGAATAAACTCTTCCCACAAAGCTGCCATTTTAGCTTCTTGATGTGGTCCCTGCTTGCTCTCAGAACGTCGCAGTCCATCCAATGCGTTATCGAATTCCTCCAAGTGGTCATAAATAGAGTTGAATGTGCCGCGCATATGCGAGATATGTTTGGGAACATTAAGGTAGTCAAACGCAATGATAACAGCTTCGATATATTGGCAGGCATATTCGAAGTTTTTCGGCCTTATGCAGCTCCTTTTCACGCCATTGGTTTTGCGATAGAGGAACCATACACTCCCATAACCGAGTCTTCATGGCGTGCACCGACTTATCCACTATGGTGAGACGGCTGGGATCCTCGTTTGAATCAATGCTAGTAAGCAATAGCTCGTTGACGGGCAATTCCAAACCGTTATGTGGGGGAAAGGCCCATTCCTTGTAGGGAATGATAGTATACATGACCTCTTTTTCGGAGAAGGTAGGCAAAGTGGTATTTTCCCCATTGGGCAGCGTCCCGTCAAAGGAAAATGTCAAGAAGGACAAAATAGCTTGCGGCAGGATGAGACGGGCAACTACAATATAATGAGCAAATATAAAATAATGTAAGTTGGGATCTATATACATATGTATATATGTATGTATATTTTGGATGGAGGTGGTGGTTATGGTCTCGTACCGATAAATAGCTTGTCCCGGTGAAAAGAAGGATCAAACGGGTCCAGAAGGCCAAAGGGAATGGTTTCCAATTCGTTTCTCCATTTAGTTTTCAAGGGCAGTTTTTGCAGCAGTTCTTGAGCATCGGCAAGCTTGAAGTCTACCGAAGGAGACTTGGGATCCTCGTTCTCCCCGGTCATGGGGGCATTCGCTGTGACAATGCAGGGAAGTTGAAGCAATGAAAGAAGGACAACATAGCTTGCGCATATAGCATGCGCATATAGCTTACGCATATAGCTAGTATATCCACACAGCCGGAGAGGGCTGGTTTATATCTCATTCTTTACGGCTTCTCTGAATCTTCCAACAGCGGTGGCATTTGAAATTCGAGGTCAAGCAGCTGCGAGGACCGAAGGAACTGGTTGTTGTTTTTTTACTCCGCCAAAAAGAGCCCAGTAAAATAGCCATGTAGCATCGCTATATAGCTTTAACCCGAGACTCCTCATTTCCGCGAATTCCAGGCCTCGAAATCAATATATCCGGGAGGATTATGCATGGATGGATGGATGGATGTATGCACGGGTACCGTACTGCCGTACTGTATTACAACCTTCCAGAAGCCTGGAGTGGAATGCGGTTGCTGAGTCATCCAACCCTAATCTTATCTCATCTAATCTCCCAAGGATCTTCAAACTCTTTTTAAGTGAGTATCAACAAATCAACAACAAGCCAACGATCAACGTCTCCTGAGTACATCGACAATGTTCTCTCGCCCAATCAACCCCCGTTAACAAACCCATTCCCTTACGCCTTCATGTTACAGTTTCTATTCCGCCTTGGTCTCACGTATCTTCTATGGTTCTCTGCGGCAATGCACTCGGCCTCACTCGCTCTCTGACAAAAATATCAAGGCCCAGCAACCGCTCATTTATCCTGCTCGCATCCCCACGGCTCGCCTCCATCGTCATCATGGCCTCTCAACCCTCCCCTCCGAGATCTCCTCTCAAAATCCTCATGCTACATGGCTACACCCAGTCCGGCCCTCTCTTCCGCGCCAAAACCCGCGCGCTGGAAAAGCATATCCAAAAGTCCTTTCCCCTCCACTCCGTCTCTCTCTCCTACCCCACAGGACCCCTCGCCCTCTCCCCCGCAGATATCCCAGACTTCCAACCTCCCTCCACCTCGGACACAGGCAATGAACAACCAGAGACCTTTGCTTGGTGGCGGCGCTCCAACACCGCCAACCCACCCGAATATGTCGGGCTGGATAAGGGACTTGACGCCATTGCCCGCGTGCTCGCTGAAGAGGGCCCCTTCGACGGGGTAATTGGCTTTTCCCAGGGAGCCGCGTTTGCAGCGATGGTGGCTAGTTTGCTCGAGCCGTCACGAAGAGAATCGTTCGAATACTTTACGGAAACGGCAAACAATCCATTAACTACCATCACCACCACAACCACTGCTAATGCTGCCGGTGAAAGCATTACAGGCATCGCCTTCCCCCAATCCTTTCAGAGCCTCACCCACCCGCCCCTCAGATTTGCCATATGTTATTCTGGCTTCATAGCGCCTGGACCGCGATATCGGGCCTTCTACGAGCGGCCGAGGATCCAGACGCCCGTGCTGCATGTGTTGGGTAGCTTGGATGTGATCGTCGAGGAGGAGCGGAGTAGGGCGCTAATTGGCGCTTGTGAAGGGGATGCGGAGAAAGATGGGAAAGTCATTTGGCACCCTGGTGGGCATTTTTTGCCTAGCCAGAGGCCGTATTTGGATGGGGTGGTTAGATTTGTTAGGGGGTGTTTGGAGAGGTCAGGCGTGGGGCAGACAGAGGGGCAGGCGGAAGGGAGTGCGGAAGGGAGTGCGGAAGGGAGTGCGGAAGAGATGGAGGTCCCGTTTTAGATGGTGGTTTGGTAGTGGATGTGTGGGGTATCATGTTGAATGCGTTGGCCTTAAGACAGTGTTAACACACCATATAGATATATGTATATACCAGGGTTGGTGGGGGGCTTTTTGGTAAAAGATTTAAGATTCCACATCAAACTGAGGTTATGCACCCAGTTATATTATAATTAGAAAATTTTTACGAAAGCCATTTAATAAATAAATCCCAACTTCGATCTGTCAAATAGAAAGATATCTTGAGAAAGTACTTTTTATTGTACATTCATTTCTACACAATCCCATAAAAAATTAAATCCATTATCACCAAAGAGAGAAAGGAGAAGAAACACCTTCAGCGAACTCTCATTGTTCCTCGCTCGGAATGGGACGGATTAATTCGTGCCATCATCTCCTCCTTAGTAATCAAATGATCGATGCGCTCAAGCAGGCCAAGCAGGCTCTTCATGTTACTGCTCCACTCATTCAATATATCATCAGCATCACGCGGCTTAGCAAAGCTCACAATTCTTGCTGGGCGGTCTATCTTCGCATAGACAGTCTTGGACGTGACGAGATCGGAAATGTACTTTTCCGTTTCCTCCTCATTGAGATCAAGTAGTTCGGTTAACCGCCCTATCTCGATGCGGGTGTAGTATTTAGCAACCACGCGGACATTGTGCTCGATAACACGCTTGCGCAGATCCTGCCATCGGGTATACGCCTTGTTGTCCGTTGATGGGTCGGATTGGGCGTCGAAGACATCCGTGCTGCAGAGATGCGGGCCAAATTGCTCAGCGACCATGGGCCATCGCATCAGCTCGTTTATGGTGAATAGTTTGAGGAGGCGAGCCTCGACAGGGACCAGGGCGTTTCGGGAATCTGCTTGGATGCGGTGAAGAAGGTCGGATTGCTCGTTGTCGTGGGGTGATAGAACCACGTAGTAGATAATTCGTTGAAGTGCCTTGGACGAGGTTAGTTTCAGGGTCATTTCGAGATGCCTAGGGAACGGATACACAAGCTTACCGCACGCAGCACCGCTGGGTTTTGTTCAACAGATTCGGTATCAAGAACCTGTCGGTAGTGCTTGCAAACCTCGAGGTATTTATTCTCATGGTTTGCGAGTATGACCTGTTGCTCATAATACCTCAATTTCAGGTCCGTCACATCCTCTTGCTTCTCTATTGGTGGGTCATCAGGTTTCCGGTTTCTTTCTCGCTCTTCGATCTCTCGTTGTTCTTTCTCAAACTCCTCAGGAGTCTTCTTGGGTTTTCGTGCAAAGTATCTGGTGCTAATCTTGCGGCTTAATATCCCAGCTTGCGTCCAGTCCCCTTTGGCTATGCACAGAGACACCTGTTCCAGGATGAACTCAGTTTTTTCCCTCCGCGACATGGACCCAAATGTCTCCACTTGCAACTCGCACAGAATATCGACAGCGCTGGTAAGGTCACCCTGGGACTTTTTGATGTTGGACAGGATACGTGTCACTCTGGCTCTTTCCACTTCGACAAAAATCTATATACCATGCCAATTAGAAAAGCCATCTATGATTATCAGGTGCAGCGGAAAGCCAACCTTGCCCTCCGTAACCGTCCTCAGAGTTTCGATCAATGCCATCTTAGTCTCCATATCGGGAGTTTGATCGATGAATCCCATTACAACCTGCACCATCTTCGTCGTAGCTTGTTTGAGCTGGCCATGTTTCTTCGAAAGGGCGATGACCTGCTCGTTCAGCAGTTTCCAGTCTCCTAATTCTTTGGCGATAGTGACGATAGCAACAAGCAGTCTGGAGGTGGAGGGTAGATCCGACGCCTTGAAGCGGTTGCAGTCAACATCCATATAGCAATGGCGAGTGAATATTAGAAGGCACTTACTTGTCTGGCTTGTTTCTCGAGAACCAAAAGCTTGTCAATGGCCTGGTGGACGTTGGTCTAGCAGGCGGGTTAAATTAGTAGCTGCGCTTTCGTTCGGAGGCAGTTAACCTGGATCCAAACCTTTGCCAGCTCCTGCGCCTCCGGGACCAGCGCATCCACATCCTTTGTAAAGTCCTTGTCGGCCTTGAATAAGGTGCCGTTCGACATTTTGGACAGGGCGTGTATCAGCTGTCGTAACGGAGATGACTTGGTGTTGGGGGGGGGGGGGGGGTTCCTGGTTGCAGGAGAGGCAGAAGTTGGAGATTTGGGGTGCCAATGTTCCGTTCGTCGATTTCGTAGTACTGGTTCCGATGGCAGGATAGGAGTTGTCACTAGAAATCAGAGATCAGGGCAACGTATTCGGTTGAAGTGACTGGGGAGACAAAACAGAACACAACCTTAGCTGAGGCTCGGTTGGGATGTTGCTTACGCATGAAGTAAAAAGCGGCAGTTGGTGAATGTTGGCGGTTAATTTATAGTTAACTAGTTAGTTAGTTAACTAGTTATTCAAGACTGATGTGTCAGCGTGATTAGCGCGCGCTTATCTCTCATCCTCGAACCGACCGGAACAACAAACCATGGGCAAGCTCAGGTTGAAACTGTGCAAATGCCAAACGATGGTTATCATGCCGCCCTTCTGACCAACCTGCTATGCCTAGGTGGGTAGCGACTGGGTTCCAAACCAATGGTGCGACAACTTTCGGGCTTCTCCATGGATTGTTTTTTTAAAATCGGTGCATTTTGCTGCCGAATACTGGTGTTGGGTGCTCACTCTCCATCGGTTTTAAAGTATTGAGAAATCGCACCGCTTCTCCGATGCCGATTTCAAAAGGACCCAAAGTCTCTCCTCTCTGGATGTTGGAATCCTCCTCTGATTTTTGACTTCTACGGCCTCCCAGCTACCTTCCCCCCACTTCGAAATGCTTCCGCAAGTCGAACTGCACATTTCATAAACAAGAGAGATGTCAAAATCATCTGACCACCAATTTCCGTTTTCCTTTTGATGCGGTTCCCTGAGGCAGCAGACAATGGAAAGAACCTGGAGATTTCCAACAGGGTATTAATTTTCCGTCTGTAAATAGCTGTCAGTCACCCCAGTTACCCCTGTTTTCCTCCCCGGGATATGTCTATCATGTGACGAAGATACGCTGCTTATATCATCACGGCCTGGGCGATCACGCCATCCAAGGACTCAACAAACTTGTATAAAAAGGGAGAAATTATATGTAAAAATATATACTGATTAATCATATTCCTTTGGTTTTTGGGATTTTTCATACTCTTCATCTCTTATCATCCCTGGCACCTTTTTTCCTCTTTCTAGTTGGAAACGGTTTAACAGTTGATAGTAAAGTCTTTTGTTTTGAAAGCTTATGTTTAATCATTTCATATCGAACACTATTCCGCTGATTCTATACGGAATTTCTTCAGATTTCTGCTTCAGCTCCTTCTTGTCTCTTCTCTGGATATTATTGAAGTCGAGCTTCGTTCAAGGGATTTTGTACCATATACGCATTGTTTTGTCCATTTACTTAAATCTCTGCTGAGAATTATCCGGGATCATTGAATATCAAGAGATGAAAGATCTGTCATATGAAGTGCCCGGGCCAGTTCCCCTTTTAGCTGCACTAGATGTGAAGGCGCAAGTTCATCTGATTGTTGGTGCAAATCCACTTGCGGCTGCCCGCTGCTCCAAGTGTCTTGACGTTGGGGCTATACCCATTGTCATTGCGCCTGAGAGCGTGGACATACACTCTACTCTTCTACAGAAAATTGAGGATGGCCGGGTACGCTGGATCGCGCGGATATTTCAAGACGACGATTTGAAGACGTTGGGGCGGGGGGACGTTGACCATGTTGTTGATGCCGTGTTCATTACGCTTGGAAGGAATAATCCTTTGAGTATGCCTCTCATTAGACGTTCTCGTCAACATCTTACATTTGTTGACAGTCACTTTTAAGGTTCGCATATTTATCGACTTTGCCGCCGGTTACGGATTCCAGTGAATGTTTCAGACGCGCCGGATCTTTGCACATTTACTCTCCTATCTACCTATTCAGATGGGCCCCTCCACATCGGGATAACAACATCTGGCAGGGGCTGTAAATTAGCAGCACGTTTACGGCGGGAAATATCTTCCTCTCTCCCCTCTGGCCTTGGTGCCGCCATTGAAACCCTAGGTACTGTCAGGACACGTATCTGGGAAGATGATCATTTGACCAATACGGCACCTGAAAATCTACCATTTGAAATAGGAGACGATGACTCGACGGCCCAGAAGCATACATTCAACTCCCTCGTGACGCCAGAGGACAATGAAGCAGCAAAAGCTCGTAGAATGCGGTGGCTGTCGCAAATATGCGAGTATTGGCCGCTTCGTCGACTGGCCTCCATCACAGGCGCTGAAGTCGAGGCCATACTAGCAGCATATCAATCTGCCAGCAGCAAAAACTCTTCCGTGGGGGAGGCTGGACCCCCATCAGCACCAAAGAAAGGGAAAATTATCCTTGCCGGATCCGGACCTGGACATCCTGATCTTCTCACCAGAGCAACTCACATCGCTATTAAAAATGCAGACCTGATCTTAGCCGACAAGCTAGTTCCGTCGCCCGTGCTTGATCTTATCCCACGACGAACAGAAGTCCACATCGCCCGAAAATTCCCCGGAAACGCAGACAGAGCGCAGGAAGAATTACTCGAAATGGGGATTACGGCACTACGAGCTGGCAGGACCGTGCTAAGACTGAAACAAGGGGATCCATATCTCTACGGCCGTGGAGCAGAAGAGTATAACTTCTTTGGAAGCGAGGGATATGTCCCTACCGTTCTGCCTGGGATTACTAGCGCACTAAGCGCACCGCTCTTCGCAGACATACCCGCCACACACCGGGGCGTTTCTGATCAGGTGCTCATCTGCACCGGTACGGGACGCAAGGGTGCAGCACCAGAGCCACCTAGTTATGTTCCTACGCAGACAGTTGTTTTCCTCATGGCGTTGCACAGACTCCCATCCCTCATCGAGTCACTCACCAGCCGTCCCGAGGTGGATAAGAGCCCTATTTCACGGATCCTGTGGCCCAAAGATACGCCGTGTGCAGTGATCGAGAGAGCGTCTTGTGTTGACCAGAGAGTCATACGGTCAACGCTGGAGCATGTTTGTTTAGCAGTTCAGGAAGAAGGGTCAAGGCCGCCCGGACTCATTGTTGTGGGTGCTAGCTGCGGTGTGCTTCATTCATTGACGGGTGCGAAATGGACAGTTGAAGATGGGTTTAAAGGGCTAGATGGGCTTGGAGGGTCGGAAGAGATGGTTCTCCTGAATGAACTAGGGGCATCACAGAAAGCTTGAGGGTTTCCTTTCTTTTCTTTTGACGGCAGGGCAGTTTTCATACTCGCTTCCCCCATACAACGACCGTATTCTGAGTACCTTTGATTTGGCGTTTGCACCTGCATTTTGGTGAGGATTGGCCTGTGAAATTTTTCGATATTTTGGGAAGCATCTCGGTATCTTGCGCGGAATGGTGTCTGTTTCAGAGCATTCCTATTTAGTTGTTGGGAACATGCTGCTTTATCCCGAGATTTAACGTCCATCTCGTCTTTATTTCTGTTCACATATATAATGCACACACCTAGTCTTCCAAGCTGTAATTAGAACCCCTGAATGATCTCTCCCAATTGTCGATGTCTGTGATATAATTCATAACAAGTATTGCATTAATTTACCCGTACCGTAAATACCAAAAATACCACGCCAAACCCAAATGCACCCGGAACAATCTTTTTTATAGAAAGACACTCAAAACGCCAACTAACAAAACTATTTCTGCTTCCTCTGCTTATCTCTGCTTATCTGCCTCTCTGCTCTGAGGATAGTTGGTTATATATGTTCGACTTCCCCTTCTGAATCGCTGCTTGCTTTCTACATATATCAGCGACTCAGCTAAGCACATGAATACAGAGCCGTCATAATGTCTGCACCAAGACCCTACGTCTCCAGCGGGCACATGCTCGAACGGTATGTCGTCTCACACGCAACACTTCATCAGTTACCTGTCTTCATCGTTTGACAATCTCACAGCCCGCCTATCTCCGCCCGAATCCGCTATTTCATCGATGACCTGTATATCTTCCTCGGACTATACGTTGTCAGTTTCTTCTCGGTATGTGTAATACCCCCCTCCTCCACCCGCCGAACAGGATGCCAACTAGCTAATCCTCCCTTCGTCTATATACACAGCTCAACGCCTCCTTAGCAGCACGAAACTCCCAATTCAATGTCCAGAACATAAACAATACGCAGCTCCACCGGCCGCGATGGGGTAGTTCGACGGGTGGTGGTGGTGGTGGTGGCGGCGGCGGCGGCGGCGGCGGAGGACCGGGTGGTCCTGGGAAGAGGCTTGGTGGCAGTGGTGGAGGACTTACGAGACGTATTGGGCGGGTTGATGATATCCGGGGACCGGAGTGTGGGAGTGGAGGCTGTGGCTAGATGAAGGGATGCGAGAACGGTCGCGGGGTGTAGAGAATTGTATTTTGCTGCGGTTTATCCATGAGATTGGATAGATGGGAGAATTGAGGATGAAGTTGATATGATACCTATATTTTGTATTTCCCCCCTCCCACATCTGGGATCTATGGTCTTGGTTAAATGGATGTCCCTACTTGCTCCCTTATTGTATGGATGCTGTCGTTTCCTCTGCTGGCAATCATATGGTTCCGAACAATTTTCAGTTTTCAACTTGTTCTCGACAGAGGTAGATTGGAAGTTAGGAGTTTTATCTCCCTCTAAATTTATGTGTAATAGATGCGGTTTATGCTGCCAAATGGTATATTTATATGAACTGTAGACATTCCACAAGTTCAACCTCCACTGAATATCTTGAATCTATCAGCGGGAAAGACAGAGGTGGCGCTGATGTCATCTCAACACCCCGCGATTTACTGCTGAGTAGCGGTCATATTGATCTTCTTGAAAATTGTGCCCTCTACTGCCCAGGGAGAGGGAACTGATTAAGCCTACAAATCGACCACGGATGAACAAGATATTGCCTAGGTGAGAGGCTACAGTTCTGGATTATGTTTTTGCAGCTTATCCGATTCATTGGGGGAGTTGTCGCGCTCTTTTATTTACGTTTTTGGATGTTATATTGCTTCGTTTTTACTATTACCCTTCTGTGTATGGAACCTTTACAGTCAGTTGATAACTGTTGCATGGAGACGTTTGTCACATCTTGGATATATTATCTCAGATCTGAGAGAGTTCTACTTCTGGCTCTTGCGAACACAAACGTGGAGATGTTTATCTGAGATAGTTACATCTACTTCCCATCATCACGGTGTATTTTCATGTATCTGCAGGCTGTCTCTTTTGAATACATCCTTAAAAGCGAACTGTCTACATTCAATGAAATTAAAGCTCATAAATATACAAACCCTAGACGTCACCCGCCTTCGATCACGACATACCTTTTCCAAGCGGACGGATATTAGCATCTTAATTCCGAATTAAGAGCTAGAGCATCATCTTCTTACCGGAATTTTCAACCAAACTACCAACACGGATTCCAACATATTATATAATGGGCACCTCAACCCCCGCAGATAACGCCGAATGGAGCAGGCTAATCACTCGAACCTTCAACAGCCTCCCCGAAATAAATACCAGCAGCTATCCAACCCCGAAAGATCCGCTGGTTTCCATTTCCAAAATAATCGACCACACCCAACTCGCCCTGAACGCCACAGAGGCACAGATAGATACCCTCTGCGCTGAAGCTATCCAATACAACTTCGCAACGGTCTGCGTGCGCCCCAACTTTGTCTCACGGGCTGTCCAGCAGCTGAAGGACACCGGTGTCGGAGTGGCATGCGTCATTGGCTTTCACGAGGGGACGTATGGCACTGCAGCAAATGTTTCTGAAACCCAAGCTGCATTGCGCGATGGCGCAACGGAGCTTGATATGGTTCTGAATTACCAACTGCTGAAGCGTTTGGATTATGCAGCGGTGTATGAAAATATACTTGCTGTGCGCAAAGCCTCAAAGCCCACTCCCGACACCGATCACGGTTCCAGCAATATCGTGTTGAAAGTTATTCTTGAGACGTCACAGCTAACGCGCGCCCAGATAGTTTCGGGGTGTGTGGTCTCTTGCTCTGCCGGTGCGGATTTTGTCAAGACCAGTACTGGCTTTAATGGGCCTGGGGCTACCGTGGAGAATGTTGCGATCATGAGGGCAGTCTGTGAGGCAATGGGGAATAGAGTTAAAGTGAAGGCTAGTGGTGGTGTGAGGACGGCGGAGGACTGTATCAGAATGATTAGGGCCGGGGCGGAGAGGATTGGGACTAGTTCTGGCGTCAAGATTGTGAGTGAGTTGGGCGAGAAAGAGGTTGGTGCGGCGGAGGGAAGAGGAGAGTATTGAGACGGGGGGTTATGAATCTGAAGATCAACGGGATTGAAATTTGTATTTCGGAGTTATTGGATACGATTACGGGTGAACGGTAAAGATGGTTGGAACTTTTCTTCTATATATTAGAGCCAATGGCTGCGTGTGAACGAGCGGAAGATGGCGAAGGAGTGATCATCGCCAGAGTAAATAGCAATTGTATTAAATGGATGTTGACTAGTTATCTCATAATCCCGTAGCGAAATCACCCATTCAACTATCTAAGCAAACCACAGAAAGGGACAACAAATACATCCGTTTATTAAGCCCCCTGGAGAGGGAGGCTGTCGCATTCCCCTGTTCTCAGCATCGCATGAAGCTGTTTAGCTGAAGGAGTCGGCCTTGTCAATAGATAGCTGCTGCATAGCCAGTTACTGTTGCGATAAGATTATCTTCTGTTCATCTGATAAGATCGAAGCAATCACATCACGTGAAGCTGGAGAGAAGCTTCAAGTTCCTGAAGAAAAGTAAGCATCGAACAACATCAAAGCTCCGAAGATAGCTTCGACCTTGGATGAATATTTCCCAATTGGCTTGCCTGTTAGGAAGGTTGCTTCATTTTAGCATGTTAAGAAGGCTGGATCTGTTTCTCACCGTGGCGCTCACCTGTGTCGCAAACTACCCGGAAGGAAGCCCGCACGTAGAGAAAGACCTTTGCGCCCAGCCATGCATAAACCACATGTACGCCGAGACCAAGGAGACTGCTTCAATGTGCCTATGGGCTCTGATATCCTAATCTCCATATTTGGACTTTTAGAGAAGAAAAATAACGCACGAGTATTTTTCCGAACCCAATGACGGAATTGATGTAGACACGTCCAAGCCCACTGCTGTTTTTACCCCGCGGGGAGGAAGATCGTATACGTTGAGCGTTGCTCTTCCGGGAAGCATCATTGCTAAGTACGCCCTCAAAGAGATTTCAAAGCGGAATTTGCCTGACACAAATTCCCTCAACAGTGCCCAATCCCACGACCAAAAAACCTTCCTCGCTGGCTCAATCGCGCGAGCGCTAGCAGTATTCTGCGTCGATGAAGTCGTAATATTCGAGGATGAGGTTCGACAGAGGCAGTCAAATGCCCACTGCGATTTGAGCAAAGACGAATACACTGCTTATTCCAACCCGTCGCATTTTCTTGCACATGTCCTGTCCTACCTAGAAACTCCCCCGCACCTCCGAAAATTCTTGTTTCCCATGCACAAAAATCTCCGGACTGCGGGGACATTACCGAGCCTGGACATGCCGCATCATATACGAGCGAACGAGTTGTGTGAATATCGAGAAGGGGTCACCTTCCCAGCCAACGAGGAGCACGGATTTGGGCAATCGAATGCGGAAAATCATAACAACCAGCATAAACGAAAGAAAGGGAAGAAGAATATGGAGGAAGGGGCTCAAGACACGGTGATGTCCTATACGTTAGTTGACACAGGCCTTCCAAATAAAGTCCGCATACCACATATACCCGTTCCGGAAAATACGAGGGTAACCGTGAAATTGTGTTCGTCAAAGGATCCATCCCAAGTTGCCGAGGTGGTCTCTCCCTCTGCTCCGCGGGAAGAAATGGGTTACTACTGGGGATATTCGGTCCGGTGCTGCGACTCACTATCCGACGTGTTTACTGAATGTCCTTTTGATGGAGGGTACGACCTGTCATTTGGGACCTCAGAACGTGGCTCGCCTCTATCACAGGTCATAACAGAAGGGGTTCCCAACTTCGAACACTTAATTGTCGTTTTTGGAGGGGTGGCGGGTCTTGAGGTTGCGGTGAAGGCGGACAAGGAGTTGCTGGCGAGAGGCTTGAGGCCTGAAACAGTTGGAAATATGTTCGATTACTGGGTGAATGTGCTTCCAGGACAGGGAAGCCGCACTATTAGGACTGAGGAGGCGGTTTGGTTAGGGCTAATGGGTTTGAGGGGTGTGGTTGAGAAGAACGGCTCTTAGCAAGAGGTTGATGGCATGACGAATTCCATGGATTTTGGGATATGTAAAATAATTCCTTCGTTTGCAGAAACGATCAAATAACTTATGTGGCTAATAAAGCCTCTGGTAACACTTCAATTGATACGACCGCATAGCTTTGAAGAATCAGCGAAGACTATGCGTTTTTCACATCATACATAAGTATGAAATTGAAAATGATGGTTCCAGGTGAAATTTCCTTGGTTCCTTTTTTAAAATACGGGTTGTCATTGACTTGTAACTGTCTTCAACTATGTAGGGAAATCAGTATATGGAACTCCGAACCTCCTTTTCCAAACCAAGATTTCGCCCTCTTTTGATTAAAGATACTAGCCCTGAAGAGATATGCAGTTGAATACATGTATTCCATGAGGATATATTCAAGAGGAGGTAAAAATGAGACAACACTGGGTATATATGAGTGGCACGCTTAATCATCACCACTACTCGTAACATCCGTCTCACTCGTCTTCTCTTCATCTTCAATCTCCATTTTCCGCATGACCGCATCACCATTCTGGCCTTTCTTCTCAGCTTCAAACCAAGTTTCCCTGCGTTTGAGGGCACGTTCTTCCCGTCGTGCCTGCTTCTCAAGCTTTGCTTGTTGCGATTTTTGCTGCCTCTCATAAAGCTCGTTATTTTGATCCTCTAGTTTGGCTATGTATTGCCGAAGTTTTACAATTTCTGCAACGCTAGCTTTTGTTGCTGATTCCTGGAGGGAAGCTGTCTTTTCCAGACGGGCAATTTCTTTCTCGAGAGATTGAAGTTTAGGATTTTGAAGGTCATGCTGACCCAATTCCTGAGACGTCTGGACGTTGGTAGATGAGTTGGAGGGACTAGTGCCCAAGACACCTAGCTCTGCCAATCCCTCTGATATCAGCGAATATGGGAAAAAGGGATGGGTTAAAGCCTCCGAGAATTCATCTTTTGATAGAGACGATTCTGTCGACCGGCGGCTGTTGACAAAACGTAAGGGGGCGGTTAGGTGAGCTTGGAGAGTGTAAGTGGCCGGGATAATGTCCCCCATTCGTGACGAATTCAAAAGGGCACGATCATATTGCGGCTTGACAATATTATGAATAGTCATTCCAGGTACTTGTTTTTCCGTTTCTGGGAAGCCAACTGGAGCCAACATCTGCAGATTGGTTACCGGACAGGCATAAGTCGTTAGCGTAGACGCGTATCTACCCTTGGCAACATCCCAACACACAATAGCACCACTCCTATGACCTGATAGGAGTATCATACCATCGTATGAGAGAGAAAGGCATTGTATTGGTCCCAATTCAGCGTTTGGAGGGAGCCAGCGCTCGCTCGCCGAAGGTTGTGAGGGGGGAGACTGCTGGCTGCTGTCATGAAGGACGTTCTGAATTGACGGTTCTTTGAAGAAATCTACCAATTGAACGCTGCCGTCGTCATATCCAACATAAAATGCGCGATCTGCGGGGTCCACTGTCGAGCAGAGAGGCGTGCCTGGCAACAGGTAGGTTCGAAATAATTTACCAGTTCTATACTCCCACACAATCGCAGTATTATCACGCGACGTAGAAATCGCAATATTAATCCTGTTACGGCTATGTCCAACTGCTATACTCGTAATTGGTGCTCTGTGGTTGGTGAATGTCCGAAGCGGGTGGTTAGGTAGTGGCTGCGTCTGGGATGTGGAAGGGCGGGAGAAGGAGGTCAGAAGCGGTAACGACCAGACATGGATATTGGCATCTTCTGAGCCAGATAAAATAAAATTATTGGTCGGGTCTATTACTAACGAAGTAACAGGTTGTAAATGTGATGCTGTCGTCGATATTTGGCGTCCTGTACATGTCTGCGGAAAAAAAAAAAAAAAAAAAAAAAATGTTAGTAAACGAGTGACTTATAAAAACGGCGGCCCTAGCCGAAGCTTCATGCAAGAGTTCCCTCACCTCCCACAGAATAAGTCTTCCACTTTCCGTCCCCAGGACTAGCAATCCTGGTTCATGGTCCCTCCCCGCCAACGCAAGACTTCGAATCCTCTCCGGAAATGGCACGGTGGCTTCCTGGTTATTTTTCTCCCGACTGTACACATGAACCACGGCCTTCCCTGCCTGCGACGCAAATATATGCGAGCATCCCACAGCCAGGCAATTAGATTCAGTGGAGCTCTTCTTCAAAGTCAAACGAAGCGATTGCGCCGGCTGGAATTCATGGAGACAAATCCCAACATCCTTGAGCGCAGGCGAGATTTGTTGGATGCTGGACGTTAGGAAGGACGCAACAAAGCTCTCGGAGAGCATTTGGAGGCGGAGAGGAGATATCCGCTCTAAATGCGGTCTCTCAGATCGGGTAATATTTTCAGCGTTGTATTCCTCATCCGCATCTGGTCGTGAATTATCATATTATATTTTTGACAGTCAGCGACAGATTGTATAATATATTTTCATTCGGAATCAAACATCGAGCGAGCTATTTGATTTGTTTGCATCCACGATCAGTCAATCTTATCAGATCTTCGAGATACCCTAATGGTGGTCACGTGCACAACCCTAATCCAACCTCCTCCAACTTCCATCTTAAAGCTCTTCCAAGCGGCAGATAACATCGTTTCTTTGTCATTTCCCCCTTTACTTCATGCAGGCAGTTCATTGTTGGTTTGTTCAGTCTACCGATCCCTTTGTTGACAAGCCCAAGGTGGCGATTGTGAGACAGATTAAGAACAATCTTGTCCGGTTGTTGACGACGATACTGTCTACCATCGCTTTGAGGGAGTCACCATTTCAATCACTAGCTAGGGGCTGCCAGTAGATAAAAGGTTAAAACTCCAAGTGTGAAAACTCCGGAAGTCCAACGAACCTTTTAGCGGTAAGGTAAAGCGTTCTATCCGCTGGTTCCGACGCTGGCCAATTTCTCTCCAACTTCTCGGAGTTTAAGCGACTTCGAAGTTGGCAATGGACTGGGCTAGACATGCAACAAGTGTTGGTCATGGCATCATAACCTGATCCGTTTCTAACATCCTCGCAGATAGGTTCTGATTTCTGATGATTCAAGACTTGAAGTGCTAACGATACCCCTGACTTTTTGCAACCGTCGTTAATACCTCGTATTTCTATATCATTGTAAGAGAGTTACGAAAGTGGCTCCAACATGTTTCATACTCTGTGATTTTTTAACATGCGATCTTGGTTCGACGAATATACGTCATAAATTGAGGCCAGAGAGCTTCAGCTAGCCGAGCCAGCCGTTTGCATTTGTTTGACCTTTGTTGTATTTCACATATATGGCATCGAAACATCACTTCTCTGTCTCGCTTTCAGTCGATATCTGAACTTTGGATTTTTACTCATTATGCCCTCAAGGATGAGACGAGGAGCACCATTCAATTTGTTCTTTATAACGCTGCCTCTATAAACAACTTAACAGGACACATTAGAAAACTATCTATCTTAGGAGGTACCCACCGCCAGTCCATACAAGCATTTAATCTCTTCCAGTTTACACCCTGAATCTCGGAACGCCTCATCCAATCTCATCTACAACTGCGGGCCACTATTCGGCGTGCTTACACCTCAGATTTTCTTTGGACTAGTTTAGGACGACCGATAGATTGAGCAGATCGAATTTCCCTCTGATAGGGCAGAGAAATGATCGGGATGTTACTTCGTCCATATAGTGATAACCGCTGTGGGGACGATCATTCCTCTGGAACTCGATGTAACAGCATTGATATCTCAACCAGCTCTAAACATTCCAAAATCTCCGCACCTTCCACTCAAAACTATTTCCTGAATGAAAGGTCTTCCCCAAGATCTCACATATTTTCAGATCTGCCTGTCAAGGGAATTGCGAGTCCTGAGGTTGGAGGTATTAAAGATGAGAAATGTTGGCGTTTTGGGAAATTTATCAGCACAAATTACCAAAATGCTAAGTCCGACGAACATCATAAAGCTAAAAAACGAAAGTGTCAAATCGTGCAATATAGACAACACGGGGAATCGAGAAAGATAAGCGCATCATGCGAGATCGCGGTGAGACCCTGATAGGCTCATATGCCAGTACCGCACATGCACTAATCCATATTATAGAGATCCGTAAAGATTAACCGTCCAGCTAGTCCGCCTGAGTTGATAACTATCTCAAAGTTCCGGTCTTACCACCCAGACGCACATGGCAAATCGCGAACAAACGAAACTTCACAAGGAACTGTAATATTGAATAAACCGTCATCAGAGTCGAATTCACCTAATATTTCTCCAAGGGGTGGACAATATTTCAGTTCCTCTCATGATAGTGGATATTCGACACAGGCGTCTACCCGGTCCCTCGAAGATTTATCTCTGTTATCTGCTGAAGTTTCAGGGACAAGCCCTTCATCAACCTCTCAGCTACATCCTTTTAGTCAAATTCCACGATGGACCTAGGAAATTCTCCTGTGCACAGAATTACAACCTTGCTTGGGGGTTCGGGAGGAAGTTGCTCATCACCTTGTACTCTTTCACTGGCTAGTTTTTCCTCCACCGACTCCGGCTACCCCAAGCAAGGAGAAGAGTGAACTGATGGGGATATGTTGGAGCATGGGATGGGTTCTCGACCACCTCGAAGCCTCTCTAACACGAACGCCTCAGCCAGATTTAAACCTCTCATCTCCTGTTATCATTTTTGTACGGTCGACTTCGGACAAAACTCTTCTCAATCCATTCGCAGATATCTTCCCCTCGGGGTCAACTGCGCAGCTTGCGTCGCGCAAATACATATATCTTCTCTACATGAAGATGAGCAACCGAACTACGGGCTGGACCTTTCAAGTAACCCCTGTGGATAGCGTCTCTGGTGAAGCAAGGACGAGACCGGGGCCTAACCTATCAAAACCATAACAGCTACTTGTTAAAAAGCGCTTCCTGCGCACGAGAGCTGTAGATATCGACACACGCTTACATAGAATTGTCAATGGGTTGTTGATTGATTTATGCGGATCCTCTGATTATAGCATTAAGGGAGCGCTTATGATTCTTGTTCGCCTTTTTGAAGAGAAGAGGAAGCGGGATTCCTCACTATACTGAACTCTAGGCATAATTTGGATCATTTGGATATTTTTCTCTTCACTAGCTTTCCTGTAAGTTTATTGCTGTTTCTGGCTGCTGTTTCGTGGACTTTAATATGTTGTCGACGTTTTAACCTGGTTCCTTGCTTCGAATGTAATAAGAATCAAATCCAAGGGTATTTACACACATCTTAATTACACAACTCGATTCAACCGTCCATATGCCACCGCGTTCTAAAACGCCGCACTAGCTATCTAGACCGCAACTATCTCAAGACAAAATAAGAGTTGTTGGGACAAACGAATAAAGGCAACGATGAAAGTATAATCAAAGGGGGAGGTCTATAAAGATCATACAAAAGCCAAACACTATCATAATAAAAAAGAGACAAAAAGCCTTGAATTTGTTTCCTACAGCTTCTACACCTGTTTCTTTCCCCTCACGTTCCTGGCCCGCCTTTTCCGACCACCAAAAACCATCTTCAGCACCAGGCAAAACCCAACCCATAGATCGACCGCAAACAACCACCACCCCCTTATGCGTGTCGTCAAAAGTAGTATCCCAATGATCCTCCGCACGAAAGCGTCCGTATCGTCAAAATCATGCGCATAAATTTCCCAAATGGCAACATCCTTGACTTCCCTTCCATCCTGCTCCCCAGGCCTCCGAGCCGTCGTTTCAAGGTCGTATATGTCGTTCAGATCAGGAATCCCCCTTACCCCACCCATGCCAGGTATCCGCTCCTCTCCGCCCTCCAACCCGACTCCTCCATCCTTAGGTCCAGACAGCGGAGATCTAACCCTGAGCTTCGGCGCAATAACCACACTGCGTCCGACGCACCCTGGGTCCGCTACAAAGCGCGTCCCGGCTCCCACAACGTGATTAATGTCTGCCAATGCCACGCCAGATAAGAGGATTTTCCCGCCAATCCCGAGAATAGGAGTCTCGGTAAAATAAGGGCAGAGCATGTTCACGCGTATCCCATGTTTGAGAGGTGCCGTGGCGCGCAGGGAGCGGAAGAGGCCCATCACGCCATGTTTGGAGACGCCGTAGGGTATCTGGGAGGCTAGAGGCGCGATGCTGGCTACGGAGCCCAGGAGGAGGATGTGCCTGTCCCTTTGTCTGTTTCCTGACGTGGGGGTGGATTGTGGGTTGCAGGGAGTGGACCCTGGGTTCCGGGGTAGGTAGTAGAGTGCCAGATGTGTTGTATACAGTGTTCCAATTAGATTTACGTCGATGGTGGAGAAGCGTGGAACAGGAGGGTTAGGTTCGATCTGGTAGTCAATTGGCGGCTCTTCGAAGTCCTTTGACTCTGTGGCTCGGTTTATGCCTGCGTTGGCTACTACGGCATCAATCCCACCGTGCGGGCTACGTTTCACAGCCTCTCGGAAGAACTCGACTTGAGACTGCCAGGAAGTCACGTCCAGCGGAAGGAAATGCAGGTTCGGGTTTCGGGTTTTTTCTCGGACACGGGTGACAAGTCGGGTTCCCGCGTCCACTTTGACATCGCCTATTATCACAGTTGCCCCAGCGGATGCCCAGTGGGAAAAGAATGCGGCACCGAACCCAGACGCACCGCCCGTGAGAAGAATTGTCTTACCCCGAATGAAGTCTAGGGGTATTTGGGAGTTGAAATCAATTGGACGTTGCTGGTAGCCTTTAGGCCATGGACTTCTCTGAGACATGACTTGTGTAGAGGTATTGGCAGCAATTGAATGTGGAAGAGAGATAGCAATTGATTAGAGATAATGGCGAAGGGGATAATCCAATTCAGTCCAATTGACCCGCAGCCTAGAGAAAATAGTAACAGGTGAGACAGCAGGAATAATGCTCGTTACATGAACACAGCAGATAACTACGCGAGAGAGTCAATCGATGAATTGGAAGTAAACCGTAGCTCAAAGTCTAGGAAAAGTCAACACAGGGAAACCAGTAATGAATCGAGAAATAATCAGGGATGAAGTAAATAGGCCTTCCCATCAAGCTAAGATTGGGGAGGAGCAAAGCGGAGTTTTTTTTTTTTTTTTTTTTTTTAATAATTCTGTTGTTCAGACGGCTAAATTAAAATTTCCTCCCAAGCTTATGGGGATGCGCCAATCCATTCTATTCCTCAGGCTAACCGCAATAATACCTGGTGGTCAGCGGAAGACTGCTTTGAGGGTTTGTGCGCATCCCAGCCTCGCGCCCATGACATGGAAATGCCTTGACCAGACATAAAACCCAGCCGACTTGTTTCGGGGACAAGCAATCGGAGCGGTATAAGCATCCCAGAAGGAATCGAACCAACGCGGTTAAACACTCCGAGGGCTGCTGACCTTGGATTGTGGTTCAAGGGCTTGAGAGCAATATGAATGTGGGATGGAGAATAATTCCCCTAATTGCTTAAACTCAATTCCATTTTATATACCAGAAACTCATCATTGCTTTTGGCACATTTCCCCGACAGGCGTTGAAAGTTGTATCTCAATGCGTTAAACGCTAGGGCATCGCAGTCATGTGATTCAATTTTTTCGCTTTGTAATCCGTAGCGGGACAATGTTATTCCTGATTACTCAGTCATGTGACTTGTATGGGTAATCGCGGCGTTGATTCGATTCACCGGTGAAAACTCGCGGACATTCTTCATATCAGATACGTGAAGTAAGCGGGGATCGGGTTATATTACATTGGATCCCTTGAGCTCTGGCATTTATCAATCACCCATTTATTCAAGAGTGTTGGGCTGAAACTCACCGCAATTTCACAATGGTTGCGTCCGCCCGTGGGCTACGTACTCTCCATTCCGCCCACTCATCCATCTCCGCCCTTCCCGCTTCCACCGTACCTAGGCTTCAATTAGCTGTATCCAGATGCTATGCAACAACTACCTCCCCCGACTGCCCCATAACCAATTCCTCCAATTCCTCCAATTCCACCCCCACCCTCACCCCCAAACAGCGAATTACAGCTTTCAAAGACAAGCTAAATGCCGGCCCCTCGTTCTCCGATTTTGTCTCCGGCGGCGGCGCCTCGAACGACAGCGTCCCCCTCGACCCCACCGAAGCGTATTCCCTGAAAACCGCCCTCGTAGGCCCCCCTGGCAAAAAGAAGCAAATCATCCGTCTGCCCTCCTGGCTCAAAACCCCCATCCCAGACTCCCCAAACTTCAGACGCATCAAAAGCGACCTCCGCGGCCTAAACCTGCACACCGTCTGCGAAGAAGCCCGCTGCCCCAACATCTCCGATTGCTGGGGCGGCAGCTCCAAGTCCGCTGCAACCGCCACAATCATGCTGATGGGAGACACGTGCACGCGCGGCTGCCGCTTCTGCAGCGTGAAGACATCCCGCACGCCTCCGCCGCTCGACCCGCACGAGCCAGAGAATACGGCCGAGGCGCTCTCGCGCTGGGGGCTGGGGTACGTGGTGATGACGAGCGTTGACCGGGACGACCTTGCCGACGGCGGGGCGAGACATGTGGCCGAAACGGTGCGCAAGGTCAAGCAGAAGGCGCCCAATATCCTCCTCGAGTGCCTGACGGGCGACTACGCGGGGGACCTGGAGATGGTGGCGCTGGTGGCTACGTCGGGCCTGGACGTCTTCGCGCACAATGTCGAGACGGTCGAGGCGCTGACTCCCTTCGTGCGGGATCGGAGGGCCACATTCCAGCAGAGCCTGCGGGTGCTGAAGGCGGCGAAGGAGGCGAAGCCGGAGCTTATTACGAAGACGTCGATTATGCTTGGGCTTGGGGAGACGGAGGCGCAGCTGTGGGAGACGCTGAAGGCGCTGAGGGCGGTTGATGTTGATGTTGTTACTTTTGGGCAGTATATGAGGCCGACGAAGCGGCATATGGCTGTGCATGAGTATGTGAGGCCGGATGTGTTTGATTCGTGGAAGGAGCGGGCGCTGGAGATGGGGTTTTTGTACTGTGCGTCTGGGCCGTTGGTGAGGAGTAGTTATAAGGCGGGTGAGGCGTTTATTGAGAATGTGTTGAAGAAGAGGAGGGGGGAGGGTGCTGACGGTAGTGGTGGGAGCTCGACGAGGCGTGAGGATGTGGAGAGATTGGTTGCTGGAGGGGTAGTGCGGTGATATTTATTTCACCCTCCTTTTATTCTCTGTTCTTATATCGAGGTATACTTATAGAGCCAGATTTTCCAAGTAGTAAAATCAGAATGCCCCTTCGAAGAGGCGCATGAGGTTGGAGTTTGCGATTATAGTTTATCCTAGTCCCCTCGGTGTGTTCTCTCCTATATTTAGCTATTCACCATGTCCTGCATGAGACAAGAGATTTCAACAAATCTCAATAATGGTCGTTTAAGATTTCTCCATCTCTCTTGAAACTTGATATGCAAAATTGATGACAATGCATATGCCAGTAAAATATATGCCAGTGAAGTCAAGAAAGAAAAGAAAAAAAGGTTGAGAAAAAAAAAAATTCTCCAAAAATATGAAGCTCCACAGAACCTTTCATTTACCCCAAAACCGAAAGCCACGAAAAACACCACGGACATCACATCACTCAAGCACCATCCTTAACCAACTCCTCAATCTCCTCCCGATGCATCCCAAACAAATACAAAATTTCGACCAGCGAAGTCCCATTCAGCCTCGCCGGCGCCTCAAGCTGCACCTTACTCTTTGCCCTCCACGCAATACCCAACCCCGCCTCGTTCAGCATGAGCAGGTCATTCGCGCCATCGCCAATAGCCAAAGTCTGCTTGATGGCAATGCCATTTTCCTCCGCGAGGGTGCGGAGTAAGTTGCGTTTTCGCACAGCGTCGATGATCGGATGTTCGGGCACGAGGTTGCCGGTGAGTGTTTGTGTTTTAGGGTCGATTTCGAGCTGATGTGCGATACGGAGCGCTGTCAGTTAGGTTTTGCGGGCTTTGCTCGGGAGAGATATTTATTTTGGGGGAAGGGTTAGAGGTTGAGGACTCACGTGGTTAGCGAAGGCGTAGTCCAACCCCAGTTCACCGGCCAGCCAGTCTGCGAGGGGTTGGAAGCCGCCACTGAGGACTGCTAGTTTTAATCCGAGGGTTTTCAGGCCGCGGCAGAGTTCGCGGGCACCAGGGGCGATGGTGATGATTGGCTTGAGCTTTTCGAAGACGTCTGCGGGCACGCCCTTGAGTAGTCTCACACGGGCTTTTAGGGATTCAGCGAAGTCGAGTTGCCCGCTCATAGCACGAGCGGTTATATCCTTGCAATATATCTTTGTGAGTTTTTTTTTTTTTTTTTTTTTTTTTTTTTTTTTTTTTTGGGTATGTGGTAAAGATAGGAAATCGTTAAACTTTGCATGTGGAGGGATAACGTACAGAAACCTCCTTCTCCGCACCGATGAAGCGGGCAATTTCATCAATAACCTCCTGCTGTATCAAGGTGCTATCCATATCAAAAACGGCCAGTCGCTTGTGCCTCCTGAACACGCTCTCCCTTTGGATGATGACTTCCACATTCCACTCCCGCTCAAAACGCCATATGTTCTCATGCTTCTGCATGTCCTTGAAGGAGAGATACTCTTCTTTCGGAGGTGGGCAGATGGTCACCTCCACCACCCGTGGCCGGCCCTCTTTATCCAAACAGCGGTGCGAGGTCCTCATGCGCTGGTAAGGAGTGGGCAGCTCCTCCATAATCTGTAGGAAATTTGTGAGGCATAGCTGTGACACGTATTGGCCGTATAGGCGGTCTAGTGGCTCTGGTCCCGGGGCGGAGGCGGGCGCAGGGGCGGGGGGTTCTCGGGGCAGCTGTTGGACGTCGAAGGTTGGAGCGGAAGCTCGCACCGCGGTAGGGGCGCGGCGTCTGCCTGTAGGCTTGGGCTGCGATGAGATGCGGTGCAGATGAGGGTGAATTGTTGGATCGGATGCCTTGTAGAAAATCGTAGCGACCAATTTGGGGGCGTTTGCCGGCAGGGAGATGGACGACTCGTTGAAGATCGAGTGCACGATACCACTTTCCTTCACGTGGGGGTGAGCCAGGGCGGGGCCACTATGGAGCGTCAGGGGCGGAAAGAGTGATTCATCGGCAATAGATGTGGATGGCTTGTACTGCTGGTGGTCTTGTATGAACGATCCCCCTGACAGAGAGCTGTGCCGCAGTACCGGCCGTCCCCCACGGATAGGAAAGATGGCGTCAGACATGGGGAGAGCGGGGGAACCGCACGTCGTTTCGATGCCTGCCTAGCACGGTCAGCAGCCAACTGATCTATGCACAGATAGCCTTATGACGCTGTCCAGCAATTCGCCGTCACTACACTACTGCTCACAGCTGCAGCAGCAGCAGCAGCAGCATTACGGCACGTTCTTTTTGATATGGCAATGAAGAGAGTGTGTTGTTGTTGTTGTTGGTGGTGGTCAGCCTGGAAGTTGGAACCGGTTAATCAATCAAAGATCAAACTCCAGTAAATTTTTTGTTGGCCCAGGAATGTCATGTGATGATATCTGGGTGAGTCAGCGACGGTCCTCCGTAACCAGTTGCTCTCTGCAGCGAATTAAAATCAGCCGTACGCAAACAAACCCATGGAAACCGACGGCAGCAACCTTCATCGATTCCATGAATTCGACCACATTAAGCCGCAAGTGGAGCTCGTGAAGATTTATAGCTGAGGAGTTGCTTGCTTCAGACAGAGAGAGAGAGAGAGAGAGAGAGAGACATTGATGTAAACTGTGACTCTTGCTACGGTGATTGTACTGGTCAGATAATAGAGCGCCACCACTGCTTACTGCTGCTGCTGCTTCGAGTTTCTCAGCCGAGCCCAGGAAAGTAACCAGTTAACTAATAGCTAATTGTTGAGCAGAGGGACATCCATGCACGTGATGCATTTCCCAACTGGGAACGTAGCCCTAATGCCAACGCTGGGTCTTGATGAGTCAGCTGGCGTTAATGAGTTAACTAACTATAGTTAGTTAGTTACAACCGGAGTTCTTGCTTAGTAACACTAATTCTCCGACTCCGAATGAATCACCGTATAACCAACCACCACCAGCCGTTGCTGCTGCTGCTGCTGCTGCGTTCAGTTATCATGGTTCTGATTCCGAGAGGATGTCGGACTTGCAGCTATTACCTCTCCATGGAAGAAATGAACATGATGCTGTTATTCTTCCCTCCATGATCGATAATCTTTGTCTTGACTTCCCACCTTGCAGTGCACGTTTTTTCACCGCCAGCTAATGCAGGCCAAAATTGCGTGATTTGCAGCGCCCATGAGCAAATCCGCCCTCCACCCCGCCAACCCCTGCGCTATTCTGGCTCTTCTGGTGTGTATTCTGGCTCTCCTGGTGTAGCCCGGTGTAGTCTGGTGTATTCCGATGTATTCTCTGTCTGCTCTGTTGTGCCCGGAGAAGGGAGGGGGGGGGAAAGGGGGGTTGATGCCACGGCAGATTTCTCTTTCCTTGCCTGGATGGCGCCAGACTTTCCAAGAGGATGCCTTTCCGCGGGAAGGGAAGGGACGGCAACCGTTCTGGCAGCCACCAGGCGGAGTGGGCAGAGACACCTGCCGTGTGCCGTGTGCCGTGTGCCGTATAGCCATGTGCCGTATCGCCATGGCCCAGAGCCCGCAGCCATGTCCCACAGGGGCACAGGATGAGTAAGGAGGAATGGAATGATGTGATCTGGCCCCGTTCTGGCCTGCCCTGTCTGACCCTCTGGTCGCGGCTGGTTCGTCCGGCAGTGGCTCTGACGGCAGAGGCCGGGGGGTGAGTGAAAGAACCCAGGGAGGTGGAGAGTGGGCAGTGGGCAGTGGGCAGCAGACATAGTGGACAGCGGGCAGTGGACAGCAGGCAGTTCGTGTGTGTTTGAGAACAGAAGAGAGAAGAGACTTTTCTTCTCCCTGGCTTCTTCTGTCTTCTTCCCACTCCTCTTTTATCTCTTTCCCTCTTCTCTTCTTTTTCTTCTTCTTCTTCTTCTTCTTCTCCTCTCCTTCTTCTTACTGTTACTCCCTGTGCATCTGCATCATCGACGCTTCTGATTTATAAGACACCGTCACTGCTGGCAGTCTACCAACTGTACCTTCTTCTCTATTTTGTCAACATTCGTCGCTGTGTCTCGTATGCACTCGTTCCCTATATCATTCCGTATACAGTGTATCCTCTTGTTTCAGACGTTGTTGTCACTATATAGACCGGATTCTTTCAATATCTGCTCGAGATAAGCATCAATTCGATATCTGTCGGAACAAAATCCGCTTCTCTGCTCCCATCCCCAAATGCCATCCACAATCCGTTCCAATTATCCCTCTGATACAGAGGCCATGGAGACCGAGTCTGGATATGTCAGTGGCAGCGCCAGCGACCACAGCATACCGGAGCTCATCTTCACCAAACCACATCTGAAATTCCTCAACAGACAGCTCCAATTCCTAGAACCGCAAGGTATGCCCGGATAGTACCAGTTTTTTTTTTCCAAATCCCACCACTCCCATGGTAAACTCACATCAACCCCCCTCCCCCAGACATCCTCCGATGGTGCATCACCACATTACCGGGCCTCTACCAGACCACCGGCTTCGGCCTAACCGGCCTAGCCACGCTCGACATGCTCTCCAAACTCCAGATCCCCCGTCCCCGACTCGTCGACCTCATCTTCCTCGACACCCTCCACCACTTCCCCGAGACCCTCTCCCTCCTCGACCGCATCCGCAAACACTACCCCTTAACAAGCATCCACATCTACAAGCCAGCCGACGCCTCCACCCCAGATGACTTCGCCGCCCACTACGGCCCAAACCTCTGGGAATCCAACGACCAGCTCTACGACTGGGTCGCCAAGGTGGAGCCTGCCCAGCGCGCCTACCGCGAGTTATCCGTGAGCGCCGTCCTTACCGGCCGACGACGCAGCCAGGGCGGGAAGCGCGGGGACCTGGATATCATCGAGCTCGACGAGGCGGGGCTCATCAAGATTAACCCGCTGGCAAACTGGTCCTTTGCGCAGGTCAAGGAGTACATTGCCAGCAACAACGTGCCATATAACGAGCTGCTTGACAGGGGGTATAAGAGCGTGGGCGACTGGCATTCCACGCAGCCCGTGAGGGAAACTGAGGATGAGAGGGCGGGGAGGTGGAAGGGCCAGCCGAAGACGGAGTGTGGGATTCATAACCCGCGGTCGAGGTATGCGCAGTTTTTGAGGGAGCAGGAGCTTAAGAGGCAGGCGGAGGCGCTTAGTCAGGCGCTTGAGGTGGGGAGTTGCTGAGGAAGGGTTTTTCTTCTTCTTCTTCTTCTTTTCTCTATTTATTTTTGCTCTCTCCTTGTCTGGTATCTGCACATATTTAAATCAACGGTATAGGTAGGCGAGTGTGGCGTTTATTTATCTTGGATGTTTTTATAGGTCTGCTTGTTTTCACAGATTGATCCCCATATTAACCTGTATCCAGACAAAAAAATTGAGCTTTGTATCTGGATGCAAACTATGCGAATTGGATGGACCACAGATATCTAAAATTCCCATCTTTGGGGCATTCTGTATGTATTCTGAACATGTTGCCTGCGTGAAACACTCCTGGTGTGACAGTTTGCTAAATACATAGCCTGGGGTCTGTAGTGGTGGGTTTATTGTGGATGTTTCTTAGCTATCTTGAGCCCATCGTAAGGAGCAAGGGAAGCGGGGGTCAGGGGGATGGATCCGTTTCCCCACACCACGAGTTGGGCACGCAGCATCGTCGAACGATGAACCCTTCGAGAAAGGCCACAGCAACTAAAATCACCCCGCTGCTGTCTACGATCTACACACATAAAACATCTACCTCGAATCTGCCTGGAAATCCCAGAAAAGAAAATCCCTCCCCAAACGACTGAGTCCGGGCCGTTGCCATTGGCTGGCGGGCCGATTTTGTGCAGGCCCCAGAGACTCCAGAGGCGTTGTTGGAGAATTAGACACCCCGTTTGCACAGAGCCCACGTCGGGCTCGATGTCGATGTTCCCACTCAGTCGATGAGCTGTGGCCGGTCGGGGAAGGAAAGCACGTGTATCAGCCCATGGAGCATTTCAGATTACTTTGGCTGGAGTTAACCTATATGATTAGGCACGGGCAGCAAAAAGCGCTGGGTGCTCTACGCAAAATTGGGACAGGCTTGCGCGTACAGCAGTGGATATGTTTCACCGAATACTTGCCAACCCGCGACCGCTTGCCCGGCGGGATAGATGGAATAGAATAGAATATAGAATAGACCAGAAGAGAAAACAGGACACCTGCCTACCGTTCAGCGGTCGGCCGGCCACAATTAAGAATATGGCCTTGGGGAGATTCCTTCCTGGGACCCCCATGGCAGCAGAACGAGAACGCGTGTCCCACCCTCCCTCCGAACCTGGGATGGATAGGATCCTCAACCCAGCCCAGCCCAGCCCAGCCCAGCCCCATAGGATAGACACCTGCTCAAAACCTTGTAATCCCCCGGGAAACGGCTAATGGGCATGAACCTGAACACTGACATCTGATGCATGGTTTGGAGCGGGGAGGAGGAGTTCCTCAACAGGCCGAATCCTGTATCGGGACTGCGGGAAGCAAAGCATGAAAAGCATTTATCGTTTCCCATCTTGCAGGTGATCAGTCTCTGGAAGTGCAGAAGTTGCATGGATTGGAACCCTACAGGGCCTAGAGAGCATCCCTCCGCATGAAGCGGTATCAAAAAGCAAGCAACGACAAAAGCACGAGTGCTCGGTTCCAGGCGGAAACCGGGCTTTCCCCCACGGCAAACCCCAGGCTCGTAGCTTGTTCAGCCATAGCTGGCGCTTCGCAGGCGGCAGTGGTTCCATGGATAGCGACCACCTCGAAGGAAGCATCGGTGACACCAATAGAAGGAGGGGAAGGGGAAGGAAATCCAGAATTCAGGAGATCAAACGTCATTGACCAGCACGCACCGCATGACAGCTAGCTAGCTATCAGTTAACATAGTTGGTAAGTTAACTACCAACGGCTGGGTAAATGTGAATAGATGCCCGCTTCTGCATCATCTCTCCACAGGTGTCCCTGAGCCGACGTTGTGCCTGCCAGTCTCCATGGCACTGCTCGAGGTATATACATACACATACATATATATATATATATATATATATATACATACATAGAGACAGATGAGTAGTTGGTGTGGAACCAGGTTGCGTCGGGAACAACCTTTCTCCGGCGGAGAAGTTAACCAACAACCAGTTATACATCCCAGTCAACCAACCAACCAACCAGTTGATCAACCAACCAACCAACCACATGGTCAGTTGAGGAACCAACCTGGTCAGCTCCTCGGCTCAAACGGCGCAGTTGATCTCACGCTAGCAGTGCATTGGGCGGCCCGCGGGTATCACGCAATTCGACCACCAACTGACGGCGTTTGCAGCGAGAATGGCGAATCGAGCCTTGGAAATGCGCAGTTTAAACCAAGAACCAAAAATAATCGCTGACTCGGACACACCTGGGCTGTTTTCTCGGCTCTTAAATATATATTATATATATATATATATATTGTTTGTTATCAACGTAGCTAACTCACCCAACTAACTATTCCCAGGTATGTTGCTTCAGCACATGGCCCCTGTACCCAAGTGACTCAACTACGTGTGTCACCTACGCTGCCAGGATTATTCCAGGCAGTCTGTCTTGTGGCGAGGGTTCGCGCCGAGATTGACGACATGTGCCTGACACGCACTGCTGTTGCCCCCGCTAGACTGTGATGGAGACACAGGGTGGGATTGGGCGCGGGGCGGGGGGTTTTGGTTTGAAAGCAGAGGAGGGGGGGGGTGGGGGGGGGGTTTTGTTCGACCGATTTTTGGGTTCCCTCATTGGGCCATATATCGGATTGCCCAGGGATGATTTGGTTTGCTCAGCTCAACGGCGAAAGGCGTCACTTCTTGCAGGCATCGGCACGATCCAAAGTCTCTCTCTCTCTTTTTTTATGTGTTTTTAATTTAATACAACACACACACACACACATATATATATATGTATGTATATATATGTATATATATGTATATGTATATCCACTCCTTTTCCTTTCGATTCTCACTGACTATTAACATTAATAAATTCGCTGCTCCTCACCCAGCTTCAATTTCAATTCCACCTGACTCCAGTTCTCCTGTCGCGTCCTCTATTTCGAGTTCAATTGCTTCTTCTCTGCCTTCGTCTGCGGTTTCGTCGAGTCCTCCGACTGCTGCCAAAATAATAATAATAACAATAACAACATAATAACAATACATAAATAAAAGAAAGAAAAGAAAAGAAGAAGAAGAAGAAGAAGAAGAAGAAGAAGAAGAAGAAGAAAAACCCTCTCATGGCTAATAAACCTCATGGCGGTGTCCTCAAGGACCTGATTGCCAGAGATGCGCCGCGGCATGATGAATTGGAAGCTGAAGCGGAGACTCTGCCTGCCATCGTTCTCACTGAGAGACAGCTCTGCGACTTGGAATTGATCTTGAATGGTGGCTTCAGTCCTCTCGAAGGTATTTTTACCATCTATTTCGTCTGACAGAATCAAACTGGAAGTTGATATTTTTGAGAGCGTTGTCGGAGACTCCCTCCCACCGCTTATTTTGCGAAACATACCATACAGACACAATCTTTTTCATATGTTGTTGCGGTTGTACAGTTGCTTACAGACGCTTCTTTCCAACAGGTTTCATGAATGAAGAAGATTACAATGGGTACGATGCACAGAGAACTCCCCATCACATCATAGACACCTGCCGGTGTAAAGTGGCATGGCTAATATCGATTTTTCTTCCTTTCCGTCAGCGTTGTCGCAAATACCCGTCTCGCGGACGGAAACATTTTCAGCATTCCTATCACTCTCGATATTTCCATCAAGGAGATCCAGGATCTTGGGGTGAACCCCGGAGCCCGCATCACCCTCCGAGACTTCAGAGATGACCGCAATCTGGCTATCCTCACGGTGGATGACGTCTATAAACCAGACAAGTAGGTTGTTCATGTGACTCCGCCGCTGGAACCCATCCCCCCCCCCCCGGCCCGGACGATATCCAGAGAGAGCTGACAGTGGCTTTTTGCTACGAGCATATAGACAGAAGGAAGCAGAAGAGGTCTTTGGCGGGGACGAAGAGCATCCCGCGGTTAAATACCTCTTCACAAAGGTTCAAGAATTCTACGTTGGAGGAAAGGTTGAAGCTGTAAACAAGCTGAATCACTATGACTATGTCGCCCTGCGATGTGAGCACACTCCCCCGCCGCGACAAAGGATAATACCCCTGTGGACAAAGGCGCTAACATTCGATGTAGTCACACCCGCTGAGCTGCGATCCCATTTTGACAAGCTCGGGTGGTCGAAAGTTGTTGCATTCCAGACCAGGTTGGGCCCTCATTTTGTTCTCCATATCCTGGCTAGAGAACGGTTCAACTCACGCAGAAGAAAACAGAAATCCCATGCATCGAGCCCACCGCGAATTGACCGTTCGAGCTGCCCGTGCCCGCCAAGCGAACGTGCTAATTCACCCAGTCGTCGGCCTCACAAAACCCGGCGACATTGATCACTTCACCCGTGTTCGCGCCTATCAGGCTATTCTATCCAGGTACCCCAACGGAATGGCCGCTCTGGGTCTTCTCCCCCTTGCCATGCGAATGGGTGGTCCCCGCGAAGCGATCTGGCACGCCATCATCCGGAAGAACCACGGAGCCACGCACTTCATAGTCGGACGAGATCATGCAGGCCCAGGGAGGAATTCCAAGGGCGTCGAGTTCTACGGCCCATATGACGCCCAACACGCCGTTGAAAGGTACAAGGACGAGCTTGGAATCGAGGTCGTTGAGTTCCAGCAGGTGACCTACCTGCCAGATACAGACGAATACAGACCCATCGACGAAGTTCCCGAGCACACCAAGACGCTCGACATCAGCGGAACGGACCTGCGAAAGCGCCTGCGCACCGGCGCCAGCATCCCCGAATGGTTCTCCTACCCGGAAGTCGTCAAGGTGCTGCGCGAATCGAACCCGCCCCGATCAACGCAGGGTTTCACCATCTTCCTCACCGGCTACCAGAACAGCGGCAAGGACGCCATCGCACGTGCCCTGCAAGTGACTCTGAATCAGCAGGGCGGCCGCTCCGTCTCCCTGCTGCTAGGAGACACCGTGCGGCACGAGCTCTCCTTCGAGCTCGGCTTCTCCCGCGAAGACCGGCACAAGAACATCCAGCGCATCGCGTTCGTCGCCGCTGAGCTTACCAAGTCTGGTGCCGCCGTCATCGCCGCACCCATCGCGCCCCACGAGCACAGCAGACAGGTTGCCCGCGAGACCATTTCCTCTGTCGGAAGCTTCTTCCTCGTCCACGTCGCCACTTCGCTGGAGTACGCCGAGAAGACTGATAAGAGGGGCATTTACGCCAAGGCGAGGCGGGGAGAGATTAAGGGGTTCACGGGTGTGGATGACCCGTATGAGACGCCCAAGTCTGCGGATCTCACTGTCGATATTGAGAAGCAGACTGTGCGGGCTATCGTCCATGAGATCATTCTTCTGCTTGAGAGCCAGGGGTTCTTGGATCGGAGTTAGATGATTGCGATTGGTTTTTGTTGGGTGGGAATCATGGCCCAATGACGCAAGGCGCTTTTTGGGGTTTTTCCTAATCATTATTTTTATTCTAACTGCTTCCTTTGTCCTTGCAAGGGAACCTGCTTAACAACATATATAATGTGGGCGGTATAGAGATTTCTAGGATAGATATTTCGGGATTCCTTCCTCTCTATATCTTTTTCTTATGATAAATTTACTGGTTCTTTTCCTCAGATATGGCTAGATAGGCGAGACGCCCTAATGATTTAATACTTATTTCAACTTTCACTTTGTGCGTGTTGGAGTCGGCAATCCGATGAGAGTGTATGTAGGACTGCAACACCCTGTGCATTTCCTCCCCATCCCTCATAAAATACATCGTAGTAGGTTAAAGCTCGGCTCAGGCTGGAGGCCAAATGCAAACAAGACAAACACTCCGAGTCTCCAACTCCGCAATTTCATCCATCGAATCGAATCTTCCTCCTCTCTGCGACTCCGCAATTCGTTGCACCGCGGGGTACATATCATTGCGCCCAGTATGTTCCTCCCATATCTCCCCAGACGACGGATGCCACATCTCCTCCGGCCACTGCGGCCACCGGGATGCCCACCCCAACCCTCAAACCCCCGCTTCTTCACCATCAACAGCCCCAAGCTCCTCATCACCTCCCCAACGACCCGCCACAGACCCCAGCTGCCCTTCCTCCACTCCCCCGCTGCCGCCTGTCCCCTTCCCGCAGCCTCCAACCGTCTCCTAAATGCCGCCCTTCTCCGTCTGCACATCCCCCGCCTCATCAGCACAGAACGCAAAGCCTACTACCAGAAAATATACAAGGTCGTGAAGTTCGTCCTGAGCGTGTATCTAGCCATAATGCTCCTCTTCGTGATCCGCATGGGCTTTACACAGGAGAGCTACGAGCGGATATTCCCCACCCCGCCCGAATGGACGTTCTGGAGCCGCTGGAAATTGCGCACCGCGCGGGCCACACAGCACCCGGAGCTGTTCCATAAGCTTCAGACGAGCTGGGCGAGCGTGGGCAACCTGTACACGGAATTACTCGCGAGATTGGAGGATCCTGAGATCGACGGCAAGGGGCTGAAGGAGCAGGAGGAAGGCGGGTTGTTGATCGAGGGCGTCGGGAAGGCTGGGATTGACATTACGGGCATGAGTGAGGCGTGGACGACTGGATATTTCCAGGCGCTCATGGGGGCTGGGGGGGCGGCGGAGAAACTGGACGGGTGGATGGAGGATAAGCAGCAGCAGATGGTTGGGCCGGCGCAGTGTGTGCTTGGCCCGTCGAATGCGACGCCGCAGCTTCTCCCTGGAACGACCAAGATGTTGAAGGAGGAGGATTGTGTGCCGGCCTATCAGAGTCCTGAGGTGTTCTACATGAAGATTTTAACTACGAAGGGGTTTGGGACGCATCAGAAACTCGATGCAGCGCTGGCTTATGCGGATTGGCTGGATTTCAAGGGGCTGAAGAAGACGGCTGGAGATGTGTATGCGTGGGCGATGGATATCGCCACAGCGGGACTGCCTGGAGGCGTGGACCCGAAGCAGGTTGTTGATATACAGACTGGTGTTCTGAAAGAGCAAGGGAATCAATATGTGACGGATAACCTGTTACGGGCCTCCACGGCCTTGGGGGTCCACCAAGTGCGCCTTGGCAACTTATCCACAGCATTATCTGTCTTTGTATCAGTTCTGAGAGCTCGTAGGGCTCTTCCCGAAGCTCAGGCTCCGGTATCCAGTGCCACTGCCACCGCCACTGCCACCGAGCCAAGAATCCACCCTGCAGTATCCAAGGACGAGTCCCTGCTCACCAACCTCTCGAAATCCATCCTTTCCCTTCTCACACCCCCAGAATACCCTCTGCGGACACGGACCGGGAACGAACCTGCCACGCGCTCCCTCTCCACGGTCTGCGAAGACGCCGGCCTGATGGTGTACATCGGCGAGATCATATTCGCCTCCTCATCGCCAGAGCACGGCTTGGCATGGACGCGGGATGCTGTGGACCTGGCTGAAACCACCATTCTCCAGCTTAACGATGAAGATGGAGCAGAAGTGAATTCTAACTCCACTTCCTCCTCTAAATCTTCGGTCGCGGCGCAAAACAACAGCGGCAACAATAGCCTGTCCATAAACCATTCCGACGCGCATCAGCGTTGCCGTGACTGTGTCAAGGCCGGTCTGCAGAATTGGAAGCAGATGGTGCGGGTGTTGCTTGTTAAGGCGGAGAACGAGGAGTTGGAGAGTTTGGACAAGGCTGGTAAGGGTTCTTCGTGGTGGGCGGGTTGGGGCGGTGCTCGTAGGGTGAAGGAGAAGGAGATGACACGGAGGCGGTGGGAGGCTGAGGAGATGATTGTGAAGGATCGTGTGAATGAGTTGAGGTATATTTTGGGGAATCCGGGGTTTTCGGATTATGGGATGTCGGTGATTTTGGGGTGATTGGAATTTGGTGGAGAGGGGGTCTTATGTGTTTGTTAAATGTAATGTTGTATTTTGGCGGGGATTCTTGGATAGGCGTTTCATTCTTTATCCCCCCCTTCTCTTCTCAAATGGGCTTTCATCTGTCCTATTGCTCTTACGCTTATCAGAGTAAGGAGGGGGTGGAGAGCGCAATGTGGACATGATTTGGTACGTTCTCAGCATGTTACCTCGACTATCCTCCCCCGTCTGCCAGATACTTCTCTGTTCAGATACTTAATACTAACCTACCATTTTAGTTTAATGCAGGGAAGGCAGATATCTGACCTGAGCTTAACATGTAGTTATCCAAAAACCACAGGTAAAATTTACCGCACCGAGTTGTTAGGCTGCGTCGTTTACCTGAATAGCTGTTGCTGAACCACTATCTATCCTGAGTCATATACAGCTATATTCACTCACCACTTCAGCAATGTACTCAGTAACCTGATGACGTATGCACAATCTATCTTCCCCACGCGCTCATTAATTGCTTGGGTCGCTGCTGCGGCTTTCTGATCCTTATATTCCTGGCAAATAAGCCAACCAGTCGCCTACACCATTAAGAATGTTAAACAAGACTGGACAGTGAGCATGGGCCGACCCCGCCTTGGACTGGAACGAAACATGAGAATGATTGATGTGTTGGCGTCGTGGAATAATATTTTAATATCTTATTGAGAAGAAGAAAGGGGGGGGAAAAAAATAAAGAAAAAAAAAGGAAAAAAAAAGAAAAATATTATCATATCCATCAAGATCTATTACATTTGTCAACTACAGTCGGCGGCGGCAATTAGCTACACCTGTGGCTGATAAGATGAGCAGACTTTTGGCTGCTCTGAAGGAGATTTGAACCTGCGCCCTGAGTTCACGTCTCCTCTCTTTCCCCGCAGATCTGAGAGATATCAGAAACTTGCTTGGGACATTGGTGATGACCGGATTGATAATTGGCAAAATGACCATGACCAGGGTAGCTACCTAGTTATTTGTTGCTCCAATTTCATCACAACCAGGGGACACTTTGCTGCCCTTGTAATAACGCCACATACCGTTTCTTTTTTGGTTCTGACTCGCCGACTTTTTGGCCGGAGGCGGATGTAATTCGCCGTCATCGAGGTTCCCGGGCAAATATATCAGCCTGAGCAACCACACGGACCTCCAGGGCTGATCTGGACTATTATTTGGGCTTTCTGATTATCCAGCCACTTGTGTAGAACAATTTTATCGGGCTTTGCTTCTGCAGCAGTTCAACGAAAATCCCTACATAGTTTCTTGACGCTTGATCGGCAGAGTCGGAGAGGTGCTGATTCTGCTGGGTATGTAACTTAACGTCCGTTTGGCTCACCACGTACCACAGGCCAGCCTGTAGCCGGGTCGTTTGCATGTTTCTTATAATTCAAAAGTGGGCTTCAATTTCCATGTTGACATCAACAATCGGCAGCGTACGATGTATATCAACCTGGTGTGGAGTGATACAACGCTAACCTTCAGGGGGGCTGTGGGCGTGATTGACGCTCCCTAGGGCCATAGCTGTGACGGCTTCCAAGTGGGGCCGCTGAGCTTTACGTTATAAAATAAGACTTGACCCTTGCCCGGTTCTAGCTAAAGTGTTCCCGAGGTTAAGCTGGACGACGACTTCACCTGTTGGCATCATCTGGCTCGGTTCTCCGTATACGGCTCTTCAAGTGAAACATGGCCAGGGAGGTAGGTATGAACTGTATATTGTCCACGGGTCCACCAGCGCCCCCAACCCCCAAATAGTCGAGAGGGGCGCAGAAAGGAGAAAAGAAGCCCTGCCACGCCATGCAGTACACCCCTGAGCCAGGCGACTGTCCATCTCTTGGGACAAAATATCATATTCCAAATACGACTGTTGCTGAATTGATAGGAAACTGTACGTGGTAGCAAAAGACAGACCGTAATGCTTATGTTTACAAGTCTTAGGAGTTAGCTGTAACATTTTCAATGAGGTCTTTCAACATAGTGTATCATTTTGAAAAAAAAAAAAAAAAAAGAAAGAAAGAAAGAAAGAAAAGAAGAAGCGAGCACAACTCCCATGGCCAGTTTGAATAGGAGTGAAGTAAAACCACAGAGAAATGAAGACAGAAAACAACAATTCTGGGAAAGGGAGAAAGGTACATTACATATGCGACAGCCGTGGATAGCAAAAGTAAAACTCCACCCTGATGCTTGCACGCCGTTTACAATCAATACCTGCCAATTACCGTAGTGACAGGCCCCGTGTACGTCTTCCCGCCCTGCACACAGTACATTACGAGGCTAAGTGCGACCACGCAGGTAAATATAACAATGCTCCAGTTGAAATTGTTCACAGTGACATGCCTGTCAGCAGGCCAGAACGACCAGAAGAGCGCGAACACAACATAAGTTAGGCCGATGGCATTGATAATCGGGCCAAAAACGGGGCCCAAACTCCAGCGTGCATGGGGCAGCAACTCCGGGCATGTAAGGCGGCGATAGAGTACACAACTGATTGAGACAACGTATGTAGCCATGAGAGCAGCGACGTTGAGAGAGATGATGGCGTGAAATGCGGCACTTGATCCAAGGTTAATGAGCGAGAGAAGCGCGCTGATAAGGCAGGAAATCAATATGGCGTTTGCCGGTATGTGTTTTGTTGGATGGACAGCGGAAAGCCATCTGGAAAATGGGAGGCCTTTGTCTCGTGCGAAGGAGAACGTTTGGCGGGCAGCGGAGGCATTGAAGGAGATATTGCTTGCGATTACTAGGATGAGAATGACGCTCGTGAGTGCGTTTACCCCACTCGTTGACACTGCGTTGCGAAATACATAGATGAATGGGAACGTTGAAGGGTCCCTCAGCGCGTCGTCAACGGACGGGATGGAGAAGATATAGGTGACGATGAATATGACGGCGAGTATTCCGTTCGTGATATACCCCCAGGCAATCGCGTTTGGTACGTTTCTACCCGCATCTTTAACTTCTTCCGCCATATGGGCGGTTGCATCAACGCCTTTTGTCCCTTTTAGCTCAATCTGCTTATTGGAGGAATGATCTAAACACTGGGAGAAGGAGGGCGAAGGGAAAGCGTACTCAAACTTCCGTATATAGCTGAAAGCTGTCCGATCAGAACGCTTACTCCAATATTTGGCCAGCCTCCGCCGTTTTTAAATTCTGTGAACACGGCTTTAGCGGATTGATGGGGAGCCATAACCCACAGAACGACCACGACTGCCAGAAAACCGAAGACGTGGATGACAAGTAGAAGATTCTGTATCATGGGCAGGCCCTGGGCCACCCATATATTGAAAACATAGATCAGGGCCACCATGGCAAATACAAGAAGGGTACCCCTCCAAGCGGTAGATTCATAGTTTGGTTTGTTGACGGTGAGCAGTCCTTGGATAATGTTACCTGTCAGAAAGGACCCAGATGCCGCACCGGCTTGCCATGCCAAAACAGACAACCATCCTGTCGCCAATACTAGATTAGCATCATATATCACAGTATGTTGAGTCGATACCTTGACCACGCATCTTAACTGACCAGTGACGTAGCTCAAGAACTTCTGATGTTTTTCTGACGCAAACTCCGATACCCAATGATATTGTCCTCCAGAAATTGGGGCCCTTAATCAAAGAAGAAACGGAAAAAGAAATTAGTGGCGCATCCTCGTGAAACGAATACCGAAAAAAAAGTATATTTTCTGGTGCGAAGGGAATGGTTATGTATTTACATGGAAGCCATTTCTGCAAGAGAGAATATCACGAAACCAAAACCAATGAAGGTCCAGAGATAGGACCAGAATAATCCGGCAAGGCCACCATTTTTAAGGCCCTCGGTATTAGATCTTGAAAAATTCACATCAGTCGGCTCAATCCATATTGCGCATTCCTGTTTCACAACGAACAAGATGGTGACCATAGGACTTACATCAACATAAACTCCCACGTAGCCTGTAGGATAAGCGCAAAACTGAGGGCAGAAAGCGGACGATAGCTTCTCTACTCCTCCCAAAATGTCAGTTTAGGACGTCAAATATCTGGTTGTGACATTTTGTGATGGGACTGACGATCAATTCTTGTCGCTTGCCCATGCGACTCATGTCCTTTCGGTCATTTTTGGTATGTCCCCGCATTATGCCATTGCCGTCAATATCATCAATGGCCTCCTCGATACCATCCATACTATACCGACCCGGAGCTTCGTGCACAGATTGCCTGGGCGAGCCTTTAGGGGGAGACAGTTGAGCCACTCCATCTGGGGCAGCGTCCATTGTCGTTAAGAGTGGATTGCAGAGGGAGTAGTCAGGTGTTTCCGGTTGCACATGAGAAATGCGTTTCAGGAAGAATTGCAGGGAAGGCATATATAGTGACCAAACGGTCACCAGGTAGAATAAACCACGCCTGGAAAAGGAGGGGTGGAAGAGGTTCGGGATGAGGGAGAAGGCCTCGCGCTGCCAACGTGAATTAGCGCGAAGGAATGAAACGGCATAGCATAAATGAGTGAGTGAGTGAGTGAACGAACGAAGGGAGGTATTGAGGGAAATGTAAGGTATCCTGGGAAAGGGGCGAAAGCCCCGAATAGGAAAATGTGCGATGCAAGCTGCACGACGATGTGCGACTCCGGCCACGAGGGAGAATGACGGCTCCCAAGGGGCCTTCTTTACCCCGTAGAAGGCGACAACTGTCAAACGCCCGTGAGCAACAGGGACGCTGAAAGGCAACGGATATCCAAATGTGCGCAGAAAAGGAAAAGCAATAAACGCATACAGTATGGGATATGTTTGTCCGCTGTCTCCGGGAACACAGCAACTAGCTAGCTAGCTAAGGGGTGGGTGGCTTTCGACACGCTCTGTAGTGCCGGGTTTCGGGTTATTGAATGCACGTCACAGCGGGGTTAACGCGATCAGGGACTTGCAGGCCCGGAACTGCGCTGGGGATTTTAAGCAGCATTGACTGCTGTGCGGATGCGCATGTTGAAGCTGTTGCTGGTTGATGAAACTATCTTTCTGCAATGCATTCGGGGAGGTCCCACACGGGTACAGAGGGTTTAGAGAGTTCCCTCGAGTCAAGCACTCTCTTGGAGGGCCAAACAACACCCGGAACAGCAATGTATGTATGTATGTATGTATGTAATTGCTTTTTTGTCTTGTGCTCCGATCTTGACCCCGCAAGCCACGAATCAGTGCATCCATCCATGGATGTCTCGAGGGCAGCGGGACAGACTCGCACGGTGAGAGTACGTGTGGAGAAGAGAAGACGGCCCATCCGAAGCAATTAACCATAATAAAGACGTCCCGAACAAGAAACAGGGAAGCATTATGACGTTGTTCTGCAACCCTCCGAACCCGAATTCCAGAGAGTTCGTGAGATAAGGCCCAGCAGGCTGAAAGTCGGCTTTGCCACTGTGAGGCATCCTTGTGAGAACTGACAGAGGTTGAGTTGCGTTGACGGGGCTATCATCACTCGTTTATAGCCTCAGTTAACTAACCAGTTGGGAGGACATTAAAATGTTCGACAAATCCGCTGTATCAACTCGCCGTGAGATTCTACATCTTCAGAGATGAGGCGCTGGGGATCCCATCCCACCAGAGTCCAACGACTCTACGACGGCGATCCGAGTCGTCGCGACCAGGCCGTTAGGCAGAAACTAGACATGGGTGGGCGATCAGGGTCAACTTAACCTGTGATAACATCGAAGGGACCGGCTTGATTGGCACCACAAGCGAAAATCCCCCCAAGAGTTTACTTGCCCGGGGCAGTGAAAATCTGCAAGCCAGGTTTGGTTAAACCAGCCGACTTTGTAACATGCGCTGCATCCTCTTTTCTCCAATGCCGGGACAAGCACATGGGGCTGAGGAAGAAGCCATCCCGACCGCCAACCACTCGCAAATGAGCGACAAACCTGATGGAGATTTGTAGCTACACGAAGAGATGTGTGTGCACCATATGGTTTTGGATATTTAATTGTCGTCGCAGCGGGTGTCGAAAATCAAAAGTCAAAAGATCGAGAATCAAGCATCGATAACAAATTGCACTTCACTCATCGCAGCCTCTATTTTGAGCATCTGATGATCGAGATCAGTCTAAACTGCGTTATCGGAGGGCAGAGGAAGATCGGCCGACGCTGTACTCTGTGCGCTGTATCATTCGCGCATCCGTCGTCCATTCGCCAGCCAACTGCCAAATGAGGTGTCTCTTTGCCGAAGGTTGCCTCTTCGAGGTTCCACGAATGCAACGATCATCCGAGATGTTGTCCATTACAGCCTCATCGCAGCATCATCACGAGGCTCTAGCGGAGGATCCATTGGCTGCGGGACTCTCTTTTGTCCCGAATGAAAGGCGGACTCTCCCGACAACTCTCTGTGGGGTGTGCTTGATGCAATAAAATAGAATCCTTGTTAATGGTAACACCCAACACCTGCTGCTATGTTTAGGTCCCCAGGAGTACTTTCTAATATATTGTCCTACCACTATCCGGGCTTCTTTTGGCTATCCAAACGAAGCGCATCATGGATGTACGGTCGTTTCTTCCGAAGACCCGTCAATCGGCCACCTCTGTTATAAACCAAGATGGCTTTGTTTTTACTTCCTTCGCGTTGATATTTTCATTCCATATATTTCGGAGTGAAGCTCGGGTTCCTGTCCTTTTTTTGCTCAAACAAACCCTATGTCTGCATGGCGACAAGCATATTGAGGCCTTTGCCGCCAGGGGTTTCGGAACCTTTGGCGGCAGACACTTACAACGATCGTGGTGGATTCATAGCAATAATCACAGCTCTGTGTCTGGGATTTGCGCTGGTTTCCTTGGGGATCCGTGCATATGTGCAGTATTCCAGGCATGTAGTGAGGAAAGATGATTATGTTCTTCTAGCGGCGACGGTGAGATACCCTTGGCGACATTATACGAGCCACCGCAAGCAAATAAATAAGTCAATAGCGCTCAGCTAACATAGTCTCAGATCCTATTCTGCACCCAATCATCCGTCGTTTTCCTCCAGATAGCTTACGGATGGGGAAAGTCGGAAGAGCTTCTGAGGGGACAGAATCAAATACCTTTGCTGAAGGTATGCATGCATCTCTGTGAATATACCATCTCAACGAAGAGCAAAATCTCTGTGAATGTACCATCTCAACGAAAAAGCAAGATGACTGAAAGAGATTCGATGTAGGCAACTTATGCAGCGGATATGTTATTTATCCTCACTCATTGCGTCTCAAAAAGCTCGGCTGCCATGTTTTACTTACGGATATCACCAAGCCGGAACCATCTCTTTGTAGTATGGGGCCTAGTCTGCTCGTCGGTCATCTGGGCAGTGATATCCATGTTTTTAATAGCCTTGGGTTGCGACCATGCTCGGCCATGGACGGATGTTGGATCAGAATGTCGCTCGATGGTAAGCTATGTCATCGAGTTATTTAAGGGGTATGGTAACTAACTACTTCGACTACACAGTTTCCCCGTTGGCAATTTATAGGGGCGTTTGATATAATCACCGAATTCGGTTTGGCAATTGTATCTTTCTTCCTTGTGGCTGGCGTCCAAATGCCGATGATACGGAAAGTAGTTGTTGTGCTGGCGTTTAGCTCCCGTCTGCTGTAAGTGGCGCTGGAATTTCAATCTGCTGACGTTCGGATATAAAAGTATCCAAGACGCATCCCAATCCTTAAAACCATTCACCACATACCTTCATTCTAATCTAAACTAGGGTCGCACTCCCGGCATCCTTCCACATACACTACGTAGAGAAAATGCTCGACTCTCCAGATCATACGCTGGTGGGCACCTACGTCACAATTTGCCTGCAGCTGGAATTAAGTTATGGAATCATGGCAAATACTATTCCCTGTCTAAAGCCCTTCATGGCCGCATACGAAGACACGGGCAAACCCTCTTACAGGGCCCGTAGCAATAGCGGAAACAACAAAAGCAAAAGCAAAAGCAAAAGCAGCCCTAACCGCAAATCCAGTCGCGACATTCACACTCTCTCTACGATCTCATCATCCGTAAAATTCCCCAAGTTCAAAAACCCATGGGCGAGTAATTCAAATACCATGCATCTCAGCTCCCAACCGCCATCCTCACCACTCCCCAGGGCCCCTCCTAGGGCCAAGCAGCCATTAGGAGCCGGTGAGATAAGCTACACCGCAACGGTTCGCCATAGCAGCCAGGGACGGGATGATCCCAGTTTGGAGAGTGACGACAGCAATCGATTAATTATTAAAAAGGATGTCAATTGGAATGTTGAATGTTCGAAGTCCGCGGAGCGGGAGACAGATCCTGCCCCCCCCTAAATATCAGTCGGGGAGAGCTAGTTCTGGAAACTAGTGATTCATCCCCATGTTCTCCTCCATGTTGCTGGTTACGTGGTTTATCTGTTTCTCCTCGTCACTGTTATTGGGCAGATCATGAAATTTGGCTGTGCTGGTACATACATACCTCTAACGAATGGAAGAGTCATGCAAAAGATATGATCTTGTTGGGAAATTTATACAGCGCAATAGTTTTAGGGAACGGGAATGTAAGGTAATTGTCTCCTGGCGTCTATTGTGGTTTCTTGTAATTTCTTCTCCAGCCTAATTTATATTTGATAGGACAGGCCTGAAACATCAACTATTTATCCTCATCTCAAGAAGTTAAATGTTTATTCTATCACATCGCAACGTCATTGACAGTGCACGCCTATCTACCGTACTTTTTCCCTTTAAAATCCAAACCCAAGCCGAAAAATTTCGATGACTGGCCTATATCATTTTTTCTTGTACGGAGTATGCGTTTTAAGAGCCAAAACACGAGCAGAGTATTTGAGTTGTCGGAAGAAGACAGCGGCAAATGCTTGCTCCAATAAGCTGTGATCTGGATAGATGAACTATGTCCCAAGGCGCTTTTGCACCTGTGGTTTACCGCGTTGCATGTGTATATGCATAGAGTCATGCTGACCTAGCAGCTGCTATCGGTTAATTGGAAGAAAGAATCCGAATTATTTGGAGTATTGTTGTTTTGGGGAGGCTATGAGGGAAGAAGAGGCGTGAAGGCATGTCTCATTATTCTATTAATATCACCATGCATGCATGCATGCAAGCAAGCTGCACGGGCATAGAAATACTACAAAAAATGGGTTGCTCAATTCCAGTGTCTGAATATAATGTTGACAGTAACTATATTTCTCACACTTGCAGCTCTCAGGACACTTCTTTCCATCAGGTCCAAGACGTTGGGCCCCTTCCCCCCGGCTCTCTGCATCTTCCTTGTGGGCGCGTTGTCACCACCAGAAGCAAAGGATGAATATGCCTTCAAAGTGCCTGCGCCTTGATCGCCGGTCATCTGCGTTCCCTATTGGAAGATCCCCCGAGTGAATGCGCCACATTTCTCTGCGGTGTGCCGTGTCGATCTCTCCCGCTTTTTTGGTCGAGGATTTATGGATCTTGAATCCCATTTGGCTTTGCGCTGAAGTTGCACAGCGGGAGGCCGGAGCCACTTCAGCTGCTGCTAGGGACTTTTTCATCGTATTCTGCTGAAATCCCATTCAAATCACATATCAACCCCCCTCCCCTTTCGCTCTGGCCACAGATGGGAGATGAATCAACACTGCACTAAAAGCATATCTCGACAAACCGCAGCTTCATGGAATGTACACCTGCTGAACTACATATAAAATGTATCAAAAAGCTTTGACACGTTATGTACGCTTTCTATCTCGAGTCTCCACTTACTATCTAAAGCTCCGTGTGTCACATTATATCACTAGCAATAAGCGTGGAAATGAATATAGGGTCCAGCGTTATTGAGGTCGAATAAAGGTTTTCCCCAAAGATGCTAAAGTTTAGTTAAAGATTGGCGCTGGTGATGCCTAAATCTTTAGCCCGATTTAGGCTTCACGCGGTCAAACCGTGGAACTTGGAGAGTGGGCGTTAAACTTTAGGGTTAAGCCCGCCCGCAACTAACTAAAATATAAAGGCCGAATATTCTTTACTGTCACTTGTTGTTCTCCCGGGTCCCAGGCACAGTGTGTATCGCAGACTGTAGTTCTTCTAACGTACCGAAACAGTAGCAGACTATTATAATCAATAGACAATTAAATATAAAAAAAACCGTTAACGAGGGCATTCATTTCGACTGATCAAAAATTTTAACAAGATGGGGGGTGTTGGGAAATGCTGGAAAGCTTTCCCACTCAATTTTATATCGTAGTTTTTAATGCCCATGCTGCTTCCAGTGCATTTCTCGCTCTATGATATAGAGGCCCTGGAAAGCAACAAGTAGCGTATGTATTCACACGGCAAGAAGGAATCTAACGAGCATCCTTGGAATCAATGGAAAGGTTGAACGGGGTAGCACTTTTCAGGCGGATGGGAATGCACAATGCTGAATGAACGTATGCGTTGTAGGGAATGTGAAGTAGGTAAAACAGCCCAACATATGACTCGCGATGGTCTTATGAAGATATATCTATCTATCGAACGTCTGCGTATTCAAGGAGATGTACCACCCTACAGGAAATAGCAGCCATAGCATCTATGGATCATGGTATAGAGATATATATATATATGTATGTACAGGTACAATATAAAACATAGCGCAAAAGGGGTAGATGACAGGAAATGACCTCTGTAGCTATACGGACGGCCACGGAGATAACTTGGAGAAGAACGGTCATATGGAATTAGGAAGAGGAATAAATAAGGCGACAAGCTCTCTGAGAAAGAGAAAGGAAATGCTACGTAAAATGCAGATATGAAAAAGAAATACGAAAAGGAATGGGAATTGCAATCTCAATAATGAGACCAGCCACTGTTAAGGTGTTTAAAAAGCAAAGAAAAAAAGGGGTAAATAGGTAGAGACATATCGATCAAGAAGATGGGATGCAAAATCGAGGAACGGAAAGTCGGGCGTTTGTTAGACAAGACGACGGGTATACGCCTGAGCCTTTGAGACGTCCGGCCGGGTCTATAAATGGAGGAATTGTTGTTCTCAATCAGTTCTTCCATGGATGAACCTTGTTTCGCTCCAACTATTCTCATCCCACCCATCTCGCTAATCATCCGCACACCCAGCAGAAGAACAAAAGTTCTAAGAAAGACAAAAGAATAAAAATCGAGAAGAAAAAAAAATAAGTGTATAAAAAGCAAGGCTGGATGATATATTATATCACTATGTCCCGCCCACAGTCGTGCCATTAACCACCGTGATCGAAAACTTAACAAAGTCAAGCACGAAGTCATGTTCCGTGCAGTTAACCCCTTTCGAATCCATCTGTGCACCGGATTCTCCTGCCGGGTCCCGGAAGAAAGATTGGATCGAATCATGGGCCTGGAAGGCATCTTCCACGTATCCTGTCCGCTCAAATATAAAGAGCACGGCGATTCGGGAGAAATCTAGCAATTTTGGAGAAAGGCGAGGTGGGGATGGAGAGGAGCTGGTTGGGGCGGCAGATGGTGCAGTCAGGGATCCAGAGGTGGGAGTAGGAGTGTCCGGCGAACTCGCTATTTGTCTCCCGAGAAGACGGTCTTGTTGGCTCCCGCGGCCATGGATGGATTCGTGGTATGCGGTGGGCAACGGAGAACTTCTCGTGCCGATGTTGCCAAAAGCGCCGTCGGCTAGCGGAACTGTTCGTTTCCGATTCGTGCCATTGAAGGTCACAAGTGCGTTCTGGCTGGTACAAGACACACTTCCGCTGCTGAAAAGACTGAGGATTTTTGACGCGTTGAGTGGGATACTGAAATTTCTTTGCGAATCCTCGAATAGCCGTGGAATGGTGTTGCCTAGTGTTGCATTTTGGAAGCCTGCAGACCCATTGGAAACGTTGATCGTCGTACAGCTGCCATCGCCGGTAACATCACATCTATCCCCTCCGAACCCGTTAACGCAGACACATCCGCAGGAGCCCAGATCCCCGACGCTGATACCACCGTTCATGCATGGGTTCGTCGCCTGGCAACTTCCGGATGCAGGCATTGTCGATTGTTGCGGTGGATCTGGACGGTTAACAACGGTAAGCAAAACAGGAATCGTGACGGCGACGGCAACAACAGCGAGCGCGACAATACAGATTAGGATGAATGCCCAGAGCGGAATGCCACAGAACCGGAGCTTTCTTTTTTCTGGGCCCTTCTCTGCATCTGCGCGCAGTCTAGGTTCGGTGTCGGTGAAGGGGCCTGGCCACCGCTCCCCGCCAGTTGGAGTTGCAATGGCAGGCGGTGGGAATGAAGCTAGAATGTCAGATATGGTACCAGAATTCCGGCTTCCACTATCATTGCTCGCATTCAGAATATCCAACATCCCAAGCCTGCTCGCCGTCTTCCCACGGTCTAGGTTCGATGCAAGCCTGGTAGCACGACGAATTAGCTCAGGCAAGCTTGTTAAACTTCCCCTGGCTTCAGCTCTACGGACGGCAGCAATATCGAGTTGAGGGGGTCGCTTTCTTTGATCCGACCCAGGCAAAGCAGTAAAGCTATCATTTTCAGTCTTCCTCAAAAGCGGCTTTGGAGCTTTACTTTCAAAGTACATGATAGGAATTGGAGGTTTTTCACACTCATCATCGTCTGATGTTTCAGAGGCTGAATGATTACCTGAATAATGTGGTGCGGGCTGATTTAATAATATAGCAGTAGGATCTTTCACCACATTTGCATCCACTGATACAGCCATGCCGATAGGACTAGTCCCTTGCTTTCCATCGACTACTTTATCACTCCTTGCTTTAGAATCCTGATTGCCATTAGCGGATTGGTCGGTTTGAGGCTTATTTATCGTTAATAGCGAGGCCTTTCCTCTCTTCCCCAGACTGGCTTGTCTGACAAGGGAAACAGTTGGCTTGTCATCTACATCGTGTAGGGATTCCTCATCTGACGACTTCTGCGCGTCAGCACCAGGAGGTGCAGATCCCCAACTGGATGGAATAACTTTGCTTGAAGCGTATGACCCACCCTTTCGCGGCAGGCTTTCAGGAAATTCCTCCGGGATTGGCGAGACGAAGGTTGTGCTCGAGTAATGTGAGGATGGAGTCCGTCGCGTTGAAGGGGGAGGACGAAGATTGAGATTCCTTCGACCGGGCGGTCCAGTGGCAGTGGGAAACGATTGGGTGATTTGGCTACCTGGGGAAGGAAAACCTGTCATAGAACCCGGAGGTCCAGAGTTAGTTAATCCAAACACACTATCAGGAGATGTCAACCTCTCGTCTCGGGTTTGGGCCATTGATATACCGTTTTGCGTTTTCTGAAGGGATGACGGGGTTGGACGCTTTTGATATGGCATGCTGGGCGTATATTCATGGATTTTAGACGCATCTAACAATGATGGGACATTGTCAGGTCGAGCAGGCCGTTGAGGAGCTTGGCGTTGAGAAGAGTCCACAGAGTCGGCCGAAGTGCTATTTCCCTTTCGCGATCCAGTTCTGTCGTCGAGCAAGGGCCATTGCGGAGCTGGCGAAGGTTTCGAAATTACAGCACCCTTCGACGTATTATCGAGGGATTTGAATGCAACAGGAACAGGTGGTGGACGTCGGGGATGACTAAAACCTTGGGGTGGCTTTTGTGGATATCGGTTTTTCTCAAGGTCTTCGGTAGGCCGGATTCCTCTATCCCCAACCTCCATTCTCTCCCTCGCCCTCCGAACCGACCCGCCATCTCTCCCTCCACTCTCACTTCGCCCTTTAAGAGCGTCACTCATGAGACCTCAGGTCTATTCGTTATATTCGTTATGCCTTTCGGTTTTGAGAAAGCTGTTATATGTAAGTGTATATCGGAGAGTTTAGAGACGAACACATAGAGAAATCGTAAGAACTTTCAAGCTGGGTTGCATATCAAGCGCCGCGATGGTGTTGGGGAGAATATATGAAGTTGAAGCTGACAATATCGCCAATATCGTGAAGAGGTTGACGAAACCTTTGAGAAAGTCCGCCAGAGTAAAACGAATGACAAGAAAATTACTTCTACAAATCAAGTGTAATCAAGGTGGAATCGGTGTGCCACACGTTGTATTTCAAAATTCAAAACTTCAAGACGTCGAATGAGTGTTGAAAAGGGGGCGTAAAGACAGTGGAGTGCAAATCAGGGCACTCAGAAAGAACCTTCGATGACGATGTCGTTAAGTTGCGGAGCCAGCGAGTGTGTAAACAGACAGGAAAGTGAATGTAATGGAGGACTTCAAGTCCACTTCAGATAGAGATCGATAAACAACATTCGATGTCTATATGGGTAGTCAGTTTCGCAATCTCCAGCTCAGATGCACGCAGTGTATTTCCAGGACACCATGCCGAGGAGGTGACAATATAAAATAAACCCATCACAGTGCTGCCACGAAAAGCGCATGGATAGAAGAACACAGAAATGGAGCAGTAATCGGGTTTCACGCTCAATATCGGTCAACCAAGGCTGCGCTCCTCCACGCCGGATGGCGATATGGACCGGGGGGATCATGCAGAACATACCACAATGTATGTGCCAATTTTCTGTGGTTTGAAGGAAGCGACAGTAAAGATAGCGACAGTAGGCTCCCGAAGCAGGAAATTTCAGCCAATCTTCGGCTTCCTCGATCCCAAACTCGGGACGTCTCGAAATCTTCGCGTCACCGAGAGATATCTCCTCCAAAAAAAGGCTGAAGAGAGCAACGCCAAACACTTTCTGTCGGGAACAAGACACTTCTGCGTCAGGTTAACGCCAGCAAGCCCAGTGTTGGATCTATCAACGAAATGTAGTGGAAGGGGTCCCAGAGCCCTGATCAACAGAGGACACTGCAAAGCTTCTAGCTCAGAGGGACAGGCAGGGGACAAAATGTTACAAAGAAAAAGAAAAAAGAGTTGAAAAGGAGCGTCCTTCTCACTCAGAAAAGCATGAGCCGGAAAGAGAGAGAGAGAACAAAGAACGGTAGAACGACGTTTCTGCAAAGAAGAGTGCTCGCCCTGTTCTTCCTGCGGCCGTTCACCCCACAGACAGACACGGCTTGTGCCTTTTGCAATTGGCTCCCCGGGACGGGACTTGAGAAATTTCGAAACATAGCGCAGATTCGAAGGCGACAACTCGTATCGTCATGGTATGGTGTCCACAGGATCCGGGACACCGCACTTTTTATTGGTCGTCAAGAATGTTTTGTTTCCAAGGCTGATGTTAGCTTCTTGCCTATGGACTAGAGAGTGTTTGGGTGAAGCGCAGCAGAAGATTCAACAGTGAGTTAGTTACCTCAGATGATATTTAGGTAACGTACGTCCCAAGCAAGCGAGCAGCCCATTTCAAGATATTTTCAAATACCTAACTAGTCAAAAGTGTGCCAGCTGCAGTCATCAAATCCAACAGAGAGAGGGCTTGACAGGAGTCTGCTGCCTCATCTGCTGAGCTTATTGAACCGTCTTTCATTCAATCCTTGTCAGCAAAGCCTGTCCACACACACAAAGTACAAAAGTAACACGCTCAGACATGCAAGAATCAGCGTGTCCTGCACCTAGTTTGACCTGACTGAATTTAACATTAATTGGTGATAGTTGAGTTGTGGGTATTTGAGGCATTTGAAATCTAAGCTAGCTATCCATTTGAAATACTCGGAACTGGGTTGCTCACTCGCTTGGGAATTGGCAACAGCTTCTGTAGCTGCTAACATATTTATCATCATCCATTAAAGGGCTTTCGTGGAGATATCAAAACCAGCTCTCGACGCCTAGCATCACTCTAGAAAGGCACTTTATATTTCAGGGCCCCCTTGGGCAAGTAGCTAGTTGGTTATATACCCCATAATTAATATAATTAATGGGGGACCAAGTTATTCCTGAACGCGAGAATGCAATTAGCCGTACCCATGATTAGCGTTGGATGCTAAGTTTCAGGCCGTTCAAGAAGGCTGAAGATAATCCTTAACTAGAGAAGTTAGTTAACAGGACGCGGCCGGGTGATCAATGGCTCTTCTTACACCGAATAAATAAGCTTACGGCACCCCTACCCGTAACGTTGACCATCCTCCGCTGGGAGCGTTGGACTGGCCCTCAGAATGAGCAACTCCGGATGGTGACTCGCCGTCAAAAACGCACCAACTTCGCGAGGTCAATGTTCGGGATGATTTACCGTTGACCGCGGGGCAGCTCTGTATATTATAGCTGCTCGTTGGATCTCGATATTAGCAGGAATCTTCCTCACGGCACCGATCTGGAGAGATCCCGGTGCGAGAATCATTTACCCGTACCTCACAATCAACCCAACAGAGGATATAGATATACTAGAGGCGGCGCACCTAGTATGAAATATATGTTTGCTTGCCTGCATATGCTTAATTTATGAAAAGGACAGGAATTGCTTTCTCAGGTCCAGATAGTTAGGGGCTTTTATTGCACACATGCAATGCCCATTTTGGGGAAATGCTCTACGGAAACTTCCCGCCTCCCAGCATGTTCCTGTGAAAACTGCATGGGAATGAGGGAGAAGACATGCGACAAGAGGGCAGGAGACAAATGATAGAAAGTAGAAAAAGAATATGCCGGATTGCAGTGTTTTGGGGGGGGGGGGGTGAAAGTTATATATGAACTGCTTCATGTCCGCTCATACCATCAGCTGGAGAGGCCTGATCACTCCACTCATTCATGTTCTGGACAAGTTGCTCTGGCATCGGCAAAGTCAACAGCTGAGAGGACACCATATCAAGACAGAAGTTGTTATGTGCAGACTGGAACAGTGCAGCACCAGCCATCTCCTACGACTGCTTCATCCCTCTATAGCATTCTTTCTTCTCAAAGAGAGTCACCCAGTTTCTTTCTATATAACCATGAGCTATAATATCATGTTTCTCATTGGTAAGCAAATGCATAACTAACTAACTGCTAACTAACTATGGTCTGACACAAATAGCTTCATGGTTTCCCGATACAACCCCTTGATCTAACCATATGCCCTTTTTGCAGGTCCCCCAGGGTCCGGGAAAAGACTACTCTGGCTGAGAAGCTGGCAAACGAACACGGAACCTATCACCTCTGCCTGAGCAATGAACTCCCTCGCGATGAAACATCCCCGATTGGACGTGTTCTAAGATACTACTTTTGAACAAGACGAAGTGGTTCCCCAGGGCAGATCTCATCATGTCCGTACTACGGCGGAAGCCTGTAGAGTTAAACAGCGAAACGGGCCATGTGGATTTCCTCCTCGACGGACAACACCGAACGAGGTTGATGTTCCTTCTACAGCACCACAACCCGGGCGCTGCGTTGCTGATCGAGGCAATCGGCGTCTCCTGTCGCTACTGCCCACGTCCCCGCTGTTCCCCGATTCCCTGCCTCTTGACGCGTCCCACACCCCCAATGCTCCTGATTTGTTTACCAGCCCGCAAAACCACTCACTGTTGACAGCTGGGTCGAACAGGTGTTTCTGCACAACCGCCCGCTGGTTTCCAGTTCCTCTTCGACAAGTGATAAGTTTATGAATCTCAGAATCTGCGTCTAGTCGTTGGGTTTTTTTTTTTTTTCTTTTTTCGGAGGAACTTCTCTCTGCTGGCGTTGCACCCCCGCGATGGGCTCTCGGCCAGGCTCGATTGCCCGTATGTTACCTGTGGCCTTGATCTAATGCCTAGATTTCTATCTCAAACTCCCAGGGGCCGGATTCTGACTCTCTAGCTTTTTCTAGAACACCTTGATCGCCAAAACCAGGGTCAATCGGATGCGGATTATGCAGGCCTCCCTTCTTCTCCGCCAGACGAAGGGGTTGTCGACGCCACTCTACTGCAAGCATTGCGGAAAACTTCACCCAACACAAGCCGAAAAAGGACATCCCAGACAGTTCTCACTAGACCACTTCCATTTCGTGACAATTCAGCGCGTATGAAGGAAATCTCAGGCAGCCGTACGCCAGGATCACCGCAACTTCCCCACATTTCAAGAGTATCAAAATTAAACCTGCGGAGAAATCAACAGAGCTCGCAGCAGTTAGTCTTTAAAAAGACCAATAATACCCAGCAGAGCCCTGGAGCCCAGTCAGAAGAAAACCATTTTCAATTTTCAGATCAATTATCCTCTCCTCTATTGCTTCTGCCTCAAGTTTCTCCAAATGGAACGCGCTGGACAACAGTACCCATGGCAGATGAGCCCATCAGCAGTGGTTTCAATTCCCCATCATTTCCCAATCCGACAGCTGCCCCAAGAGCAGCCAATTCACAATTCCTAAGCCGATACAAGGCGGGAAAAGCAGTACCTCTGCGTGACTCCGAGGCAAGAAGCTCTCCTCTGAACTTGAACGAAGCAAAACTCACTCAATGCTTCCAAAACACCTCAATTTCTGACGTTCAATGCTGGCTCGATGGATTAAACGTCGAACCTCCCAGCGATTTATACGAATCTGATGATTCTCCATCTGTAAGCAGGATGAAAAGGGAAGTGTACCATTCCGACTGCAACATTCCGCAGTCACAGGTGCTCAACGGGCATCACTTTAGCCCTCGTGTTGGAAGTGATAAAGAAAACATGTCACCCTCATCATCCACCTTTGCTGCGGGGCCCAAGTTATCACCACCGTTACACATTAGGGATGAAGAATATGACGCCCCAGATTCGGTAGCGTCTTCCACTTCCCCCTCCTTTCGGGAATACAGATCGAAACTCCCCGTCCCATCGACCCCAGTTCTCGTTCGCAAGACGCAAAAATGCTTCACATCCCCGAGGGCTTATGTACGTGGGCGCATCTCACCCACTCTCCCACGAGGCCACTATGTGCTTCCCGCCCGACGAAAGAAAGTGAGGTCGTCTTCGGCCTATGACCCCATGCCGCCATTCGAGATTGAAGAAGACAAAGATGCAGACATTCCTGTAAAACCCCCAATTGGTTCGTCTTGCCCGCGGAAAGAAACTTGGATGGGGTTGCGAGAGTTAAGCCCGCATGTCACACCGTTTCGTAAAGGTCAGGGACCAAAACGATCCAGATGCTCTAGCTACTACGATGAAGACTTCCTCCAGGAGACAAAGACTAAAGAAGAAACGTTGGCCTCTTCGAAACTACCAGTCATGGAAAATGGTCGTCGGTTTCCCATTGGGGATTCAATGAACATGGGGGAATAAGAGGTCAATTGAGCCAAAGCATACCCAAAAAAGCAGAGTTTTGGGGTTGAAAGATTTCCTCTCCTGATGACGAGGAGAATGAATGGAGTCTTTCCATTTTAAAGACCATGTGTAGTTCGTATTGAACCCAAAAAGCGATTGCAATCCCTTATTTTACAGTCATTTTTTCCTTATTCACCAAGCTCCGCTTCCCTCAGCTGCAGGCGTCTATTTTTTACATACACGTGTCTCACCTTTGTTATGTCTTCCCGGAGAATATTTCTTCTGTTAGTATCTTCATAGTTGGACAAACAAGTATGTTCTACCATCTCTCAGTTCTGTACTGACATAAAGAAACTCGGATCCCATGACTGTTTTCTTATCGAAGAGATATGATAGAAATCCAATGAAAAACCGCATTCATGTATCCGTTCTATTATGACATATATTCGATCAACATCAACGTCCACACCGATACTCGTTGATAATCAATGAATTCATGAGATTTAGTCATTTCCATCAATCTCCAGGTTATAACATCCCATTCCCCGAAAAAAAAAAAAAAAACCTGCCTACTTCATACAGTGTTTCCGAGCAACCCATGAGACCTTGCTCGACAAAAACTATCTATAAGTTGAACGACAGTTAGTGGCAGAAGCCCGAAACTAAGCATCTCGTTGCTTCTCTGGTTCAAAAAGCTGTAAGACTGATGATGAAAGAGGGTTGGGGGGGGGGGGGGGTTTCAACTAACCATTCCTCACTGACAAGCAACCCCTTGTTCTAGGCGCAAGGCCCAGTAACAGATGTTAATGCAAGCTTTGGAACAGCATTTCCTCGTTTCTGCTGCAATTTTCGGCAAGCTCTGTAAACCAACCAAACGTGGACTTCGGGTTTGTTTATTTTTTTTTTTTTTATATTTTACTCTTATTTTTTACGTTTGGCTGGCTCGTGAAATGAGCAATGAGAACTTTGTGTTAAAGGGCTAAAGGCCCTTACACCCTGAGCAAGTGGAGGCAGATGTTCAACGGGTAAAAGCAAAGTACCACCAAAAGGATAGGCCTCTCAATAAATAAATTAAAAAAAAAAAAAAAAAAAAAAAAGGGGGAATAATCCCCTGGTAATGAAGACGATGTAATACGATTCCACGTCAGCTCCTTAATTGTCAACAAGACATTCGAGTCTCAGAACACGGCCCTTTTATCTTCACGACTCCGGTAATGAATGACCTTCTCGGACCGCAGTTACAAAATGAAGCCGAGGTTCTCTCGATCTGTGACTTTCATGCGTCGTTCTTTGCGTGCCCATTGACGTGATCCCTCCTTGCGCTGGCCACCCTGGCGTGCCGACTGGGACGTAAGTTTTACCCTTCGGCTGATGCACCCTCAGCAGCTTCACGTGCCAACAGGGCCCTCAACGCCTCCACCTTTCTCTCCACCTCTCGCATCTCAGTAATCACATTCGCCAGGGCAGGTATGGCGCCTTCAACAACCTCAGAAAACGTTTGCTGTGCATTTCGTAGAGCTGTAGGGACAAGGATTCCAAACCAGTTCAATGGATTGGGGGACTGCGGGGTGGGCGCGTTGCTGCTAGGCTGTTGCGGTTCTTCGGAAAATCTAGGAGGATCAAGGGAAGAGCTTCTGGAGGGTGAGGACGTGCTAGATCCCTTCTCGTCGTTTTGGCTCTCGGGGTCACCTTTGTCGACTCCTTTGGCGGGAGAAGACGGGAGGAAAACGTTCTTTATAACAAATGTCGAATTGCTCCCTGTTTGGTTAGAAGTCGCGTCGGGAGAATTTTCCAGAAACTCAATTGTCAATGGTGGGTTAATTGAACTGTGGGACGATGTAGAGCTGGGTCAGCATCTTCTCGCTATTCACGATCTATGTATACACGTATCACGGCGTAGGAGGTGGTGATAAGTAGGTACTATACAGTTTCCTCAATGCCTTCATTCTCTCATCGTAGTAATCTTCGCCATACCGACGGCCTGGTGGACATGAGCGATTCGCACGCGCAAGAGAAAAAAATCCCTACCAGCCAATTATTTTAGTAATTCTATATTTAAAATGAAATAGGATATAAATAATATGAACCCGAACTGAGGAGGGGGATTGGAAGTCCTACAGCGGAAAATTGTCGTCCAATCTCTTCCTGGAGTAGCTGCTGTTGATCCAGGAGAAAAAGGTAGTGTTCCAGAATACTATCCAACTTCCGGGAAAGCTCCGCATATGATGTATCTTGTGAAGATAGCTCTTCGGGGTCTCCTTCAAGCGCCGGAGTCGCGGGGGGCGTTGGTAGATGCACCATTGATTCCCCCGGGCTTCAGAACGAACCGCACCACGGGTGAGATGGCAGAGGGAAAATCTGCAATAAACGGTAAAGAAATGTATATTTCTGCAAGCGTTGCGATATCGCTGGGATGCCAAACTCCGTGTAAAGTAAATGCATTAAACAGTGGAAGAAGACCAGAAATTGAGGTTGTATTCTTTATCGGGAATAACTGAAGTAAAATATTGCTCATCCGAATTGCGACTAACTCATTTGGGATCTTCAACAGTATTCTGATAACTTGTCCATCCCACTGCAACCAGCTTTGGACGGCACAAGGAAAGACAGCAGCATCTTCCTCTTACACTACACACGAATCCCATGGAAATATTCATATTCGATCATTGATTCATCAACCCCTCCCACCAGGTATAAGACAGTTTCCTTGCTGTCTGTCTGAACAGTCACGTCTGGCCAGTAGACACTTCTCGAACCCTGGAACGTCATTGACGAATCCCATGCGCCATCGTTGCTTTTATTGCTGCTACTACAGATATTCCGTGCCATAGCATCCATCGGTTTGAGGGTCTCATTCTCAAACCGAAGACATCCTGCAGCATCTCAATCGTTGCGCACCGTCGCATCCACCGCGCTGCGAGAACCGCATACCAACACCATATATCCGGTGTCGGTTTGTTGACTGCCTTCGGAAAGGAATCACTCTACGCAAAAGACAAGAAAAGGAGAGACATCATTCATTGTAATTTGTCTACAAGTCTCCAATCATGTCCGTTGCCACTCAGGCAAGTACCGCTTTCCAAGCTCGCTCGCTGGTATGATGCTCACTCTCTCCTTGTTCCTTTTCGTCCTATCCTTTGCTCTCTGAATGTCGTATTGTTTTCCAGTCAAATCTTCTCATACTCTTATGTGCTGGCTGTTCTTTATTCTAACTAACTATTTTGTTACATCAGTTCCGGTCACTTCTCCGTCAATCGCGGCAATTTGCGGCATATAATTTTCGGGAATATGCCTGGAGAAGGACGATAGATGCATATCGGGAACACCAGCATGAAACGGATCCGCGGAAAATACAGGAGCTAATGCAAAAAGGGATAGAGAATTTGCGCATGATGAAGGTGAGCACCACAGCGCCTCATCGGCCCGTCCTCCCCGCCCCACGTTTGATGCTCAACTGGAGGGATAACAACCTCAATTCTTGATTTAATGGAATATGTTCACTAATTATTTTTGTTTCGCCCGTGTTTGCAGAGACAAACTGTCATAAGCCAGTTCTACCAACTAGATAAGTTAGTGGTGGAAGGCGAAGCTGCGGTACGTTGAGAATACCCCTCTCATACCCGTCGAAAGGGCGGGGAACATGTGCTAAATCCTTTCTTTGTTTAGGGTAAGGAATCTGGAAAAGAGGGAGGCATCGTGCGGCAGAAGGATACAGGGTAAGCATACAGCAAAATCTAGATTGTGCTTGTTCCTTTGCTAACAAATCCGCTGCAGATGGGATTAATTTGATGGGCTATGCTTCAGTTTGTGGATGGATGGGTTCCAAGGCCTAGATTTAACCTTAAAAAAGTATAGGGCGAAGAATCATATTTCTTATCCCCAGCGAAGTCCATGGGACTCTGTGTACATATATGTATTAGAATTTTGTCTTGCAGTACTAATGTTAACCGATATTTTGAAGGCGATCGTGCTTCTGGTGCAGTCACACCATGATATGATATCTGTGATCCAACAACAAATATATTCCTTTCCGCAGATACTGCGTAGTATCTGCACCGATAAATATATATCGTAAAAATTCAACCCGTTCAATGCTCAACTCACACAATATCAAAATATCCTCGTCTGTTGCTCTGCTTCCCGTCCGTCACAGCTCTCTAAGTAGATAGGGCGCATGGAATAATAAAATGGTCACGTGGTATCGTTCCATCTTACGTGGAACGGGTAACTTGACCACGCACGTCCAAACAGCCTTGACGAAAGCATCAACAAGACACATCTGAGAATGCGCCAGAGTGGTTATGCACACGGGTAGGGATACCTGTTAACTATACACGGATTTTTCCTAATCCTTGATATATTCCCGTCTGTTCTTTGAGAGGCGGAGTCCTACCACATCCAACCTCCTCCTATTGTTGAAGGTTCGCAATGGCTCCGGTACGTTTTCCTTATGTCCGTTCCCCAAATAACACATCCTTGGGATCAATATCATATTGAAGATTTCATGAGTTGCACGAAGAAACAGCCTTGCGTGTGAGTCTCGGGAATGCCTGAGCGGATATGATTATTTCTAAACCATTTTATTAACCAAGTGCGACTTGCACCTGTTTTTAACACATCGACTAATAGAATGTCATTGCAGTTTCGATCCTCTCGTCGTTCCCAGGCATTCGCCGAAACTATCCATAGGACAAGAACTGGACAGATCGATCACGATGTCTTTGAAGGTTTCCCGGTACGGCGCTGGGTCCGGCAAACGGTTGTGATTTCTCAGACCCCCAAGGATGACCAACCAGACCGTAGAATTGGAGGCACACAAGCTCGGCCTGAATTACCAATGCCTAAAGACAGTCATCTTTTAACACCAACGAGTCGAGCATTGCTACGTGCTGCGCGCGCTGGATGCAAATATATTCGACCCACGCCCCGTAATGTTGAGGATGACGAAAAGGAGACCAAAGACGCGGATGTGGCCGTAGCTCCTCCTCCGTCCGAGCGCACATTTACCGCTAGAAAGTGGACATTGTTACCACGTCATATGGAACCTCCCGAAGTGGAATATCTTGCGAAGAGAAGGACCGGGCTGTCGTCGTTATATGGATCATCTACAGCAAACAGGACAATAGAGGTGCAACCCGCGAAGAAACAGCCAATGAGGAAAACTAAGTTCAAAAAAGTTGACGCAGCTACGGGGAAGGTCTCAATATACGAAGCCTGGGTGCCTGAAGGCCATAAACTAGAAGGGGAGATAACAGAAGATGCTGAGGCCGTTGCTGAAAATGCTGAAGCGACAGTTGTTGCCGCATCTCCCGCTCCAGGAACGATTGTTGAAGGTGTTGGGGTAGTAGACGAAGAAGGTGTTGTTGTCGCAGGCGCCGATGCGGGTATTGTTGCCCTGGTAAAAAAGAAATACCCCCCACCCAAAAGAAAGGCAAAGGGTATTGGAAAAGGCAGACGGAAGAAGGTGATGTTTGCGCCTGGTGATGCGGAGGTCGTTCCCACTGCCCCTAGTGCTCCTAGCGATTCCCAGGCTGCAGGGGACATGGTGGAAAAAGTTAAGGTTGAAAACTCCAACATTACAACAGGGTCACAGCATGAATACGAAGACGAGGATGAGGAAAACGAGGGCGAAGAAAGCGATGAAGGGGAAGGATCAACGCCGGACTCGAAACCCGCGGAAACTATTAAGAAATCCAACCAAGATAATGGCAATGCGCCCGCAGCTCCCGAAAAGGAGGAGCTAAAACCGCCAATACAAGAACATCCATTGATCTCAGAACAAGAGCAACAAATAGATGCGTCAATGCCACCACGAGTCTTGTCCAGCTCCCCGGACCTCCCTCTTTCAGCTGCCTCTGCTAGTCTTACTACAAAACCGTCCGACGGAGATATATCTCCGACATCCGAATCGCAACCAACACTACCAACAGCACCGAAGAGCATTTCCCCAACCCCAGATACAACACTCTCTGAAAGGAACGGCGACGCCGCCAAGAACGGACAAGAATTCCCTCCTTCTGAGCCCCTCTCACAAGATACACATACTCAAAATGGCTTTTCAGCACCACTACCACAAAGCCCTAGAAAGGCCGACGGGTCAGAACCCACTTCTCCTCAACCTGGAGATCAACCAGGGTCGGCCTCACCGCATGAAATTACTCCATCGGTTGCACCAGAAGCAAGTAGCGGAACTGTTCTTTTTGATGACGGCGAAGTTGATCTGCTTGGTAGCCTGGAAGCTAGTCTAGATAATGCCAACAAGCCCGAAGCTGCAGACGATCAAACCCCGTCGGGGGAGAACTGCCAGAACAATGCCAATAGTTCGCAACCTGAGACTTCTGTTTCCCATAATCCGGAACCTTTTGAGAAAGAAGATGTTGAAATGACCGGATAAAATACACTCCTGAACCGGAGTTTGTCCTTGTGTTTTATGTTCGTTTTCTTGTTGATACCTCATCGACATGGACTCCCGTTTTCGAACTTCTCCTAGTTTCCTTCATCTATTATGGGTCGCGTCTATATGAATCGACCTTTTTGGCTGGCGAATTTCTACTGTATACCAGGTGGTGGATTGCTTTTTGGAGCTTTTGGGGCGGATTGCATAAGTGCATTGGGGAGTATGAAGTGATCGAGCTATTTCTCCAACTAACCATTTTGCAAGTTTCAATGTTTGCTCGTGTTCTTCCATTTTAAAATTACAATATTCCATGTTGATGTGTGTTTTTCAAGATTGAGGATCGCTTGACCCCTGTTGGGCCCTAAGTTGCCCACGTCCGCACAGCATAATTATGTCTACTTTGAATGGCTTTTTGCTTTTCTCTTACACCATAGCATTTCAGGAGCAGAGGATTTGACTATTAAACCAAGTGACTTTGATGAAACAACTGTATTAATTATGTTTCTTCCCTCCCCTGCATCGCTAATATGATGTTTTAAACAATGAATGTTTCAAATCAATTGATGTCTATATTTGTTTTATTTCCCGCGTTATCAGCATTGTTGTCACACCTCCTTTCCCCCGTTCTTCCTACCGACTCAGTCTCATCTTGAGCGGCTCATCAGTGGGAGAGAGTGATTTCTGCGGTTCTAAAGGGCACCACTATAAATTTTCGCAAATGGATGGAAAAAGGAATGGAATTTATCCCACAAGATGAAAAGGTGTTGGACGGGGATTTTTCACTCCCGATTCGTCCAATCTCTAGCCACAGCATACTCACCAATCTTCGCAGCGACTTTGCCCGCCATAACCTGCTCCCTCGTCACACTCATCATATCTGCCGGCAATCCCATGGATGCAAGAAAATGGATTGTATCAGTCCACTCTCGCTCTTTCTTCACGTCACTCCATTTCATCTCTTCGGCCATCAGATCTATCAACCCTGGTAGCGCCTGTAAGGCTGCATTAGTGTCCACAAAGGCTAGGCGGGTGCGCCGGGCAAGGATGTCTGCGGCCGTCATTGCGTACTCGTTCTTGATGGCGTATTGGATTTCCGATGTGAGGTATGGGTAGGAAGGGGAGAGGCGTGCGTGCGAGGTAGGGCAGAGGGTCGTTGGAGAGGTAGAAGACGAGGAGGCAGAGGATGCAGACAAGGAAGCCACTTCCCATGCGCGATCACCGTATGAGCATGCTAGGTGCTGCGCGACATCAGAATCAAAGTTGAACTTCTTGATAAGGTCAATGTACAGGGTTGTGTGATAACCATGTGTGCCGATGAGTGGCAGAGATTCCGTTCTGCAGGTGCCGTCCAGGTGTACCGCAGTCTCGTCAATACCAATACCACTGATATCAGGGGGTTGCTGATGCCCGTGTGGCTTCAATTGGAACTCTGTTATAGCCTTGTCGACCGTATCCTTGGCCATTTCGCGATACGTGGTCCATTTTCCACCGGCACAGGTGAGCAGACCAGACTTTGCGACCGTAACCAAATGACTTCGTACAAGGGACTCTGTGTTCTTAGAAAGGGGGTCAAGCACAAGTGGTCGGATACCAGACCATGCAGAGAGCACATCAGAGCGGCTCAAGTTGATTTCTGGTAACAACTGTTTCCTAATCTCGTTCAAAATCCAGTCGATATCCTTCCCTTGAGGGATAGGCTGTCTCTCTACTTCACAGTGGTTATCTGTTGTACCAGCAATCAGATTTCCTTCCCACGGCAATAGGAAAATAACGCGTCCATCTGATGAGGGATCGACGAGGCCGAGTTTCTTGGACCCAAGCCATCCAGGGAGGACAATGTGGACACCACTACTCGGTGCCACTGTATTCTTCTTTGTGGTCTCATCCATTTTCTGAATAGCGTCTGAAAAGGGCCCAGTCGCATTAACCACTCCCCTCGCGCGTACGGTAAATGCCACATTTTCCTTTCCAGTTTCGCTGAGCGTGTCCCGAACCTGTGCGCCACAAATTTTGCCATTGACATCCTTCTCCAACTTGGTAACTTCCATGTGGTTAACAACTGTAGCACCATACAGCGCAGCCGTTATCGCCAGGGAAACATTCATCCTCGAGTCATTATGCTGGCCATCGTAGTAACAGAGTGCGCCAACCAAGCCAACCACATTCAACGTTGGGAAAGCGCCCATCACTCTGTTCTTGGTCATAAAGTATGAACCTTCGGGTGGCCCTTGGTGGCCCGCCAGCATGTCGTACATTTTAGCTCCCGCCCACAGATAGGGGGCCTGCCACCATGAGCGAACTGGCAGCAGAGTGGGAAGCCACGTCGAGAGATGCGGGGCGATATCGAGGAAATATTTGCGCTCGTGCAATGCTTCCCGCACCAGTTTGTACTGGTTGTAATCTAGGTTCAAGATAGCCTTTTCGAGGTATCGAACACCGCCATGGACTAGCTTTGTGCTTTTACTGCTCGTCCCGCTGCTGAAGTCATCTCGTTCGACAAGGGCGATTTTCAAGCCCCGCGTCGCAGCATCGAGCGCGACGCCTGCCCCCGTGGCACCGGCACCGATGATTAGGAGGTCGTATATACCCTCTTCATCATTGTCTGCTTCTCCTCCCTGTGATGATTTTGATGTTATATGTTTAGGAGGCTGGAGCTCGTTTTTCGCGCTCCGTCTCAACTCAGATATTTGTTCATCTCGCGACTTGACTCGAGGGAATCTGGGTGGGATATCTCTTGGCAGGAGAGATCTGTTCTTGGCTCCTGGTCGACTGGGACTTTCGGTGTATGATGCCACTGCGTAGAAAGCTATGCCACCAGTGACGGCGAATATTGGGGCGGAGCCCAACAATCTAAGAACACTCCGTGATGCGAAGCGGGACGTCATGTGGATATATTAACACCTGTTTTCCCCTTCAATGATTAAGGCTCGGGCAAACTTGTTGTTGAATCTATCAAAACTTCTTTAGATTCGATGTAGCTCGGACAGAAGCAGGTGGAGCGGTGGAATCCTTGGAATTATGAATTATGTCGACGTAGGATGACGAGTCTATATGTTTAAATCCTCGGAGACGAATGATAAGAAAAGAGAAGAACGTGGAAATCTATCTCTATCTATGGGAGAATGGGAAATAAAATAAATTTTCAAAAAGAGTGGCGTGAGTTGGTCCAATGAAGACAATGAAGTTCAGAGTAAGTTCGCCCACGCAATTCCAAAAATAATAATAATAAAGAAAATCACTGTATGTACTTACAATGCAACTGGAGAGAGGGGCTTCTGGTACCTTATTAAAAGAGAGAATAAAAGTGTAATAAGTAAAACATAGAAGACGGAAACAAGAAATTGGATATCATTGAAGAAGAGAAAAGGCTAAGGCATCTCCGTATTTTGACTCCATAGATACTGACGCCCGTTCTCCGCTACTGATGACAACACCAAACAAGTCAAGCATCCTCTACAAGGGCAGGGCAGTCAGTAGTTAATAAGGAATATGCTGGTATGCATTGACCGGGGAGTGTTTTCGAAGAAATAAATTTTCATGTGCATGTTTTCAATCCCTTTGCCCCTTCATGAATATCTAGTCAACCAGTGGCTGACTGAAAGGCAGTGAAAGCCCAAGCAAATAGTCAGTCAATATCACGGCACAGCACAGCCAGAATCCATTCAATGATTCGCTTTTGAACTGCCAAGGGTCAAATGAAGAGAATCGAAAACAACCGCCAACCGTTATTTTAAGGCACAGATAGATTGACAGTTGGGCTGGTTGGCGATGTAGCCTACTGCCGTATCAAGATTAGTTCCTATGCAGCTCGGCGGACATGAGCCGAAGTGCAGCTGAAGCTATCCTCGCAAATTGGCGCTTGTATCTAGGCATTGGCAGACAGACCAAAGAGTGTCTCGGTGAACTCGGCTGAACCTGAGAAACGTCCAAGGTTGATGCGGGGGGAGGTCTGCGGAAACCTGCAGAACAACTGGCAGGAATCGTCATCATGGGCATGTGAAAGGATGACGATTCCTCCAAGGTCAATCAATCATAACTTGCCTTCCAAGGACTTCCATCCCTGAGCTTCGTTTCTCGCTTCGTTTCTCCTTAAATTCTCTTGAAAGGGAACTTTTGCTGTGCGGCTGATGTGATGCGGTAACTCATGCGGTTAAATCCCGACTCTGCGGTTCTCCTGCACTCCCATGGATGGTTTTGAAACGGATGAGGTCTCCTGTCAAATCCATGTAACATCGAAATGTCAGTGCTCGGGGCCATATCATCGTCGTATCCGGACTTGCATTGCGGAGAAACCGTATAATCCCACTGCGCCCCCCCCGTCACCCCAGAATCGCAATACAAGGGGGTACTTAGCAAACCCTCCGGTGAAGCAAAGGTTGCTTGAAGGGACACTACTATTATGGATCGTTGTATGTACGTACATCACATCTTATTAGCCTTGCTTCCACAGCAGATGATGAGGAGAACTTTGCCGAACTCCAATCTCGGAACGTGTCTCTTTTTTTTGGGGTCGAAATACATTGTTGATTTCCAAGCAATGCCGGGAGGTCGTATAGCTACATCTCCAAGAAAGTTGGAGTGATTTAGTTTGGATGTCGAGCTCCCCTTACAACCCGCCCTTTTTTCTCTGTATCATACGCGCTGATGGTAAAAGTGTCCCAGAGTGAAGGTCATCCCTTGTTGATGGTCTGATAGCACCAATATATATATGTATGTTTATGTATATTTGCAAAGCCACAACCAGATCTCACATAACAATATCATACGTGGTAATTTTCTTGTCATTGTTTTCATGCATGCGTGTAAATATATATATATATACATAACGGATGTTGATCGTTTCCAATATATACATCTCTGGGAGGGGAGAGGAAAGGAAAAAAAGATACCTTCATGCGCCTCATTTCAAACAGTCCCTATGTTTTGTTTTTGTTATTTTTGCTTGCAATACTGACTCTCACACGCTCACCAAGCCAACACGCTCAGCTCCCCACATAGAAACGAAATAAAAAACCACATAATAATGGCTCATAGCCGCCTCCCAATCGCTAAACATAAGTATCCGTTTTAGTATTTGACCATACCATAGGCGTGGGTCTTAGCAGACGATCCAGTCCCATCCACGGCGTATTGACTGGGCTTGGGCCTGCGTACAGGAGCAGGTCGTATAGAAACCCACCCAACGCACACCCGATAAATGGCGCAACCATTGGGACCTAGGAAGTGAAGGAGAGGTTAAAAGGTTGGAGATTGTGACTAAATACAAGGGAATTGAGAAGAGTAGTAATAGATCCCATCGGAGTGGTATAAATTGGAGGCGTACCCAAAAGTAATAATTCCCAGCAGACCACACTTCATGCCCATACCCCAAGAAGTAAGACATCAGCCGTGGCCCAAAATCTCGCGCAAGATTGATCGCGTATCCGGTTTCCCAACCGAAACAAGCTCCAATGCCAAAGATCACAAAGAACAAGCCCAACGGTGTCAGGTTGCCGGCGCCATTATTGTCATTGTCAAGCAGAGCAAAGATGCAGAACATGAGGATTGCGCTGGCAAGGATTTCCGAGAAAACCTGGCCTGTTTTGTTCATGAATTCGGCTGGGTATGTGCAGAAGATGCCCGCAGAAGAGGTATCAAGGCCGACGGTGCGAATGCCGACTCCTCCTTCGAAAGCGTCGATGGCATGTATGTAGTTGCCATAGACGACTCCAGAGGCAACGAATCCGCCAAGTATCTGTGCGATTGCATATATGGGGAACTTTCTCCAAGGGAATCTGCGAAATATGCAGTTTGCGAGTGTGACTGCTGGGTTCAGATGAGCCCCTGAAATGCCAGAGCAGTAGACCCCGAGCATCACACCAAGCCTACCATTTGTGTCAATTACCGCCATCGTTGTATTCGTTCCCCTTTCCTTTATCTTCATGTGCAGTTATAAAGCAGTTTAAAGAATTGGAGGATGGGTGCGGTCACTCACCCCCAGCCCCAACTGATCGACTGATAACTACCCTTCTTTTCATGACTTAGAATGACCTGAGCCACAGATCCATCTCCAAAAAGAACGATGATAAAAACACCAACGAACTCGGAGAAAGGCTCGCGCAGTTTATGCCGAATTCGACACCATAAAGGCTTCTCCGTTTGGGGGGCTGCCATATCCTGAGTTTCTGTATCCAGCGTGGATTTGTCATGCACATCAGACCCATTTCGAATTTCTCCGGTACACTGACTCTTATCGACAATGCCAGGACCTGAGAGTTGCCTTGGGGTCTCCAGTGCCATTGTGGCACCCTTGATTGGATTCAATGTCGATCAGGTATGGGGATCGGAAGAGATGAGGGGGTACCCATCGATCGAGCTTGGTGGGGTTGCTTGTCAGTCTATTCCCCCCATGGGGTGGAGTGTCATACTTATAGATAGACGTACATGAATGAGAGGAATCTGGAATACTATCTTCTCCAATATTGTTTAAGAGTTGGATGCGACGGATAGCCTAGCAAGGTCAATACGCCCAACACTCTCCACCCGCCGGGACAGGGTTGCGGAACTCACAGCCAATCCTGCGCACTTCGGCCAATTATTGTAGAACTCCCTCCTCTTGGCCTTACAACCAGATCCTGTCTCATGCATTCCCCAGAAAAAGGGATAACTGGTAACATCCCTACCTGCAATGGACGGAATACTCGCTGGCAGTGGGAGACATGCGTTGGTATCAGTCGGTCGACCGCCGACTTGGATGAGACCCAACGGCGACGTCCGACAGGTTCATTCAGGCAGCGGGTAACCCGAGGTTGCAAGATGTATTGTTCTCCTGTCAGCATTCACCCACACAGCAGGCTGTTTGGCCAGACTCCAGTCACGCACGATATGAGGACGGGGATGAGAGCCGAAGCAGCCTGGCCCGAATGCGGTAGTGAAATTGCAGATTGTCAGCTGTAGCACGTATTGGCACATCCGTCAATACGACGCTGTGTGACAGCAAAACATGAACGTGGTAAACCGAGGGGGGGGGGGGGGGGGGGGAAGTTGGGTTGAGAAATCCCCGCGTCTGGAGTCATATCGTGGCAGTGTAGTCTTTCTCCTTCACCTGTGGAGGTTGAGTTTGGGGTTGCGATTTTAAGTTACCGTAACTGAGTTGAATAACCAACTGCCCCTACGACTTGGTTATGCTTTACTGGTCGATGGGTCAAAGAACTGACTATATTCCCTGGACCAACCCCCGCAAAACTAGCAGATGGCCGTAGTGAGGAGATGCTCCCAGCATGAGCTGCCCTGGAACAGATTATGTTTTCCAGACGTATACAAGGGAGTACGAATAGCTGCTGTTCGTCTGTCTCCGCTATAGAAAGAAATTCTACGCCGGGTTGAAGCATCGCAAACCAAAACATCGTTTAGAATTGCCACTCCCTATTTGCCGCAAACTCACCAGCATTCACCATGGGGAGCGCCAATGAATCATTCGTGGGTTCTATCGACCAGGGAACGACAAGCTCGAGATTCCTCATATTTAGCCCTGCGGGGGAGGTCGTTGCGTCGCATCAACTCGAGTTCCGACAGATATATTCTCAGCCTGGGTGAGCATACTTATCAAATTGATTGTCAATCATCATGAAAAATTTGTTATTGCCATAGCTCTTCTGCCTGGAAGAAACACATAGTGATAATCGATTTGATAGCTGGCACGAACATGACCCCCTGGAAATAGTTGGGTCGGTCGAGAAATGCATAGACGGTGCCGTTGCTTCTTTCGAAAGTCAGGGCCATAGCATCCAATCTATAAAAGCAATTGGCATTACGAATCAGCGAGAGACCACCGTGGTGTGGGATAGAAAGACCGGGGAGCCACTCTACAACGCGATTGTATGGACAGACACGCGCACCCAGACGCTGGTTCGCAAGCTGAAGAATCGCCTCGGGGCGAATGAGCTGCAGGACCTTTGTGGTCTTCCATTATCGACATATCCATCTGTTGGCAAGCTACTCTGGATGATCGAGAATGTTCGCAAGGTCAAAGAAGCCTATGAAAAGGGCGAGCTTGCCTTTGGGACCGTTGACACTTGGCTCGTCTACAGGCTCAATGGCGGGACAAAGAGGGATATCTATGTCACTGATGCTTCAAATGCGTCACGAACAATGTTTATGAACATCAAAACCCTCCAGTATGACGACCATCTTATCGAATTCTTCCGTCTCGACAGGGATAAAGTTCATCTTCCCAAAATCATCCACTCGTCAGACCCAGAAGGATACGGCTCTCTAGCATCCACTGCCCTGAGGGGGCTCCCTATTACAGGCTGTCTAGGTGACCAGTCTGCAGCCCTTGTTGGCCAAAAGGGCTTCACTCCAGGCCTTGCGAAAAACACATATGGTACAGGATGCTTCTTGCTATACAACATAGGTGAAACCCCCGTAATATCCAAACACGGCCTATTAACTACTGTCGCCTATGACTTCAATGGGAAAGTAATGTATGCGCTCGAAGGGAGCATTGCTGTTGGCGGATCTAGCGTGAAATTCTTAGTGAACAACTTCGGCTTCATCGACAAATCCAGTGACATCAGTGCTCTGGCAGAGACAGTCGAAGATAGTGGTGGTCTTGTGTTTGTAACTGCTTTTAGCGGTTTGTTCGCACCATACTGGATGGATGACGCACGCGGCACGATGTTTGGAATCACTACCTACACACAGCGTGGACATGTGGCCCGCGCGACGCTTGAGGCAACATGTTTCCAAACAAAGGCTATCCTTGACGCCATGGAGAAGGATAGCGGCCAAAAATTGACAGAATTAGCTGTTGACGGGGGCATGTGTAATAGTGATTTGACTATGCAGGTGAGTCTCACCAAATACAGAGTCAAACAATGACAGAAGATAACATTAACACGTCGTGTAATCTGCTCAATAGACCCAATCTGACATCATTTCCATTCCCGTCCACCGGCCCGCAATGCGAGAAACCACCGCTCTCGGTGCTGCAATTGCAGCAGGTCTGGCGATTGGCATCTGGCACGGACTTGAAGAATTAGCTACCGTGAATACCGAAGGCCGGACTGTTTTCACGCCGGCCATTCCCAAGGAACAGGCTACAAGTCGATTTTCGAAATGGGAGAAGGCTGTCCAAATGTGCAAAGGTTGGGCTAATTGAAAGCATTTCCGGGAGGTTTTCTGCTGGATTTGAGATCCCCCCTGGGTGAAAAGTCTTCCGCCACTTCTGTTGGTGCATGTATACATCTATGCATGCAGAGAGCTCAAGATACCATAACTGTCATCTTTCTTCATTACACAAAGCGTGTAACCCTCGAAACTATTACGTCAGTAGTCGGATATACTACTTCATATAACTGTCCTTTGGTAATTCAAATTTTCATACTATAATACACGTTGTATTTCTACATACATACATACATACATACATACATATATGTAAAGTACATGATCAACGCAGCAGAACTTCTAGGCTCAATTCTTCTTTTTAGCCCTGCAGCGACTGAAATTCGGAATCCGAACGAACGTATGTGAAATTCGTAGACACAATGTGGGTTTTCACTCGCGTCCAGCCCTCGGCACCGTTACTTGCTGGTGTCTCTGAGCCGGTGTTGGTGGTAAGCGAAGATGCCTGGTGTGCGACCGGCACGGGTGGAGGTGGGTAATTGAAAAAGTCGAAGACTTCGTAGCACTCAAGTTCGTTTGGTGTGACGGTTTTGACGGATGGCGGATGAACTCCTGATGAATAGCGTTGAAATAAGATAATGCTTAGTTCGTAGGCGCTTCTATGAAGAAGGATTAGTTGAACTCTCTTTAGCGATTGGGGATACCCGAGAGAAGAGGAGGCATACTCTCGCATTTCCGCAGGGGATTTCGGCGCCAATAGCGGAGGAGATTGAGAGTTGATAGCTGTAGCTTGGGTCATAGCCGCGACGCGTTTCGCTTCTTGGGCTTCTTCTAAAATATTCTCTAGTACTTTGGCATATTTCTTAGCCACTCCCCAATGCTGTCCCATTTTATCAAGGGTTGAGATGAAAAACCAAACGTTCGAATTAACGTCGGTATTTGAAACAGAGGCATCTAATACCAATACTCTCGCTGACACCCAAAGCGAGAAAGCAAAATGAGGACCTAGGAGATCCAGCATGGCGGTATTAACAACATCCTGCACAATCTCAAGTAAACTCTCGACTGCGGCAATGCACCTCTGCATCGCAGCAAACGAGGGGAAAAAATATCTGTGAGCGAATTGTAGGATAGGCAGTGCAAGTGTGTAGCCGTAAAACACAAGTTATAAAAGCTGCGTGCAGTATGATCCAGTTAGATATCCTGCTGGTTGGACTTGAATGACAAAGTTGAGAAATGCGGCCATAGTCATCCGGTAGATTGTATAGCCACCTGTCAAGCTCTTGGTCCAGATCGCGAAACGTAGCTTGCCAATTATCCACATCAACAGAGTAGCCAATATCAATGGGAGTACGCAGGAATTTGTGGATACGGTTGAGGATCCGTAGGACTTCGCAATGGTAGGAGAAGCTACCAAGGTTCTCCGGACGGTTTATGGTAATTTCTGGTCTCTCGGGGCCAATAAACCGTCTGGTTTCAACGGGCTGGTTTTTTGAAAATAAATCATACCGGCACGGTAACTGCCGGTCTGTCTGCTGTATATCGAGGATAGAGTCGGATCCCATATCGACACAAGCATATCGATACAAGATGAAGGTCATCCAAAACAGACGTCTGCGTCCTTCATTCTCAACCCACGGGGTTGATGGAGGCTGCATAAATTGGTGCAACGTGCCCGGCGATTCATGACTTGGCTGCCCAAGAGCTACTGCAGTTTCCACCCCAAGCCCGAGCTGCATGACATTTCTTACTATCATGCTCAATATAGTACAGCTCTGAGGACCATATGACATGCCAAGCAAGTCCAGCGCCAGAATCGTCAGAGCCTGAAGTGCGCTGATACTTGTGTGTTCGAACGCATAGAGCAAAATCTTCTGTTTCTAGATAGTAGGGAATTTCTCGCGCCAACTATGTGTTAAACCCGGGTCCTTGTAGAACTTCAAGGTTACACGGACAATTGCATACAGAAGGACGAGGTCGGCTTCATCACATACGGGAGCTCTAAAAACTTTCTCAACCGTTGCCGCCCGCTCAAGAATGGGACACCAAGGATTAACATGCTTGAAGAACAGGTCTACAATCACATATAGAGTATCCCGTGAGGGCAAATGCAGCTCAGACATAGTCTCACGCGCTCCTTCAGAGCTTGATTCTATCATCTCAGAAGAAGCGGGCTCGTTTGCACTCTCTGTTGCATTCACATTAACCAAAGACTGAACTGAAATCAATGCCGAAGGACGAAAACGCTGCACTCTCTCCGACGCTGCTTCAACTATACTGGCCGACGGGTCCTGTGACAAGGTCTCACTGAGATCTGAGCGACGGGGCTCGGAGGCAGTGGCAAATCCTTGCTGATCTGCCACCACCTGATCGGGGGGAGGAGGTTGCCGGGAGCCCCGTTCAGTTTCATGCTCGGATATGTGGAGCTCCAGCCGACGTCCCAGCATTTCTAACATGGCTTCTAGCGTATTCACCTTCAACTCGAGCTCACGGGTGTGCAAGACCCGAAACGTGGGTAGCATTTTGTCTCTGTAGACGCTCTCGCGGCCATTACGGGTGCACCAGCCGCAACTGGGTTCACCGCGGTCGCATCTAACTTTCCGTTGGCGACATAGCTCACAGCTACTGGATAAAACAACAGAATGGGGGTATCGTGTGGTTAGCTTCTTAAATAAGCCCCGAGGCATCAAAGATTTAAAGACAAAAAAGAAAAAAATCTCAACTCGCGTACGTTGTCAGGACAGTTCTCTTTCTTTTTCTTGCAGACCCGCGGGTTTGTTCTTCTTGGACACTCTCGCCACGGTAATCATCAGGACATCCGCCTTCCGATACAGATTTAAGAAGTGGTCGTGGATCAACGGTGTTCTCCATTTCATTTTGCCTCTGTTGAATTTTGATTCAATCCGTAGGGTAGATACGCGTATCCTGCACAAAGCAATAATGCATTGGTAGTTATTACAAGCTTTCTTTTGAGCGGGACTCGGTGAAGAAATAATATGAAAGAAAAACAAGCCAGGCGGGATGGCCCTTAGATATAGGAATATATAATAAAGTCTCTCCGTGATTTTCCACAAGGTTCAAACCGTGGGTCAGTCTTCTACCGACAAGCGTATGATTCCGGACTCAAGCACCGGAACGGTGGAACAGAGCCTCGCGAAGGGGTGGCTTTGAGAATGGGCCATGCGTATTTAATTGGTCGTTGCCGGCGAATAGGACGGATTGTCAAATATATTCAAAACAATACACTGTTCAATTTTACCAATCGTTCCAAAATACTTATCTCATAGTTATTTCATCAGGTTTAGTTGTTTACCATGGGACATTTTCTTGTCCATAACATTGGCACAAAATGAGCCTTACGGATTCACCGGGAGGTAGGGATATCCAAATCAATGCGACACGACAAGCTCGAAACTTGCTGCTCCAGAGACATTCACGACATTTGTAGGGGAAACCCGCTGTGCGTCCAAAGCTTCCAAGGAATAATAGACGACCGGAAATATGCCACCTCTGCACGATGGAACTGTATACCAAAGCCAATGAAAATACCAAAAAGGAACGGCTTTGCCTTTCATAAAGTCATTGAAATGAAGGCATCACCTGGTAATTTTGACCCACAGAGTTAGGAAACCGGGGACTTAGAAGCAGGGGATTAAACGAAATACTCAACCCAGGAAGCAATATTCGATATCCCCGCGCCTGAAAAGAAGAAAGCAATGAACCTGGAAAGAAAACAAAGCTCAAACAGCACGGACGTAGGCAATGACAAAATGAAGAGATACAAGGAACATGTCATAAGTTCTCCACGCACGACATTTATCAATTCAATTCAAACAGAAGACCTACCCCGTTTCACTGTCCCAACGACACCTGTCACAGTTCTTTTAATCTTAGACTGTTTGCTGGTGTTGTTATTGATATATCTTCTCTTCGCCACGACTCGTTTAGAGCCTGGCTTATCAGCAGTTAAAGTCCTGTCTATTTCATATCCCGTAGTTAGTTTTCCGGCTTCAAGGAACCGCCTCATGATCGCTGGAGTCCTGCTTGTGGTTCGTGAGACAGCAATGGAATTGAGCTTCTTCGACGGTCGGTTGAGTTTCGTGCGATCTCTCTGCGTCCGGACAGAAGTTTCCGTCTCAGCTTGAATCTTGGATTTCCGGCCCCCCCGACGTGCATTTGTGCCTTTAGTCGTAGTTTTTGATGGTGAACTGTCCTTGGTTTTCTTAACTGGAGCCGTTTTGGCTTTCACGGTTGTGATAGCATTGATTTTGGATTTGGCTTTCGCTTTCCCCCTCACCTTCGCTTTTGTGCTTGAATTAGCTGCTAAGCGAGCGCCAGCTACAGCTTTCTTGATTCCAGCATTAAAAGCTTTTGATGTCTGTTTGAGAATCCTCCTCCGTTTGTTCAGGCGCGAAGTAGACGATTCATCTAGAGCGGTTTCTTGTTTCCGTTTCTTCCCTATTAAAGTTGGACCAGACTTCGATGACACAGCTTTCTTCTTTGCATTTTTGGATTGTTTCGTATTTTCTTGCTTTACGCTGCGGGACTTGTTCGAGTCTTTGGATTTGGGGCCCAAAACACCACGACATGTTTCTGCTCCGCAGCGACATTCCTGGACATTCTTTTGGGAATATGGGCTGGTAAGGGTTTCCTCCATTAGTAAACTAGCACAGTGGGATTATTGAATGGGCAGATGCTTACTCGAAATTGTAGTCATAAGTCAGTTCTTCCCCGGTCGTAATCCCATTCTTGCCAGCAAAAAGGGCCATGCGTGGCTTTCCGGCAACAGTCCATTTCTCCATTTCACAATTGGGTTCACAAGAATGATTAACGAATCGGGCAATGGAGCCTCGAGTCGCATCAATTATCATGTTCTGATCAAAGTACATAAGATAATAGCACTGACGAAACCCAAAAGTTAGCTTTTTACACGTCCCCTTTTCTCATCTCGTCCCGAGATTAGAGGACACAAAACAGCACAAACCTCATTATTCTTATACACAGTCCTCATCCTCCTCTCGCACTCCTTCTGTGTAACAATCTCCCCCGTATATTCGACAATGATCTGATTAGGCTCAAAGGTCCTATTGCTGCGTACCCCATATCCACGATCCGCCGTCTTGATGACTTCAACACCAATGTTATACTTACCACCCGCCTTGATGCGCTGGCGTAGATCTTCAAAACTGCGATTGCGACACAGCTCTGCCCCAAGCTTACAGTTATTATCATCACATTCGTAAAACATGCAACGATTCTGGCAGTTCTCATCACATCCGTTCTCGGGGGTGCACATGCATGTAGAGCACTCGCCAAGCTTGTTAGCCTTCCATATACAAGCTGCGTCTCCGACAAATACATCTATCACTCAGTCAGTAACCGGTCTTGTAAAGTAAAAATGGAGAGAAACGGAGGCAGAGTTAGTTCGTACTCTTATTCGTCTTCCGCCACTCATCAGGTTTCGGCTGACCCGGTGGCAGCGGAGAGAAGATATCAAATGGCAGCTTGAAATCTCTCCCGTCTTCAATCAACCTTTCACCCGCAAACATAGGCAAGGGAAACAATTTATTTCGCTCCTCCTCATTCTTCTTCCCAAACTTAATCCGATTCTTCTCATCCGTAAGCCTGGGATCGAAGTACCGGTCCTGACCCGCATACAGACCATGGGAAAGCCATTTCTTTCTCTTATAGGTAACAGTTGCCGGCTTCTGTTCTGTTACAGTAGTTGAAGTAGCAGATGCCTTCTTGTTCAAGGCCACTGCATCTCCTTTAGAAACCCGCCGCTTCTTCGTAACAGGACCATCAGTAGTAGCAACAGCCGTAGAGGTAGTTGAAGGAACCCGCTCTTCCCGCGCAACATTCCTCGGCCGCAAACTAGCCCTCCGATTAATAATCTCCAGTTTATTTTTTTCCTTCGTCACATCCTCCCTGGACCTCTTCCCGAGCACCGTTGAAACCTTGCTAACCACTTCGCTAATTTTCTCCAATAGAGCCAAACGCGACGAGCGTCTCCGTGACCCACTCTCACTGTTTTGTCTCTTCTTGGCTCGCCTTGCATCTTTCCCTTCTTCATTTTTGTCCAATTGATGCTCCATCTCCATATTTCCCCTTGCTCCCTCGGATGTAGGTAACCCTCCATCCACTTCCGGTGGATTCGAACGCAAGGGATGAAACGTAACTTCCTTAGCATCATCTCCTTTAGCCGCCATCTCCTCCCTGACCATGTTATTTTCCTCATTCACTAATGACGAACGCGTGACGCGTCGAGAAATTTTCTCTTCACTAACAACCTCCTCACCATCTTTTTCTTCCACATCCATTGCACCGCCACTCCTGCTGGATGTTTCCGACTGGCTCGTCGGGGGCGTCAGCAGGTGTTCATCCGCGGAAATCTCTATAGTTAGGCCGGTATCAGACCGTGGCCTTGAGGAGGGAGTGGAAGAGGAAGACGGGGCTACTGCGGATGACTGCGAAGAACGCGCCATTGTTTTATTTTTCCCTTTTCTTGGGAATTTGCAGTTGGAATAGCGTCAGGAAAGAAGGATAGGAGGAGCACTTTTTGGGCGCGGGTTGTGTTTTGGACAACTGTGTTGGCGCGTTTGGGGCTTGGGAGTTCGAAAGTATCAGGGTTGGACTGCGGCGCCAAAGGGAAGACTTCTGAATGTAAATAAACAGAGTTTACGCGTAGAAGTTAAAGAGTTGAAGCGCATTGGTTGTTAGCATGAGTAATGGAACGAAGTGGAGTAAAGAAAGTTGTTCGAATGTTAAGTTGTTGACTAAATATAGGAGATGCGGAAGTTTCAAGTTGGTTGGTGAGGGGTCCATGCATATATTACGATTCCCGACAATATCCCGTCTTCCCTCTTCTCTTGTGCGTTTATACCGGCTGGTGTGTTTTTCCGTCTTTTCGTTTTCAAGAGAGCTGTTGTTTCTTTCTTTCACAAAATTATAGGCAGATGTTTGGAATACTTAGTACGAATAGCTTTTGGTCTAGAGATATTCTTGATATACATAACAATTCGAAAATCGCAAAAGCAACTCTATCAATATTGATTGACAAATACTTGATGTAGGTCCCAGGAGGTGTTTTGAGCTCCAAAAGAAGCAAAACCAAGCGCTCCAAATAAGAATTTAATTTGAAAGGGGAGGGAACAAAGAAGGAAGTCTCCGAACCTGAACCTTGTAAACGTCCGCAGGTTGGAATCAAAGTACAGAGAATTAACCCCGGAATTCTAAGTTAAGCCAAGAGCAGGCTTAGATCAAGCCAGACGGGTATGATGACCGATTTTTCAACTCTTATGTAAACGCCATTAAACATCTCGCTCATATCGACCTTCAGAAAAAACCCAATTGAAGAAGCAATGGAAGGTAATACACTGGGAAGCCGGGGGCTGGTCAACGAAAATTAAGACCAGTGAATCGAAGACAGAAAGAAGTCAGGACACAATAAAATTACAATCAAACAAAGTGGGGAATCAGAAAGGGGGGGAAACAATGACATGTAATAATAAAACAAGAGAGAAGAGAGAAAAGGAAACAGTCGGTTAACGTGACATTACGTGTGTATCGCGGATTTGTGAGAATAGGACCGAGAAATTAATGAATGAAAATCAAATGAAGAGAGGAAAAAAAAAAAAGAAAAAGAAAAAGAAAAAAAAAAAGGCTAAATCCGAGAACCGATAGCTCAAACTCAAGCATCAGCCGGTTTACTCGAGGGTGTTCCATTGTGTACGTTGTGCATTTCCATTCCTCCTTCAGGCTGGGCCTCCAGGTCAGCTGCTTTGTGCTTGCGCTTGACAGCAGAAAGGCGCTGGTCTCCTTGCTGGTACCTTTTCTTGAATTGGACATAGGATGGGGTCCGGGGTCGCAAAAGAACCGCAATCCAATTCCGGAGGACATTACCCTGTGTGAATGGTCGGTGTCGATCTTCTTTGGAGAACTTGTGAGAATTTAGGTATTCTCTTGTAGTTTCTCCTCTACCCATTAGAAAGAAGTGATATGCCCAGAGCGAAGCGGGGTAGGGTGCTGCGAGAAGACCGTATATAAACATGACAAAGGGAACGCGGCATTCATTGATAGCTTTACCGAACGAGATGCCCTCTTTGTTGCGGTAGCCAAGGACATGTCCCAGACTGACTCCCATCAGAAAGAGCGCCAAAATCGTGCTGGAGCTGACGAAGGTGAAGAAATAACGGTAGTTGCGGCGTCCGACGCAATTATTAAGCCAAACGCAATGGTGATCTAGGGTTTCGACGCAGTTGTCGCAAACTCGACAGTGATAACAGCGTGGCGGCCGCCAGATATTGCAAGTTCTGCAATACTTCACTGGCACATCCATGGCTGCTACATCTGACGTTGCGAGCTTGATCATAACCCAGTCATTGGAAGGCGGGCCAAGAGTCAACGGATCCTCGCCTGGATCAGCTGGAAGCATAGGGTTTAAGTTTCGTGGAATAATCTGAACATTATATGTTAGTTTGGATATGTTAGATTAACGATTGGAGCGAGAAATGGTGGACCCTTACCCCTGGATCAACAGCTGAAGCATGAATAAACGACGAAAAGCAAATGAAGAAAACGTAGCCGAAAAGAATAGGTATTGCGGGTGAAGCATTGCGCCATAGCCATGGAGCCCTGGATTCAAAGTTAGCAGCTATCTTAAACCCCAAAGCACCACCTCTTACTTACGAAAATCCGAAGAATAGACCAGCAGGAACAACCACCAAAATTCCAGTCGCAACATTGAATGGCTTATCCCTAGAATTCTGGAATCTGCCTCCACCGCAGAAAATAGTGTTTCCAGCAAAATACTCATAATTCTTTCCCAAGTTTGCTGTTGGCTCAGACTTGAATGCCTTCATCGGTGTGGATCCAGGGGTGGACGCGGCTGAGGACAATCTTTCATGATTCCTCGAGTCGCGCCGATCATGTCCATCACTTTTGCCAGGCATCAAAAACCCAGAACGAAAGGACAAGGGTGATTTCTGAGGAGTTTCTTGGGAGCTAGTGGGTTTATAATTTTTCCCCAAGTTGAGGTGTGACGGTGCGACTTGCTGCGACCTGTCCCGAAGTAACCTCACGCTCTCACCAAGACTTCGCACCGTTGTATTCCCCGTTGGGCTTGCATTTGACGTTCCACGGTCTGGCATAACGGGGTCCGTAAATTCGGTGCCTCGTGATGGAGGGGGGAATTCGTTATCTTGAGACGAAGGTCCATGAAGCACTGTATGGTTTGATAGCAAGCTCCTTCGGTTCTGGCTGCCCACATCACTCATTCCATCTTCATTTGAGACTGGAGCAACATGGTTGTTGTTCGCGGGTCTCCAACTGCGTTGTGCTTGTAATCTCTGGGAACTCATGGGACGGAAAAACCCATGTGCAGTCAACGAGGGGATGTGAGTTCTACTTATTCGACTCGAGGAGCTCTGAGGTCGACTGATGCCCTGATTGGAGGCAGCAGCCATTGAATTTCTGGCGGGCGGAGGACCGCGACGTGAGTTTGGTGGTTGTGACCATGTTGGCTGGGAAGAAATCGCCGTGTGGGGTGGTGAAGCATCACCGTCTTCTGAGGCTATATCTGTCATATGGGTGGAGATGTAGGAAACGGGTCTGGGTGGATCGGCAGCACTATTACTAGGGAGAGTGGATGGAGTATTGAAAGCGTCAGAATTTGGTCGACTGGGGGCCATTGTAGCAGTGTTCTAAAATAATTCAATGGTAAAAATAGATGTAGGCTGTTATCGTAGTTAGCGCCAGAGAATATGAAATGCGTGAGGAGGCTGGGATAATATCCAGCCAGGGGCTCTATGAGCCAGCAAGCCTCGTCCGTGGCTCGGAGATGGATAGGGAATAAAAGAACGGCGGAAGACAGGGCTCAGTGGCCAAAATCACACGACGCAAGAGGAGAAGGCCATGGATAGAAAGAGAGCGAATGACAACCACAAGCTTATACACACTCCTTATTCATTCTTAACTACGGTTGTTCTCTGTTGTCGCAGTCGTCGTCGTCGTCGTCGTCGTGCATTGATCTGAGATCTCCTATCGCCCAATCCGGACAGGCGGTGTATTCACGTGATTGCAGTTCCAACCGTTTAAAGTTCATGAGCCACAGTGTCATGTGATCTACATGAGAAGCCTCTATTTCAGCCACATTAACCCATTACCTAAGCCGATTAAACCAACGTCGTCCGATCCAAAGTCTCTAAACAAGCTCGAATTGACAGACCGATTCAACCCATTGATATCATTCAATTGCGCACGCTCCCCACGTCTCATTTTCCTATAAAACCCACTTTTAATAGGCTCCATACGTCCGTCATTGGGGTAATATATGTCATCCCAGCATGTCATACATCTCCACAACCTTCGCTCGCCGGGCAGCGCTGAGACAGTCTTTCCTCAGACGGCCCGCCACCTCCACTCCAATCCGCCGCGTCACATCCAAGGTGCAGGAAGCCGGTCTTGACACGGCCCCGAAGAGAGACCCCGAGCTCTACGTATGTGGCTCCTCTCTCCCTTATCTAATTAGTGGTCTTAGGGTTCTTGAGGTGGGCGTAATGACTAACAATTCGTCCCTCTTGGCTTCTGGATAATGTATAGGTCCTTCTAACTGTCATGGTCGGTGCTTTCGGTTTTGCTGGCTGGTACCTGGGCAGCTCTCCCACAACTTCCACTTCGGAGAGCAACATTCGCATTGGCGAAGGCACTATGCCATGGGAACAGGACGATGAGTCCAAGACCAATTTCAAATACCAATATCACCCCTACGGCGACGTCTCGAAGCCTCTCAAGAACGCCCCCAGCGCTCTGAATGAGGTTGTCATTCCCAACGTGACCTTGCCAAAGGTGAGATTTGTCCTTTTTCTCTAACTTCACGAGATGACCCTTTGGATAAGTGGCTAACTATCATCGTTCGTTGCAGGATCTCCATGATCGATTCAACAAGTATGGCAAGGAACTTTGAGACAAGACGCCATCAACTGCCAATTTCGCTCTTAAAACGAAACTAAATCTGTATTTGGTACTAGTTCAAAGAGAGAGAGGAGATGGTTGTGGGCAATCCTGAGTATATTTCTAAGACAAAGAATGCAGAAATGTCCAGTGTATATAAGTATTTTTGATATTTTTTCACACAATTATCCTATTCAACCCAGGTTTTGGCTTTGTGCCTTCCCTATACTCCACACCATCCTGTATCCGCCATGTCATCGGTGTCCTGTCTCTTTTTCATTATACCGAATATTCAAGGGCCTCGAATCGAATAGAAAGAAGAAAATTAAATCAAAATACACGAATTTAAGAATTTAAAAACCAAAGGAAAGGAGAATAGTGTTATAACATATTTCTTCCTTCTGAATACGGTCAAAATTTGGTTTCACACATCTTGTTTTTGAAAGAAAAAGAGGACAAAAGAACACACATTATATAATAATGTCCCATCTAAATGATCTCAGAAATCAAGGCCAAAAACAAAGGGGGAGGGGGTTGGGTGGTGAGAAAGAAAACAAACCACAAAAACGCTCATCAATTTCCATCATCCCTCTTCGTAGCCTCATGCCCTTCACTTGCAGGCTTGGGCTTACCTGCATCCGTCTCCACAAACTTCTCATCACTAAGTTCGCGTGCAGGCTTGTTATTCGGCAACTCGCCAGTGTCGCCCTTGCTAGACGTTTCAGGATTCTGCCCCTCAGCATCAGGGTGTTGAGGTGCAGGAGGTTCCCGGCCCACCCCGTGGCCCTGTGCATCAATTAATCTCGTCCGTGTTTCGTATTTGGTTTCAAACGAGACGTGACCCTCCTTTTGCAGCAACGCTACCTGCTCGTCGTTCAAGATATTTCCGTCCTGGTCACGATATTCCACGACATGGGAATTGGTATGTTCCATCGTTTGGGCGGAAGTCACCATTGCATTGTCTGGTACTTCACCTGAGTTACCATTTTGCTCCTGTTGTTGCGCTGGTAGTGGCAGCAGCTCTTCTTCTTGCTCCTGCCCCTGGGGAGCAGAAGTTGGGGAAGCAAGTTGTTCAGCGTCATTGACAAAGTCGATTGGTGTCTCATATTGAGACAGCTAAACCAAGTCAGCAGCCGTTTGGCTAAATAAAATAGAGATGGAAAATTCGTATCATGGAGCTCCGCGACGAGGAGGGCGGCATTTCTGGGAGACTTACCTTGTCGTGGAAAAGGTTGCAATCGAAATCCCACGTGTCGAGAAGCTTGACTCTACCGCACGCAGCCTTGGTCCAAGGGTTGCCGTAGATCAATGGCGAGAAAAGGGCGAAAACAACAATCGATAGCGTAACAAAGAGAAACATGAATATCTTCCCGAGTACAGGTTTGCTTCTGAACCCCGTCAAGGTGACCCTGTTTACCCCATAATCGACAATCTGGCAGAACGCAAGGATGGCAAAGTAGAGCGCTGGTAAATAATGGTGGAGGAACAGCTGGCGTGCCATGAGATAGAATGGGAAGTAGTGGAAAGCCCATCCAAGGACAGTTTGTCCAAGCTCATAATCGAAGCGTTTGAAGTTCACATTCTTATAATCATCGCAACCTCGTTGCCAGCGCAGAGTAGCAAGACCTTTGAAGATGACGTAAAACAGTATTGCAAGGGTTGAAGACCACCAAATAAGGGGGTTACCAATTAGGTAAACCTGGCGGTAGTCTCTGCTCCAGAAATTGATACCTCGTGAAAGTGTCGGCCAGGAGGGAGGTCTGGAATCCCACGCGTGGGATTCGACGAGGCCAGCGTTTGTCCTCCACATAACCTTCTGCAATTCCCAGAACTTGCTAAAGAACCCAGGCCTCTTGTAGTTGACTTTCTCGGCGTCTGGTCCGAGCATTGGATGGTCATTTCCCTCAATGTACCAAATGCTATTGGGGAGAGTCCCGCCTTTGGCGCATGTGACTTCTTGCTGTTCAAATCCCCATTGTGGAAGCTTCACCTTGTGTGAAAATAGTACGCATCCGGTCATATGGTGGATGAGCCTGAACTTTGTCTGGATTGTGCGGAGTCGTTTCTTGGCTTCGTCGCCGTCGGACATCGATTTGACAATCTCAACGCGGAAAAGGTCATTTGCATCACCAGGAAACCCTTCGTAACCATACGCAGATACCTCGTTCTGCCAATCAGCGTCTGTTACGGGAGGGCGAACGTCATGGGAATGAAGTCTTCGGTTCGTAGAGAGGTGGTAAACCTTGATAACTGATCCGTCTATAATGTTGCTAGCGGTTATGTTATCCCAGGCGGTTGGGCCCTGAACTTCCCCGTAGTCGCCCAACGGCTGGGTGTTGTTCTCAATGATCCAGAGGTTATTGTCATCCTGGTGGGGGTACAGAGTGACTTGCTGTTGCTTGCTGCCCGCGGGATACATAGAAGAATGTGAATGCAAATACCCGCCCTGAGTATTGTAATGGCGGATAGAGACTCTTGAGCCAAAGGCTACATCAGCTGGAACATCCTCCATTGCTTTGGAGTTGAGGGTCGACTGGAATTCGGAAGACATAAAACCATCTCCATCACCAGGGTTGACCAAGCATATGAAGTGAATCTGAAACATGGCCACATAGAACGCAACTGGGAGAACGATGAGACAGAGTACTCTCGCAAAAAAGTGTTTAAACCAGATACGCTAGTTTTGGGTCACTGTTAGTAAACAAGGAATCCAGGTTTTGACTTCCAGAAACATGTTTTGACTTACGACAGTGACTGTTCTGGTATCTCCAAGCAGAACCCAGAGCTGAAGGATTGTCAAACTTCCCACCCAGGCGATGGTAAAAAGACCCACCCACTTTACACTAAGAGTGGCGCCCAAGAAGATGCCTGTAAGAATGAGCCAAAACCACCATGATGCTTCGAATGCCTTTGAAGGCCCTTGCTCATGCTGGTTTGTAAAGTTTGTAAAGGCGAGTGAGGTAAGGGCGGTAAAAAAGATCAGAGGTGAATCGAGAAGGATAAACCGGGACTGGGTCGTCAGTGCGTTTTCTGTTATTGGGACACACTCGTCAGAATTCTGCGTTTCGTTTCATCGCATACAGATACAAACTCTTACCGAATGTAATAAGCAATGCGCCCATTGAAGCTGTAGAAGTTCGGCAGCCATATGCTTTCAGAGTAAGGAACATCGTCGGAACAGCCATTATACCCATTAAGGCGGGTAACATGCGCATAGCCACGTACGGAACGCCCGGTTCCAAGTAATCTTTCCCAATATTTTTAAAGTCGAAGTCACCACGAAATCCGGCCAAGTATCCGACAAGGGCAATAAGCATTTTAGCCAGCGGTGGGTGCACGTCCATGAAGAATTTGCCCTTGATATACTTCGTCGCAAACCCACCGAAGCTATTGGCAACATTGACACAGAAGTTAGCATCCAGGAGATATTATTCCACATAGTCGATAAGGGGAGGGGAATCGGAAATCGGAAATCACGAACTGCACTTCATCAAACACAACACTTGTCGGCTGGTAGATCCTGAATAGTCGCACCACGAAGGCCAGCGCTGTCAACCGGAGCATAATTTTGTAATCGGAGACCGGTAGTTGAAGCACATCATGATCTGAAACTCCTTCAGAGCCGTAGTGGGAATTCTTCGATGCCGCTGCCTTCTTCCTGCTCTTAGAATTGGGGGATCGGGAGGGAGAACGGCCTTTGCGCGTGTGAGGTTCCACCCCCAGCCCGCCTCTGGGCGACTTGGAGGTCATCTTCAACCACAACGGGAGAAAGAAAGTGGGTTTTAAATAGGTAATAAGGCTCTGTCCCTTGAAGGATCAGATAAAATAAGCTTAGAAAAAGGAAAGTAAGAAACAATTGTGAGGTTTTTGCTGGACGCGACGCTTGGGAAAAATCATGGACGAAAAAGGGGAACGGGTGGTGATAGAGCCCAAACAACGACTAGCAGACAGTCTCACACCGCAAGAATCGAAGGGGGATATTAACGAGAGTATTTAGTGAAGAGAGGAAACTGTCTCCATCACAGGGGAAGAAGATGTGGATAGAGAAACGTTGCCATGGACAGCAAATAAAAAGAGTTCAAAAAACATGAAACTTTTTACCACTTTGGGGGGGGGGGGGGGGGGGAAATTCAGGAGGTCGTTGAACTCAAGGTGGTGCTTGTAACCTTGAAACCTTGTGGCCAGATGTTTCTCGTTGCCCGCTAAGTTATTTAAGCGTTTGAAACGGCGAGCCAGGGAACAAGGTGCGGCCGTGGAAATTAAAGCTTTGGGGGTTCCTCAGTTCCTCAACAGAGTCAAAAGAAGGTCGCCTGATACATGATATGGTCCACTTACATCTTTTTTTTAGAATGTTAGATTTTTTTTCATCTGAACCTCTCCGATTTTTTGAAAATATTTCAGAAGAAAAAGAACGTCGTGGTGAACTGCCTATTTGAGACTAGTGCGGTATTGAGGTCACGTGTGAAACGATACGCCTAAAAGAGCTTAGCGCGGTATCCTTTGGCGGGCGTCTTCAAATGTTCAAATTGATATCAAATCAAAATTCTCGCCGCAACCAACTGAGCATCAGCCAACAAAACCGTCTGCCAGCAACAAGGGATAGTTAAAAATGACCCCGTCTGCTACAAATGGAACTGCTGCGATACCAGAACTTCTTGAAGAGCTGAACAAAGCTCCCGAGGGCGTTGTTCTGCCTCCCAGGGACATTAGAAGTCAGTACTTCACACCTAGACTACCAGAGCTGAACCCGAGGGCTGAACATAGAGCCATATTTGGATGTATAACTTACATCTTTCATAGCTATTATCGAGAAGACCGCTGGATTCGTCGCCCGTAATGGACCTGTTTTTGAAGGTAAGCTTACCTCCACATTTATATAAGGTCCAAAACGGTTTCAACTGTCTTCCTGCGCAAACCAACAGAGGCTCATTCATCTTGCTTTTCTCAGATCGAGTACGCGAAAAAGAAAGGTCCAATCCTAAATTCTCCTTTTTGAGCGCAAACGATGCATACTCTGCGTTTTATGCGTGGCGCCTTAGCGAAATAAGGGCCGGTAGAGGGACTGCGGTTTCTGCTGGTCGAGTTGGGGAGGGGGCGGCACCGGAGCCTGAGAAACCAAAGGGTCCTGCTCAACCCCCAGACTATCATTTCTCTGCGCGTATGCCGAACATCAATGCTCTGGACCTTGACGTCGTCAAACTGACTGCCCTGTTTGTCGCCAAGCGAGGGAAATCGTTCATGACCGCCCTGTCCCAGCGCGAAATGAGAAACTTCCAGTTTGACTTCCTCCGACCGCAGCACAGTCTATATCAGTTCTTCACGCGGCTTGTAGACCAATACACGGCCCTCCTTCAAGTCGGCGAGACAGATGGTCCTAATTCGACGTCGAGACGATTGTCAGAGTTGGAGCGAAACGTTAAGGATAAATATCACGTTCTTGATCGAGCGAAGCAACGCGCAGAATGGGTTAAATATCAGGAGCAACAGAAGCAAAAGAAGGAGGAGAAAGAGGAGCAGGAAAGGATCGAATACGCACAAATAGACTGGCATGACTTCGTCGTGGCGGAGACCGTTATTTTCACCGAGGCAGATGACCATGCAGAACTCCCACCCCCAACTTCCCTAAATGACCTCCAGACTGCATCGCTAGAGCAAAAAGCAATGATGTCTCTACAACCTCATAACAGACGAATCGAGGAAGCCATGCCTACAGAAGAAGAAACAACCTACTATAACGCCTCTCAAGGTCCGACCCCTCAACCACAACACCCCTCAGCCGCCCCCTCCCCACAACCACACGGCGTACAACCCCAGCATCCCAGCTCCGTATCAACGCCAGCAGACCACGCAACGCAATCACTCGCACCAATCTCAACCCCAACAACCCCCCTTCCGGTCCCCAATGCCGCTACCGTAGCCGCATCTGAAGAAGAAGACCGCATCCGCGAACGCCAACAAGACCGCGAACGCGCCCAGGCCGCCCAAGCCGCCGCATGCGCCATCTCCACCCCAATCCCCGGCTCCACACAACAAACAATGCGCATTCGCTCCGACTACGTGCCCCGCGCACAAGCCAAACGTCTCAACACCACCGCTGCCGCCGCCACAACCATATGCCCCAATTGCCGGCAGGAAATCCCCATTAACGAAATCGACCACCACATGCGCATCGAGCTGCAGGACCCGCGGTGGAAGGAACAGCGTGCAAAGGCCGAAGCGCGCTATGCAACCACGAACCTATCAACGGCGGATGTCTTTAATAACCTGAAGCGATTAGCTAGTCAGCGGACGGATGTGTTCGATCCAGCTCTTAGCGCTCTGGATAACGTAGGTGCCGATGGCGGGCAACAGGGCGCTGGTGCTGGTGCTGGTGCTGGTGGGGAGGGTGCACTAGATCCGGATGAGGAGGCGAGGCCGAAGCGTGCTGCAACTGGGATGGGGATTGCGGGGATGCCACCCGGTATCCCTGGTTATGAACTGGCGCCAGGACAGAGTCAGGGACTAGATGGACAGGCACAGCACCAGGGACAGGGGCCGTATATTCCTGGTCACCCACCGCCCGGTGGTCCTCCGCCTCCGGGACAGAGCGTTAATATCGAAGAGCAGATTAGGCATATTCACCAGAAGTTTAAGCAGTGAGTCGTGGGAATGGGGATGGGCAGGGTATTCTTGATATGGATTCTCGGTTCTTTTTACTGCTTTTAAAGTGGCTATATCTGTATGGTGTTCTGGTGGGGTTTTTTCATATTACCTCTTCTATTGTACTCTTTCCCGTACGGATCTTAATTTTCAGGCATATTACGATCGGACATAAACTTGTTTCAAGGCTTACCGAACACATTAAATCAAACACCTTTTCCCTCCAAATAGGCTATCTACAGGCAACAAAAGCTTTCATCAATCTCTATGTAGTACAAGAAGAGAACTGTTCCAAAATGGCCAGAACCAGAATAAAAGTTTAGTCTTCAAATTACTCGAGTCATGAATATGCCGCTTTCTTTTCACAATCTTCCTTCTATTCTCTAAAATAGCAAATAGAAAATAAAAATTAGCAAGGGAGAGCCCAGTGAACAAAATAGGGAAAAATCTGGAAAAAGAAAAAAAACACTGCAAATGATATGAATTTCCCAACCCATAGTGAAAAATAGAAACCATCCCACCAAATTAAGGAAGATAGAAATTAAGGAAACGAAAACCGCAAAGTACGTTATTCAAACAAAACGGGAAAGTAAATGAAAACATTAGGAAACCAAGCCAATGCAAGAAAAAACCATATGCTAGGTAGTGGAAGAGCGGCCAGAAGAGCAATAGGTAATTAGTTATATATATATATACGTATGCGGAGCAAAATGGTGTAAAATAAAGAGAAAAGAGGAAAATGAAAAGGCTCTCAGGAAGAATTGGGCTTATGACGATATGGGCTTCTATTAGGACAGTGCCCCAGGTGGGAATCCATTTTGCCCTTTCGGTCTAGAAAATTCATTTCACGCAAACGAAAAAAGAGGGGAGAGAAGGGCGAATGGGTGGTGATCGAGGTGGAAGATAATTAAAACGAATCGGATAGCATTAAGTGTAGCGGCAATAGATCCATGCATATTAGTTGGCTTGTGCAAAGGGAAAAAGTAGGCTGTGCAAGTGAGATGGTTGTTATGTGCACATGATAGCGAAACAAGAGGGGATAAATATAAATTAAGGAAATACAAGTTCCTCAGTTGATGGATAGCTTATGTAGATGACATGGTGTATCGTAGATATTATGACGTCTGAGCACGCATTTTATTTACCTCTTCCGTGCTGTGGTTGTAAGGGCGTGGAGGTAAGATTTTGTTAAGTGATGGGAATGGATTGGATAAGGTGACGGTTAAGAAACACGTAGAGGAGAATAACGTCCGCAAGTGATGTGTGAGGTCGTCCATCAAAACCGTCAGAGCACACAACTAGACCCGGACCAGTTATAGGGACCAAAATAAGACCTAGAGGGCATGGAACCGCGGCGTTCGGCTGTTTTTCGATACAGAAAGGGCGAAAAAAAAAAAAAAAAAAAGGACAAAGAGAAATGACTAGTAAGTATTGATAGTAGAATATGTGCAAATAATGATACAGGCGCGCTGCGCTAGAAAAATGGAAGCATGAGCCTTGGACAGTTTGACGAAACGCACAGCAGTCGAAATCCTACATGCCATTAGCGCCGGCACATACGATAGGCCGAGAATTGTGGCAGGACGATGCTCGTTGCCGAGCTAAGATCGATGCACGATGCTCCAGCCCTCGACAAATTTAGACTGAAGAAGGAGGGCATTTTAAGCATTATTCACGCTCAAAGGTCAGGAGTCTTGAGAACGGCAATTTTCAATTTTGGATCTGTCCCAGCGCTGTTTCTCAATGGCGTCACTGGTCTGATAGGGTCCAGTTGCTCTTGCGAGACTACTTTCGGATCCAGGATATTATATTCATTAATCGGTGAGTCTCGTATTAGACCGTCGGAAGACTCATTTTCAGCAGTATTGGTTAAGCTCTTTGTCAGGCTAATTTCAATCCCTGAATTGGCCACCTTGTTATCCTTGTCAGGCTCGTCAGCTCTAGGTGATTCATGATTGCCAATCTGGGCCGATTTACTATTTGAGATTGCTTTCTCATTAGACGTGAAGGAGTCATCCAGAGGCTTGGTCTCGATCTTCTCCTCGTATTTCTGATAAGATGAATCAAGGCTGCGGATCGAACTGCCTTTATCGGAACTCTTCGACTGGATGAAAGCAGGTACAACACCTCCTCCGATTCGCGACCAAAACACCCGCTCTCGAAGGCGTATGGTCTCTTCCCACGCTCCCTTCTCATCTTCTTCGTCTACAATGCGAACATGCCCGTCAACGATAAGCCGCAGGTAGCCAACGAAATCGCAACATGATCTCACTTTTTCCAAACAAATCATACACAATGGGTACCTCTGGGCGTTTTCGTTGTCTGATGTACGGAATCGATGACTTCGAACGTTCTCCCCTCCCGCTCTGCCTTCTCCACAGAGTGCGCAAGGAAATGAGTATTTCACAGAGATGGCAGGCATGGGTTCAACGACAAGAGCTCCTTCACATATACTATTTAGAACGGAGCGACGTGTTAGCCAAGATATTCCAGGCGCGATATCTAATCTGAGAGTGGGTTCAATATCTTCAGCCAGTGCTCGTTTATAAAACCGGCTTTCCTTTAGCGCGGTGTGTGGTTCGCGAGGTGACGAAGTGTTGCTTGGAGAGCCTGGAAGGCCGGAGATTGACCTCGTTGATCCATTAGAATGCGAGTGATTGTGCTGTGATTCCTTATTACTCGTGAAACTGCCGAACCCAATCACATTCAATCCCCCAAATGACCCGCTGCTAACTCGACTTGAGGGTTTGGAGCTCTTAGATAACTGTAGCAATGCGCGGAAATCTTCGAAGGCTTGAATATCTGTTCGACAAACTGACTTTATTAAATGTGAGAAACTTGTCGAGGGGGCTGGAGAGATCTCCCCAGATCCTGGCGTGACGGGAGCCAAGTTCATTGCCTCCAACAAACGATTAATGTTATTAGCGGGTTGTTGCGCTGTACCTGGGGAAGAAGGTGCAGTAGAAGCATCCGTACGGCTGCGTATCTCATCCCGATCGGCATTCATGTGTTGTATGACAGTCTTCAGCTCTGTTAGTTGCTCTTGCTGGGAAGCAAGGAGTATTTCATTGTCCTGAATTTGTGCTCGGAGTTGTTCATTTCGCCGTTCGACGGTCTCTCGTTCCCTCTGCGCTGCGGCGACCATCTGCAGAACAAAGGTTAGAGATCATGCGAAATCAAAACATGTCATGTATATCAGAATCTCACCTTATTAGCCTCCTCAAACAAAGCAGCGGTTAGAGTTTCGAGTTCTAGCTCGATGGCCTTTTTCTCCCTCTGAATGTTCACACGCTGAGCTCGCTGTTCTGCCGCTTCATCCTTGAGTTTTGCCCACTCCTTCTCCACATCCACTCTCTTCATTAGAACGCCACTGGAGAGATCGTCATCGTGTTTGCGAATCTGTTCCTCCATTTGCCGAATCCTGCTCCGTGTAAGTTCTAACTCCCTTCGTGTCGCGGCTAACGTATCATCCAAGACCGTCTGATTATTGATGGCCTGGATGAGCTTGTTGCTGAGGTTTGCCACCTCATTGCTCAAATCGGGGTGCCGTGGTGCCGAAACGGAGCTTAATAAATCTAAGGTGCTAGAATCTCGAGGGTCGCGCAATGTTGAGAGGGAGTCTTCAGAGGGACCTTCGAGGGCTGACGTCGAATCATTTGTTGTTCCAGGTCTTCCCACCATATCAGTCAGCGCATTGGCTGACTTGGCCCGATTAACCTTCCTGTTGTTTGGCGGAACAGATCTGATTTCTGCGGAACTTGAACGTAGTTTCTGGACAGGATCGGACGATGTGGAGGAAGCCCGAAGGCTTGGGTAGCCCCATCCATGGATGGAGATTAACCTGATCCCCATTTGTCAGCAAATGAATCAATCAAAGGAGACAGCAATGAGATGGGTGATTCCCGTCAAATAGTTGTCTGGTCCGCATTATTTATTCGTGCGGAGTGCAGTGAATCTTACTCGGCCATATTTATTCAGCTCCAGCACGTAGCCTTTGTGGCAACAAGGCGAAGGTCCGGATAGCCGGATCGCCAAGGAACAAAGCAAATCACAGAGGATTTAATATCCGTTGACGCGTTGAGCCACTGGGACCGACATTGGAGAGTTTCAAACGAGACGAGACGATGAATCCGGACAATGATGGGGTCAGAGAGAGGTACTTCCCCGCGGCGTTGTCGGTGCAGGAGGGGGACGAGGTGGTCGGGAAGCACAAAGGAAACACAAAGCATCCAAGACTAGCTCTGAAGCACTAGCAGCAAGGGGAGGCTGCTCATTGGCAAAGCGTTGCAGGGGGCAGGGGAGCAAGGAGAAAGCAAGTTCTTTGGGGGGCGGGTTATGCAGACGAAACACGTACGCCACTCTGAAACTTGCAGAACCGTGGAAGCTGACCGTGTTTAACGGAATGGAGTTGGCCCGTATATCCGTCGCAAATCTGCGGTTGTTGTTGTTGTTGGAGTTTGCCTTTTTGGGTTTTGCCGCGAGTTTCCACCGAAGGAGGTGGCACGTGAACTTTGGCAGCTGACTCAGCTGACTCATCAACGTAATAGTTATAGCCAGATCATCTGCTTTGAGGCTACATTATCTGCCTGATACAACAGAAAATGGCAGACAAGCCCAACAAGCAATTGACATCTACGGATCATGGTTTGCTGCTCATTCCTTGTGCTCTGTTGTGCAGCTTGTTATGTGGCTTGCTTCTTGCTTGCAACATATATAATACTGTCATTCAGACCTGGTCATGTGGATTGAGATTTGTTTATTCCAGAGATCTAAGTCTTAAGCTTGGGTATAACTGGATGAATATGGGCATGGGAATTGAAGACTACTATTAGACATGGATGCACCTTTTGCTATAATTGATACCTCAACAAATTTCATACCTTCGAGATGAAATCTGTAAAACTGCATGGCGGCTGCAGTGCGCAACGACAGGCACTCGTCTTTGCATATCGATCATCCAATGACTCTCATCTCCAAGAATCCCCAGCATATTTATCCGCGTGTGTCTCAAGCTTCACCAAAAAAAAAAAAAAAAAATTACCCTACTGGCCATTTTTTGAGAGCCCTCCTGAGGAACCAATGGACAAGATTGGAAAAGAAGAAGAGATTCCAGTCGAAGACATGCACAACATTTGTGGATGTTCTCCTCGAATCTCGAGGGAACCTGCTCGCTCTACTGCATGATGAAATTTAAATGAGCAGATGTTTCAGTGTCTCTGCCCCCGATAAGTGTTCAACCGGTCGAATCTTCAATACTTATATAACTTGAACTAGCCGAAACATTTCGGCTCACGCAACTTTATGACTCTAACAGCGTTTAAAGAATTAACGGCGATGCAATCTTATTGTTCGGGTAAGTGTCATATAATGTACCCGTACTCAACATCATTACTGAATGCCTAAGTCAGAAATGAAATACAATCAGCATCAGATATTCTTCAAGAGGTCAAGAGATACTTTTTTCCAACCTGCAGAAATATCAAATATAGCCATTTCATCGAATCCTATCGAATGATGGCGCTTCCAGCCTGAACAAGCTCAGGGCAAACAGAAAACACATTTTCATTGTATGCACGGTGTGTCTTCTTATGTCTTCTACGGAGTAACTTCTCACCGCTGCAATTCGGACTTGTTGAAATTTTTAGTGCCATTGACTTCATCTGAGTTTTCATAGTCTATCAGCTTCTTTTCTAGAACAATTCCAGCTCCCACCAATCATAACCGTTTTGGGAACTGGGCGGCTAAATCCAAAGATTCAAGGCGGGAAGGGCATCCGCGGTTAATCGTCTTCACTTGCATACCGGTGGGCATGCTGACCGTCCAAGACCTTGCTTTGAGCCGTCAATTTTTGCGGGAACCATTTCCTTCTCGCCTTAGTTATACAGAAAAGAATACACTTCCTATATGGCTCCCACATGCTCAGGGAACCGCCACATCAAAATCGGAGCTGGATCATTCAACAGCATCCCATGCATTTAAACTCGATCTTGAAAACTGTGGTCCTAACGCGCCGCTGTGCCTATCAACAAGAACTCTCGTCTTCTGATATAACACTTGTCTACTTCTTGAACCGAAATGTGCACGATCAAGAACTATCCACCCAATTGCGCTTATGGGCAAACTTTGATCCCACACTAAAGACTGCAAATTCCCAATAAACGAGGAAATTTTCTTGAAACCTTCCTTGCATATCATCCCTTTCGTGTTACGAAACGAACTATCTCCGTGCAGTCAGACTTGAAATACCTCTTCATTCCCTAGTTTCGAACGACCCCTTCATAAACACAGGTAGGGCAGCAGTAACCAGGATGAGTGGCAGCTGCTGACAGCTTGGCTTACAGGATGCGAAAGATTCCTTGGCATCCGAAGGATTGGAATTACAGGACTGAGAGGCCTCAATTGGGGACTAAAATATAAATCGCATGTTCCACCAAATAGGGTGCGGGGAGTTTTATATGGGACTGTGGGACGAATACTCCCAAAATAGCCCAAGGTCTCGGCGGGGCGGATTCAAGGAGTTTGTAGAGCTCCTTCTATTGCTGATGGTGAATCACTACATCTAACGTCAGCATCAACGTTATTTTTTATGATAAAATAGATAGGTGGTTGGTTTTACACGTTATGGTTCATGAGAACTCCAGCAGGCGGAGACTTGAGCATGGCTCGCTTTGTGGTATAACGTCAATCACTGTTTTACTTTTAATTGGAAGGACAAAAGAGACATCACACAATGCCCTATATTGTGTATCATTATATACGGGCCTCCCCGACTCCATTCATGAAGCGCCCCTGGAACATCCTTCAAACTCCACTACATCTGCAGCAATATGGACCCGGTCGTGGTGCCTATTTTGGAATCGGCTACATCGAGTTCGAATCAGGTGGATTGAACGCCATCCAATACGCTGAACATATGCGCTATGCTACAACTCTTTCTGATCCCTCGGATTAAAATTCCTCATATTGTTCCATACTACAGAGAGAATCATGGGAATATATAAATACATTTCAATGCCGGTTCCATCATGCAGAACCCAGACTATCCCCGAGAAGCGAACTCAGGATAGCGTATAGTTCCTCACCGAGCATAGGAATGGTCGAAGGGTTAATCTTGCCGATATATACATTCTTTATGATGCATACTCCTGTATTAATTATCGGTATTCCCGCTAACCGATCCGAAACCCATTCCAACGCATTCACGGAACCCGTGAGGGCTTCTGTTACATGATCTCCTATCAAGTTTCGATGATACTCGACGGTGGCCCGTTTACTACAGTATTTTTTCACCAGGGCGTCATTGTCTTCAGCTGGGCTAATTTGATCCGCCAAGGCCTTATAGATATACAGCGGCATGGTTGGAGTCCCATGGAGGCCCATCTGTCCAGAGACAGAAAGCACTGATGCAGGCACAACATGATCGAGGGACCTCTCACCTGCAACGAAATAGTCGAATATATTAAGGTACATACCATCTGTTCCTTGAACCTGGCAGCTCATAGCGTGTTTAAAAAAATCATCCTTCTTGGCGGAGCGTATATTCTCGTTCATCCATTCAAGGAGGCTAGGGTACGCCTTGGCAACTCCATAGATGCCTCTGAATAAGAGTCCGACAAATGGCCCTCCATTTATCTTTTCTATGAGCGAGGTGATATTGACGATGGAACCACCCAAGACTGCTCCTTCAAACTGTAGCTCTGGCGCATACGACGGCTGTATCTCTGCAGCCCACCCACCCGCAATCGCACCTCCTGAATATCCCCACATCACGTACCGGACATCGCGGGCCAACCCAATCTTGCGTCCCTCGCTAAGGACTACACGGACCGAATCGAGTGTGGCATAGGCAGATTGTAGACCAGCGGCGAACTGAGCATGCAGTCCTTCATAGTCAGTGACCATCACCCACCAGCCTTGGTTCAGCGCAGGAACTATCTATCGATTGGAAGAGAATGGTTAATGAAGGGAACCAGGATAAGAATACAGGGTGTTCAGTGGCTAGGAACCTACCAGCACGATGTCAGTCGATACAGTGCTGTTTGGGAACAGGAGCCCCACGAGTCCACTATTTGCAGATCCAAAACGGAGGGTATATGAAGGGCTGCAATCTGCATTGGCGGCGTCGTACGCAGCCTGGTAGACCAGCAGCTTCGACGGATCCGAATTATGCGGGATAATGAGAGTGGTAATGACAGCGACGGGATTGTTCAGACTATCCGTGGTGCGAAACAGGTACTGATAGACTGCGTCCACGGAGACATAGCCACCGAGTGGAAGAAGAGGTTGCAGTTTGCTCTCGATCTGGCGGGACCGGATCAACTCTCCAGGTTTGTATTTGCTGATATTGGCTGGCTGCACATACCAGCTATCCTGACTTGGAGGGAGAGGTGTGCTTGTGGACGGCGGTTCGTGGAGAGCGCCAGATACACCAGCAGCCCAACCCGAGGCTACCAACGTTGCGAGAAGCAACAAATTAGAAAGCATCATGGCGCTGAGGAGGGTCTGAAGAGATTGCTTGCATTGATGCTTTCGAAATAGCGTTGCTGTTCAGTTTATATCCCGGTTTCACGAACCTTAATTTACCAATGTGTTGCTATTTTGCTTCTACTCCTTGTTTCTCATTTTGACACTTGCTTCCAAGCGGTGTTCCTCTCAGCCTTTTTTCCTGAGGACTTCATGTTACCTCTCTTTTGTCCCTGCTAGTTACTGCTTCAGAGATGTGTTGCGTCGATGGGGACCTTAAAATTGTCCAAGCGGCCTTTTTTGGTCTGTTTTGGCAATTTTTCTGCCCAAAGTCCAGCCTGCATACAGCACTGGTTAGCAAAGAGATACGCGCAAATGACAAACAAGTCATGGGTTTGGAAAAAAATATTTGCTGTGGAGTTTGAAGCTGTTCCACCGCTCGAGCTGGTCGATTCTTGAGACCTGCAATATATCCCAGCTCGTCAAACAGACACAAGCAAGCAGTTTGAGAAAAACAACATCTGTCATGTTATATCAATGCGTACGAGAGAAAACTACAGAAAATTAAACAGAAAAAATTAAAAAAAAATTTAAAAATTAAAAATTTAAAAATTAACAATAAACTAGAAAAAAACATACGACAGCCGGGATTCGCTGGTGGTCACCCACCCAACTACTAACCGGCCGGCGAGTGGCTTAAGTACGGCTGAGCGGACGGGAAGCCCTGTTTTCCACTCCCTGTGGTCGTATGTGCCGGTTTAACAACCATCTTGTCTTATGAACTCAATAAACCGTTAATTAGAAGACAGGTATAAGATATGCTCTGGATTTTCAGTTGAGATGCAGAAAGCATATATTCCTGAATCATATTCTTATCGAAGTCTTTTTCAAAAAGAATTTGAAGTAGCCATGTTCTAGTTTCAATTGTATAATAGTGGCAATTACTTTCTTTTCACATGTAATTGAGCCAGCTTTCCATTTCATTTCATTCAAATATACGGATCCGTAGAGGATGCAGTATTTGAAGTCGAAGGCGGAGATAACTGACTTAGCCTCAGGAACCCACACTCGTTGAGGTGCCTAGCCTAATTAACTTCATCTGCCCATTGGTAGAAACGTAGGGTTCACACGATGCAACAACGGAGTAACAATCTGTAGAAGCACTTCCACTCGTCTTGCGAAGAGGGTTGGTAGCAGGGCCAGGTAAAAAATAATAAACCCTTAGAACGTACATATTTGAGGGGGCAAGGATGTTGACAAAGCTAGAGCCTATTAAGTTAGCAGTTAAATGGGAATCTCTTATTGAACCACCGCCTAAGTCTAGTTAAGAAACAACTAGACGAGTGCCTAGTTTTCCCTCTCTTTTAACGGGGAGTGTTAGTTGACTATTTAACTAGCTCAGTCGCGCACATCCACATCACTCTCTCCATTTCTCTCATTGAAGGCCATATATAACCAATCGTACAATCTCTTCTTTGTGTGAATATCTCTTCGTATCAATTTCCTCAGCTACCCCATAATACCCGCATAACCTACTATGGCAGACGCGGAGCTGGAAGAGGTACAGTATATACACAGACATCGCCATATTGCGGAGCTCTCGTCCCCTGTCGAACTAGCTACTCGTTTCAAGAAGCCCATCTAATGTTGTATCCGCTAAAAGATTCGAAAAGTCCGGCTGGCGCAACTCCAGGCGCAGGCAGGAAGTAGTAGTGGATCAGGTGAAGGTGCGAGCCGGGAGCAGAAACAGTGAGTTTTTTATTTTGTTCCCCCAAATCAGATTTCTGCTTGTCTGTTCGTATCCAGCTACCAGATCTTCTACTAATCAGAGTCATTGTGTATGGGACAGCAGGCAGCAAGAAGGTAGTAAAATATCCTCAATATCCTGCTCCCGGTTTCCTCACCCCACCGTTTGATTGCGATGATTTAGTCCAGCAAGCAACATCCAATAGTTAACTACGCACATACTTGATACAAATAAATTCAAACAAATACATCTAACATTTCGTTTAACATCAAAACAGCTGACGCCCGCCAAGCCATCCTGTCCCAAATCCTCCTTCCAGAAGCCGCTGACCGCCTTGGCCGGATCCGACTGGTGAAAGAGGAACGCGCTACAGATATAGAGAACAGGCTTATAATGCTGGCACGGACGGGCCAGTTGCGGTCCAAGGTTACGGAAGAGCAACTCAAGGAGTTGCTGAATGCCGTTGCGGAGAATAAAGAACAAGAGAAGATCGTGATTAGCAGGAGGAAAGGGGGGTGGGACGATGATGATGATTTGTTGGATTTGTGATGGAGGTTTTATACTGCGCGAGTGAGTGAGAGGAAAGAGGAAACAATTGGCGAATTGACGAGATTGCTTACCTCTTTCTTTTTTTTTTTTTAAAAAAAAAAAAAAAAAAAAATTATTGTCGTGGCGGATACGAGAGATTATGGCTGGATTTCCGTTTGTGGGCAAGCATATTTTGACATCTGATATCCCAATGTTTCCATATTACATGAATCGAGGTGCAGTGAAGAATGTTGGCCCGATGAATGAAGCTGAAGCCATCTCGGGGAATGGAGATACATGCGAATTGGAGGAGATGATATTTGATACTCTTGATAATCCCGGCAAAGAGACAGGCCAAAAGTATGATACCCAAAACTCCCGGGCAATGCATCCTACTGTACACGGTGGGTATAATATATTATTATTGCATGAGGTCAAATCAAAGTTGCCTCAATAAACCAATCAATTTTCAAATTTTTCTCTTGCTGCTTTCGCCGCTTTCTTCTGCCTCCTCATCATCTTCCGTATCTCCCTCAAATCAGGAGGCTTCTCAATCCCCAACTTCTCCCTTAACTCATTAACATCCCGCTCTAACTCCTCCTCCCAATAAACATTAATAACCTCCTTGCTAGCCAACCCACTCCTAACTGCCCACGGCAAATGCAGTTTCCAATACCGCTCCCGCTCCTCAGGCTTCAATCTCATCACGGCAAACATACTCAGCCCCGTCATCGGCAGCAGCGTATTCGCGAACTCAAACGTCTTGAGAGAAACCTCCCCCTCAACCACGATCGGCAGGCCAGTGACGGCGTGGTAAAAATCGTGGCATTCTCTGTACCTTTGCATGACGTATGCGCATTCTTCGTCGTCAATGTAGCGCACCGTCTCCCGTGTGTCAGGGCCGACACCCTCCCTGTCTAACCAGCTTACGTACGTTCGCCCGACGCTGTTTGGCGGTAGACTGCGGAGGTACTCGACGGAGAGAGTTTTGGAGCTTATGCGGGGTCTGTCGCGGAGGATGCGACGGCCTGTGGGGTTGGATAACATGGCGTCACGGAGGCGGTAGATGAAGTAGGGAGTGGCAGTTGCCTCGCCTAGGGCTGCGATTAGATCTGTTACGCCGATGAACGGAGGTTATTAGAATATACGTCAGATTATATGGAAAACTGGTCGGTTCGGGAAAAAGGCTGGGGGTAAAAATATGGGTTGGAAACTCAAACTCACCCGCCCGCCTGGGGTTAAGCAGAGACCCAATTGCCGACCCGACTGCAAGAGCTCCGCGTTCAATGGTCGTTAGCGGGATGTGGCCCGGGTAATTGGGCGGCGGTCGATTTAGAACTGAAAATTCTCGGGACGAGAGAACATAGCTGGACGGGCGGGTGACTCGCAATGTCCCCACGGTCCGCATGCCTTGTCTCACAGCTGGAGGCATTGTGATTGTACGAATTTAGGAGTTAGTATCATGGGCATGCGGGAACCAAATAACTCCCGATTGGGTCGGAACCACACCTATGCTTTTTAACGCTGCTTGGTTGGAGTGTTGTTGGAGGTAGATTTGTCGGACTGACGTCAATTAATTGATGGAGCTTGAACTGACTCTCTGGCAATCACATGATCGCAATTTGCGGCGCGCCTGGTTTCATGTTGGAGCAGCCTTTACCTCATTCTCTGCACAATTCCATTTGTTAGGCATCGATGAATACGTTTTGAGAATGGCAACTAAATTCTACCTAATTATGCAACACGCCCAGTCCTCTCTGTATAAACGGAGAGATTCATGTTTGCAATCGGAGGCGTTATGCTTCTTCTATTCGACCCGTGGTTTGACAACGGTGGAATCCAGTTACCCCTGAACAGGTATCAATATCATTCATTATATTTTCCAAGTTTGTTCCAATATTACATTCTAACTCCTACCAAATGTCAGTGGCTTAAAGCCCGAACGTATTTTATCTCACCCATGAAGCTGGGAGCTTTGTGCTTCGTCTCGTCGGGTTTGCCAAAGAAATCAATGGGTCGAAATGTTGATATTGGGTTAGACATATAACCCGATGATCAATGACAACTCCTGCAGGACATAGATGTGCTTAGGCTAATTCTTGAACGCGATTTTTAACCGCTGGATAAAGATTGAGTGTTGCTGAAAGGAATAAAATGAACTTGGAGAATCAAGCACTACGGACAAACGTTTCTGAACAGGAGGGTTGCTGGAACTGAAAATAGCTAAGAAAAAAGCTACCTCCATCATACGTTCCATCCTCCAAGGTTCCCCAAGTGATAGAGCTCCCTGAGCTGTTTTTCTAGCCCGCTATTGTGAAAAGCGCATTGATGATAAACCGTTTTTCTAGACGTTGTAAAAGTCTTGTTGACAATTTCAAGCATTGGTTGGCCTGTCACATACGCCTTCTGGGATCTGGCCCAAACGGCTACCTTCCTCCAGTCCTTCAACATGTCCGGCAAACATTGGGGGGAAAAAGGTAGCGCCTCTGCACACAGCCTATCCCAGCAGTTAATTCTGAGACTATCAGTTTCCAAAGGAAAAACCTGCTTCTTTTGGATGTACTTACCTCGCCATGGTTGCATGTGAAGGGCAGAGTGCCTTGCAGCCTTTTGGGCCACAGTCTTCTGTTTCAATTATCATATCGCCTATCCTAGCGGCTTGGGCATATGTGAGGAAAATGACACCAGAGAAGAGAAAGATATTTTCCGATTATTCATGGCAGATGTAACGCTATAATTTTTTTGTTGGGAAAGACAAAAAGGTTTGAGATTAAGTTCATTGGTTTAATCTATTGGGTATGAGGAAATCAGGGAGTTTATATATTTTCAAATCTCTTATTGTCGTTTCAAATGTCCAAAAGGATATGCGCAAAATTCGGGGTATCAACCAGTCGAAGCACTCTCGGCTAACGATGCGGTATAGCCGAAACAGGATTCTGGATGAAGATATCTGCAGCAAATGCCAGGAGAATATGTTCCCAAGTGCCTTCGCATATTGCTGTAACGTACCGGTGAAAACAACACTGGACGACGCTTGGGAGAAGACTGAAAAGGAGATCGGGGAAGATTTTTCAAAGTTCCAACTGAGGTAATTGCTGCTTGTAAGATGCGCTTTGGCTCTCGCATAGTTTTGACTAATGTTAACAAGTATGTTTTCCTCCCTTGTCTCTTTTCTATATTTCCTGGGTGTTAATATGCTAAATTCTCGAGAACGCGTTGCTCTACCAGGGGGGGGGGGGGGGTTTCCTGGTATGAGAAATCTTGAAACTGGCTCCATGAAACTATACATTTCGAATATATCAAATTAAATCAGCTCTACCAAATCAAAATCTGCAAAACGCTTTGCGTTATTACCGCATATCATGTTCTCCCCTTGCTGTGGTTGTTATACTGAAGCACCAAACAGCATGGGACCGGCAGAGAGCTAGAAAGGAATCAATTTGGTTGAAATTACCAGGGTATCAATGAGCAGATTAAACCAGGATAGCATTTAAACTTGGTATCATCTCTAAACCAGATATGACTGTATTTAAAGCCCATTCTCAAACATAGTAACGCACGAAGAGGGTGTGTTCATGAGGAGATTTGGCTTGTTATTGAAGAGCAATTGCTGTATTAACCTAATGAAGTTCCTATGTGTTTATTTGTTATCAAACACATGTAGGATAAGAAGCTAGATTGTACAGCAATTTTCCTAGATTCAGCACAGAACAACGAAAGGTTTGAAGAGAAAACCAGGATTTTAATCCGCATGGGGGGGTTGGCGTCTGCAACTCATTAATAATCACAAACCCCTCATGAGGTCGCTGTCCGTGAGTTCTCATCAGCGAGCTTTCTACGAAGTTTCTACCATGAAGATATCTCTTCCTTCAATCCTCTTATATGCCGACATGGATTCCTTGCTCTCCTTGACACTGCTTTAAGTCGGGGCAAGCTTGTTTTTTTCCTGTTGTAACTTCGGTCCTGGTTGTAGCCTCCAGAGAAATCTTCCTCCCTCAGATATGGATCATCCTACACACTCAGCAGGGCCAGAGCATGAAATTTTCACAGAATGGGCAAAATCTCAAGGCATTGAAATCAACGGTGTGGCACCGACAAAGTTCCCTGGCCAGGGCGTTGGGCTCTCGGCTCAAAGAAATATTCATGTAAATTCCACATTCAACAACCTCTGATTCCCTAGCACATTTTTGTGTCCTGATTTTGTCTCCGCTTAATGCGAATAATATGTTTATTTGCGATTAATTTCCTTCCAAAATGCTTCTGCTAATAGTTTGCTTCAGGCTGGTGAAATAATTGTCAGAATTCCAGTAAAGGCAATGCTGACAGTTGAGAGCTTACCGTCGGCATTTCGTGAAAAATTCCCTGATGATATCCCCCTTCAAGGGTTGCTGGCAGCATATCTCTGCTGCACAGAGGAAAGCAGGAAGAAATATGCTCTCTGGCGTGCTGTATGGCCTTCACAGCAAGATTTTGAGGAGTCTCTGCCCATTCTCTGGCCACAACATCTCAGAGTTAGGGACTCGAAAGCATCCGATTCTCCTCTGTCATGTTCATTCCTTCCTCCATCCATCTCAGGTTCATGGAATACGATAACTAAAAAATCCATACGGTGTGAATATACGTTGGAGAATCAAGACATCCTACCGCAACAAGAGAAGCGCCTTGAAATGGCGTATCAGATTGTTAAGCGAGTCTTCCAGGATCTCGACAAGGAGCTCTTCACGTATTACTGGTTGATTGTGAATACGAGGTCGTTCTATCATGTTCCCCCGGGCGTTCCAGTTCCCGAGGACCATAATAATGCCATGGCCCTGTGCCCCTTTGGGGATTATTTTAACCACGTGGATGACGGTGGGGTGGGTTTGCATGTCTATCCCTAGGGATTATGTTGGCTTAAGATACGCTTCTGAATACTCTGCTAACTGGATAAACCAGTGTAAAGTTACCTGTGACGACTACCAGTATATCTTTATAACATGCAAGTCCTACGGTATCATCCCTCTTCGCTCATTTGATCAGTTTAGGTACACGATTCTAATGATAGTTCAACTTGGATAGAAAAGGGAGAGGAAATCTTCTCTTCATACGGGAATCACACAAGTGATATCCTTTTCACTGACTGTGAGTCTTGTATTTGTGAATTTAAACCTAGCTTTTAGCTATTTTACTAATTCAAAAAACACTTACAACTCAAAAGATGGCTTCGTCCCCACAGATAATAAATGGGACGCCTTGTTCTTAGACGATATAATTCTTAAAGACCTCGCATCCAAGGATATCAATGATCTCAACAGTGCTAGGTACCTGGGGTAAGCAACTATACCCCCCTTTTCCTATCAGCGTCCGGAGGTTTTAAGAACCATTTTTTACTCAACAAAAGTGCTGACAGCATCACAGAAACTACCAAATAACGACCAGTGGTCCATGCTTTCGAACTGAAGTCGCAGCATGCAAGGGGTATATGAATCACAATGATTGGAATAACCTTATCCTTGGATATCCACCAGCAAGCTTTGACCAGAGGAAGACGAATGCAATCATTGCAAGATGGATACGAGAATACCTCAATGAAGCGGAGGTGGTGATCTCGAAGTTAAGAGAGTTGGAAGGAAATAGGGAGTATCGTGGTGGCCGACGACTTGAAGTCCTCATCACGAGGTGGAGGCAGATAGAAGAGCTATGCAAGAGGGCTCTGAGGGCTGTTGATTAGATAGTAGATCTAAATCAGCATAGATCCATGAATATAACTGGAAGAACAGTCACTCCATCCATCGTAGTAATATTGTAGAATCGCTTGCACGAGAAGACGAAGGGTGAAAAAATCATGAATAGTAGAACTAGTTGAGCCGAATGTACTCTTAGGCTATATCTTATTACCGCCCAGCATCCTCCGGCCCCATAACCATAGGGATATCTCCAAATTCCTTCGAGAGCCTAATTTTCTCCCTAGCCAATACCATCTGAATTACCATATAATTCAATGCACACTTGATTCCCAAGTCCTCACCCCTCTTCACAATATATCCGTTCATATACCTAATCTCCGTCGGATTCTTCAGCCGCACATCCTGCAACATGGAGCTGACATTCTTTGCCGTGTTCGCCATGACACTCACACCAAGGGTCCGCAGGCGGTCTGGCGCAAACCGCGCCTGAACCCCGGGGATCCCCTGGAGTTCTGGCAAAGCGCAAATGACGGCGGAGATCTCGAAGAGCAGCAGACGTTGGATGCGGGAGACATGGTAGTTATAGAGGAGATTGCCGTTGAAGCAGTCGAAGATGACTGTCAGGGGGTTTATGATGCAGTTTATGGCGAGCTTTTCGAGTTGGTGTTGGAAGAAGGTGTCTGGGGGAATTGCGCTGGCCACTAGTTGGGTATTGCGGGTTAGGAGTTGCAACATGTAAAGAGACGAAGACGACCAGACTTCCTTGGATGACGTGGATTGGGCTTCCTCGTGCTGCGTTTGGAGGTCTTGTATGTGCTGTAATTGGTCTTCGCCCTGGAGTATTTCTTCTTCTTCACTGCCTTGTTCTTGTTCCTGTTCATCCGTCTGCTCATGCCCAGGCGTTGAGAGTTCCGATGCCTGTTTTCGTTTATACTCCGCAATGTCATTTATCGCTTGAGCTTGAGCTAAGGGATTTGTATGTCGAACGCTAAATAGACAGGTACCGACGCCCGCATGCTTGATCACAAAGTGATCCATTTTGAATAGTCCATGCGATATTACCCCAAAAACATAACTCGGGCGAGTCTCCGGGTCTGGAAATACCTGTTCATTCACTTGCTCCACAACCCCTAGCCCGTTATGCACGAAGACAATGGTAGAATACGGTGTGAGACGATGCTTGACAGATTCAAGAACGTATTTAACCCTCGTAGCTTTTGACGCAACGATCAGATTATAGATGATTTCACCATCCGCAGCTGCTGGATCCCGTTCAGAATAACCGCCCGCCATCTTTTGTTCCTTAGCCAATTTTGAATCTTGGGGCACATAATGCCAAACATCATCTCTTTTAACATTTATTTCAAACCCCCATCTGTGCTCTGCTAGTCCATTTCGCACCAATGTTATCCGCTGCCTGTTCTTTTCCCATTGCTCAAGTTTCTTGGGGTTGTGTAGCAAGAGTGTTATTGGTGGTGGGTTTTTTGCGCCTGCTAATGCGTGAGCTAAAAACCCTCCAATATTTCCCACGCCAATGATATGTATTCGCGATGGTATCCTCTGTTTCAGGAGAGGAGGTGGGGATTTTCCAGGCGCATCGTTGTGTCGTCGATGTGAACAGTGGAAAAAGCGTACGGAAAATAGGCCTGTGCTGATCGTATCAGGACATCTTGAGAATAGTTGAAAAGCTGTCAAGCCAACCCGCATCGCGATAGATGCACATCTAGCAACCTCAGGTGGCGCTGGGTGTATATAGACTGTCAATTGGGATCCTTTGGTATTCTATTTGAAGCAGAATGCTGCATCGGAGGACGGAGATCCGGAGATGATGCTTAGGGATATGCAGATTGCTAGCGGTTAATATTCATGTGAAACCCTAGGGAATACTCCGGTGAGTCTCTATCCGGTTATTTCTTGCTGATGCTTGCAATTGGAGAATGTCGGTGTTTATGTGCGTGTGTGTGAAGTCGGTCCGTAAAACTTTTCAATTTACTGCGTATATACAGAACGTTCTCTGCAAAGAGTTGTGATTACCGCGGTTGACACTAGATCTTCAACCAACAAGGTTATATATTGATTTCTCGCTGTTAATATTTCATGAAAATCCGGTACCTAACCTTTCTTTGTTTCAAAAACAATCTACAATACAACGAAGTAGAGGTTGCAAAACGAAGCCTCGAAACGTTATTGTGCTCGTGTATTTATCACTATGACGCTTTAAGTCCACTTGGTCACTGCTGACATAATCCACGGATTCCAAGGACTCCCAAGGATTTTTTATCTTCTGATAGCAACAAGGACAAGGCAGCTTCAACAACCTCACACCTCGGCAACTATGGAGACAGCAGACTTGATGCCGCTGCTAGAGCAGCTGGAGGATGATATCGATGACCTGGAGGAGGCCCTCGAGCCTTTCCTAGGCCAATCTTTGTCCTCCACTACGCAAAAAATGCCGGTGTTGGACAAGGCGAAGCTGCATGTTCTCGTCACCTATGCTATTGAATCAATACTTTTTGGTGCGATATTCCTTTTTTAGCATAACGCTATCGCCGTGTAGCATTATCTGAGCGACCATGCTAACAAGTGCGATAGGTTATTTGCGCCTTCAGGGTGTAAATGCTAAGGAGCATCCAGTTTTTAAAGAATTGACCCGGGTTAGACAGTACTTCGAGAAGCTCAAGGCAGCGGAGACTGTTCCCGAGAAACGGACGATGTCCATAGACAAAGAGGCTGCTGGACGTTTTATAAAACATGGACTGGTCAGGTCCCTTATCTCCTTAAATGATCACTACCTAACCATTATTTATCTGTTTTCTTTGTTATGCGAAATAGACTGGAAACGATAAGTACGACCTGGAGCGGGCGGAAAGGGTAGCAAAGGAAAAAGCCATGGCGTTGTTAAAGGCCGCAAAGCTGGCGCGGCAACAGGCGTCCCAGTCTCCAGCCCAACCATTACCACAATGTCAACCCCAGGCGCAGCCCATGGCTCGAAACCCAACTTCCATAGAACAAGAGAAACCTTCGGGTATGTCCTCCAAATCGGAAACAACAGAAGACCAAGGCAAGGAGCAACCTGTGAAGTCTACCTCACCGGTTGAGCAGCCGATGTCCAAAATAGCCAAGAAGAAGCAGAAAGCTAAGGAAAAGATGCAGGCACGGAAGCAGGAGCGCAAAGCGCACAAACAAGCCATAAAGAGGCAGAAGAAAGCTGCGAGCAAACAAAACACCCACCATAATCGGTGATATATGAGCTGTTGTTTATACTGGGAACCTTTTAGTTAGAGCAAACGATCGATATATGGCGTTGGTTCTCTATGGGTTGTGCCAGTAATACGGACCTGGCTCGAAAATCCTGATAGTGATTGGATGCCATTTGTTTATTTGTGACGTGGGACGTCCATTCTCCATCGATCAAGGAGCTTATACTAGCTCCAAGCGAGTGTGTATCGAGTCGATATTCATTTGGGTGGTGACCATTCATGTTCGTGCTCGGGAACCACTCCAGCACCATCATTCTCGGCGACTGGCAGAAGAGGAATGTGACATGCAGAGGGGTGTTTGAGGAGGATTTAATAGACTGTTTGGGCGGAAGAGCTGGACAATGAAGTTTGTGGCATCATGCTGTGCAGTTTTTCAGAGATAGATAGACCTGCAGACTATACCATATAACCTTACCCTGGTAATTCTTTTACATATCCTAGGTATCTAGGGTACATTATGGGTATACTGTACCTTTATTTCTCCGTAACCACTGGCAGTATTACTTCATATCCGTATCAATCTTCATCCACAGCAGAGAAAAACATAGAAGGAGAGGTAACGGCAATGCCTTAAATCGTTTTGCATCCTCGGCCCAATTGTTGCTTTGTCTCAACCAATCGCAGCTCATCAAGCTGTCTCTCCGGCCCGACTATTCTCCACGGCCCTTGAGGCGTCTAAAACTTACCCGTATTTTAAAATCCATCACCGGTTCGAACCATCTACAACTTTCTCTAAATTTCACCTCATCGCATTCATCGCGTTCATCGCATTCGATTTCTTCTGCCATCAACTACTTCTCTATACCCTTCCCTACACCCAAATAACTATCGCGTCCTCCTCCTACCTTCTCAAAAATGGCTCGCCAACGTCGTGGTGCTGCTCCTGTGCGCAGTGCCCCAGCAAGACCAACCGCTGCTCCCGCTAAACCTGCTCCCGCCACTCAACAGCATCGCCCAGCTACCACTGCTGCTCATCCTCCAGCCGTCGCCCCAGGCGCGCAACCTCCAGCTTCCCAGGCTGCTCCCGTCCAACAGAGCGCCGGACCAGGCCTGTTTGGCCAGATGGCCTCCACCGCTGCGTAAGTATCTCTATACACACTAGAAAACATTAGAACCAAATTATGAACAAGAGGGGGAAAAGAGACAGAGCATACTAATGGAACTCATATATAGCGGTGTCGCTGTGGGCTCTTCCATTGGTCATGCCATCGGCGGCCTCTTTGGCGGCGGCTCCAGCGCACCAGCTGAAGCTCAACAGGCACCACCGCCTGCTGCTTCCCAGTCAATGGATAGCGGACTGTACCAAAGCAACAGCGCTACCAGTGGGTGGGCTGAGACACCTGCGTGCGAGACCGATGCAAAGGCGTTTAGAAAGTGCATGGACGACAATCAGGGCAATATGAGTATCTGCGGGTGGTATTTGGATCAACTGGTACGCTATTCAGACATAATTGGATTATTTATCTCTTTTGAATGTTATGATTATGATTGCGAATGCTAATTTTTCATGCAGAAAGCTTGCCAGCAGGCTGCTAAGCCATATTAGAAGGACGAAGTCGAGCAACGTTGTCCGTTGGGATTTTTCCGGCATGTCGTAAAGGGGGTGGGCCGGATGAAAGATATGGCATAGCGTGTGATAGATATCCTTATCAATTTGTATAGCATACCATTCGACCAGGATTCGGGTTGTATCCTGTCACGTTGTTCTTTTTGTACTCTATACTACAAACACTCGTGGTGCCCAAAAGAGAGAGCCCTGGCATTGACACCGTAGAGATACTCATGCAATAGAGAAAAATGGAGGGGAAACCAGCAAGACAACAAAAAATCATCTCATTTCTGACCGCGATTATTCCTTCTGATATTAATAGTATGCTGCAGTCGTGATCAATGAAAGTGTCCAGACGCCATATATACGGCACGACGGAAGTAGATAAATGCAGTCCGCCCCAAAGCCATTATAAACTAAAGAAAATACACCAGGCTTCACTAGTAAAAATAACAGGGGGTTTATTCATGAGTTAAAAAGATAATTTGCCGGGTAACAACAGTTCTAATCCTGGTGTTCATCCTTGCGGGGTTCGAAATTCAGCTGTGGAGAGCAGGGAGAGCGGGGAGCGTCAGCATTCTTCACCTATATTGTAGAAAGAGGCATCCAGCGTGCAGAAATACCAAAAACGAGGATATACAATACCTGATTTCCATTATAGAATTGATGTTGCTTTCCATTATCATCATTGTCATATAAGGTTCTCACATTCGATCTTCCATTGCTCCTCCCTGGCTGCAAACCAGTTCCAGCCGGAGTCTCCGGAGTTCGTGGCTCATTTGCTACAGCAGAAGCGTCTCCAACGGGCCCTTGAGACAACCCCAGGACCGAACGTATGGCACCCGCCACAGCACCAACCGTGCTGCTGACGAGGGTATAACCGGCATATAGCCCCCGCACAGGGAGGGAGAGTCCCACAGACGAATATGCATCTGTGTAGCTGCGCACGGGAACCATAACTAGATTTGAAGCCGGGCCGAGACCAAGCTCCTCAAGCGTCTGGTGTTCCTCCGAGTCCGATATGTTCCGGCTGGGGAACGGGGTGAGGATCTGTTTTAAATTATACGGCGCGTTGCCATCGGAGCGCTGATTATCTAACCACGGTCTAACGTCGCGTTGGATTGTTTGAGTGGGTGAGAAACTTGAGCGAACTGAGCTTCCGTCGAAGAGCCGTATTTGTAGGCGGAATTGGTTTGATGTACGTTGTGGCTGTGGATTAGCTGCCGGTGTGGGGGGGCTGTTTTCGCTCCTGGTTGAAGTCATCGATTCTCTGCGAGATTCTTGCCTTTTCCGCTCCTCATTATCTAGACTAATCTGATTTAATATTTGATCATGCTCTTCTTTTTTCTCTCGTTGTCGTTTCCGTTGTTCTAACTTCCAGCTTTGAGCTTGCGATTCAACAACTGGTAGGGGCTGTTGTGATTCGACATCTGGGATCATTTCAGCTCGTCGTTTGCCAGCCCGTATGATTGCCCTCCTTGTCCTCTCAGCTGTTCTCTGCTCCTCTGTGGCTTCCGAGTCATCGTCTGAAACAGGTGTTGCAATAGGTGAGGATGAGGATGGTGTGTTTTCTGCCGGGGGGGTCTTGTTGTCCATTTGGGGTGGGTTTGGGACTACCTGAGGAGCTGGAGCTGGAATTGGAGTTTGAGGAGAGGGGTCTTCAAGTGCTTTCTCCAATCGACGTTTGAAATCCCTCCCATCAATTCCAGACACGAGATATTCTCGAAGTGCGCCGTTTCTAAGAACAGTTGTTAGCTACATGTCCGTAGATTAAACGCAACACGAGACACTTCTCACTTGATAACCACCAAAGTTGGCACCTTGTTTATAGGGCAGAACGAGGCCAGGTAACCTGCTTCCACAGAGCCCTCCTGGAGCCGTAGAGAAATTGCTGTCTTCTTCATCAATGATGAGATCTAGTAAAATCGGTGGCAAGTGTTAGTCCCGGCTACAGCGCGCACTCGTCATGCATCAGTAATTTAATACACAAAGTACATACCTCCTCATCCGCTAGGTACTCGTTCTCCCATTTCGAGCTTTCATCTGCCTCATCTACATTTTAAATGCGTTGCAAAAATGCGCCGTAGTTATCAGCATATATATAGGTGTAGTTGGTAAAGGGTAGCTAAACATGGGGAAGCGGCAGCTAAAGCGGATGGATGGGGTCAAACCTTTGACCAGACAGATAACATGCTTTGCCTCGCTGACCGCGAGGGCTATACCGCTCTGCAAATCTCCTTCGTAAAACATGGTGGGGACATAAAAGCATGGAGAATGCGAGTCTTGTTTCTTGCACATGAAGCTATACTGGAGTTTTCCATGGGTTGTTTCGATAGTTATTATTTAGTCAGCGCACAGCCCAACCTCGGCTTTTTCCGACTCGAACTTTCAACTGCGACATTTCAACATTAGCAACATACGCTGTACTTTTGTGTATTTATCTATTTCAACACCAATAATTCTCTTGAAGCACCAGTCTTTCATTTTCAGACTCAGGAGGAACACCCCCTTTTTTTTGTTTTTGTTTATTTATCAATTTATCTTCTTGTATCGATTTACGTTTCAGATGAAGCCCTCCTTTCCCCCGCTACAGAGATTTGCAGCGGCAGTCTCAGGTGCAACCTTGCAAGCAACGACACGCAGATTGAACGCGAAGTCAATTTGTTCGCGGTGCTGGAGAAAACAACAAGTTCGCTTTGCCCATCAGCCTGCTGATGAACCCAACTGGATGTCGGTCGTGGACAATCCCGCAAAGCTGGTAAGAACAGGGAGGCGGCACGGTCCCGGGTTGATAATTCTAGGTACGTTACCTGAACACACACATATACACACACACATATATATACAAGCCTTGTGTTCCAATGGCTAAATTTACATTGGTTTAATTATATCTTAAAGCTATCATACCCATAACCGCATTCGCACTGGGTACATGGCAAGTCCAGCGTCTGGACTGGAAAAGCAAACTTATCGCCAAATTCGAAGATCGCCTCGTAAGACCCCCTTTACCGCTTCCTCCCGTCGTCGACCCAGACGTTATATCAGAATTCGACTATCGCCGTGTATATGCCACCGGCCGTCTCAGACATGACCAAGAAATGCTCCTCGGACCTCGTATGCATGAGGGCAAGGATGGATTCCTGGTCATCACTCCGCTAGATCGTGGTAAAACAGGGAGCACGGTGCTCGTGAATCGGGGCTGGATTTCGAGGGATCTTCAGAACCAGAAGGACAGGAAGGCGGGGCTGCCGGAGGGTGAAGTTACCGTGGAGGGATTACTGCGCGAACCCTGGAAGAAAAATATGTTTACGCCGGATAATAAGCCTGAAGAAGGGAAGTTTTATTTCCCAGATGTAGAGCAGATGGCAGAGCTCACGGGAAGCCAGCCCATTTGGATCGAAGAGACAATGAGTAAGAATCATGCTCCCGCCAGTCCAACCAATTTCTTTCCTTATTTTCCAGAAACCAAGTTGCGAAGAGCTAACAGCGGACTTTTGCAGAACCTGAACTTCTTACCATATACCACAGGGAAACAAATGGCATCCCCATTGGACGTCCACTTGAGGTAAATCTGAGGAACAACCACGCACAGTACATCGCAACATGGTAGGTGGTTTCTGTCCTATACCTCCTTCCACGTCTCTGTTGGCTTAAAGAATAATTGCTTCCCTAGGTACGGTCTGTCATTGGCAACAACGATAATGTTCTGGATGATTGTTAAAAAGAAACCGAATGAGATAACCAGGCGGATACGACATAATAAAAGCTGGTAACTCTGAAACAGAGGAATCTCTCCGCTCTTTATACCCACGGGTGATTATATTGAGAAAGCGCCTTAATTGGCATCCGGGAAACTTCAGCGTTTTGGAAGACGGATATCTTGCAGAAGCTCTTTGGGTAGGTGTTTTTGAGCGAGTGCAAACATCGTCGTGTTTTTGCCGATACGTCGTTGCCTGCGTTCCATGTTAGGATTTATTAGCTTCCATTTCTATGTTCATATCTGAAAAACGAAAGTGAAATCTGGGAAGTCAGAGGCACCCTTCCTCTTACCTCCTCATGAGTGTTATGACATCCGTCTCATCGATAGTCTTTCTGCCTGCGTGCTTCGCATACGCTAAGAGATCATCACTCGCTTGCTCAAAATACCATTCTGTTGCCTGCTCAATAGCAGCGAGTGTCTCCTTGCTGATTCTCGACTTTCCTCCATTTCCACTCCTGGCAAACCGGGTGGCTAGCTTTTTTACTACCCCAGACGGTAAACGTGGCATGGGAATCCCATGCCGTGATAGCTTCTTTTGCTTGCTACCTTTCACTTGTTCTTGGGGTACCGGTTCGGGACTGCTTGAAGGGGGTGCGGGCTTAGAATAGTCATCCGGCATCGCGAGCTCAATACCCTCCCCGCCGACCACGCTGTTGAACGACGGAAAGCCTTCATCCATGTCAAGTTTTGCATCAAGCGCAAAATCTTCTTCATTAACGGGTTGATGTCCGGTAATCCCAGCAACCGTTGCGTCAGGAGTCGGGAAGGAAAAGTCAATGTTGAACCGTCGCAAGTCCTCAGTTTCGCCTCTTTTTTGCATAATCAGCCTCAACTATATATATAGAAAGAATCCCATGACTCTTACCCTGCGTCGAAAAGCGGTTGTCCCGTTGTATCAGCTCCATGGTCATCGTCCTCATCTTCATGTGCAACCGTATAGTCTTCTTCTTCAAGATCTTCCATTCTGCTGAGATCACCAAAGCGGTCACTAAATCGGGTGCTGCCCAGACTTACCCTGGAGAGGGTTGCCCGGTCCCGTAAACTGCGATCTCGCCTTGCGAATTCAATGGATGTCGTCGTGAGTTCAGCATCTTCATCGAGAGCTAACGATAACCTTGGAGGCGTTATTTCCGGACTACCATCACCTTCCGGAAGCATTTCCCTGAGTGGTAGCGAAAGCCTGGGTCTTGGAGGATCTGGCTCTTCATCTAGATCATCGACTACAGGTTTCGGCTGTGGTATCTCCGGTTTTTCTGTTGGTGATGATGAGACTGTTCGAGTGTTGGGGGCCAGAACTACATTTCTCACAAAAAGGAGATGTTTATTTCAGCAAAGAACTACCTCTCATCGTAGCACGGGGTATTGCCATCCCAATAACCGACCTTTCCCAAGATTCCTCAGTATATCCATTGGCGTTTCTCTTTGCACACGTCCACTTTTCCTTCTATCGCGACCAGGAGTATATGTAGCTGCGCGTCTTTGTAACGCCCGTAAGGCGTGGGGAGTTGCAGGGGCAGCATTTCCGCCCACATTTGTACGGGGTGTACGTCTTGCCGAAGCTCGGTTTGCCGAGAGCAGAGGACGGGCGGAAGTTTGGGAGGGCGTTCTTGGGTCTCTTATGGCGCCAGCAAGCTGGTGCAACTGAAATGTTGTTTTATCAAAAAAGTGAATATATTAGCTAAAAATGTCTTTATTCTACTTGCCGTTCCCAATCAACATTAACGTACGGCATTGAAGGGGCTCTGTGAATCCGTAGAATTTCCATTCCGCGCAGTTCGAGGGGTTCTGCTAATGCGGTCTCTGGAAGGTGACGACATGATCAAAGTCTGGTGTCAATTTTTCATCACATGTAATATAGCATAGAAAAGCTAGAGTAATATATTAGCTGGTAGGTTCATAGTCAGAAGCAAAAAGAAAACCGGTGAATTGGCTCCATTGTGACGCGTTGAGGCATCCAAAGTGTTTGTTTTGTTCTCGCAGTTTCGAAGCTTTGAAAGAGAATCTGCGCTAAGTTAGTAACCAACTAACGTAATCCACCAACGAGCGAGAACCCCCAACGAGCGAGAGATTAAATCGCTGTAGCTCAACTAACTAGATTTTAACCTGAAATATCTACGCCCAACAACCTCTAATTGAATTAAACTAAATTACAATAGGACTAGGGCAGCTTCTTCTTGTGTGGTCTACAATATGGCAGTTTGTACACCTTGGTGGTGCCTGTAAATGTGGTGCCAGCTCTGGGGCTGTAGGCCCAGAGGGTTGAGTATCTGGCTGTTCAACAGGCTCAGCAGATGGAAGAACAAGAGCCTGAGCTTCTTCTCTAGTTATGCCTTCTCCATGTTGAATCTGGCGCCTAGATCTCTTGTGTTTTTGCTTCTCTTTCTCATTTGTAGCAAATATATCCTGATATTGCTTCTTCATACTATTAAAAATCATTTATAGGAATAAAGCTCATTCTGATATATTAACTAACTCAATTACAGTTACTCATTCTCAATTTCTAAATTATAAAAGCTTTGTCCAGCTGTAACACTCATAATTAGTAATAATCTTAGCAGTTGTGCAGAGCTTTATTGCAAATTCAGTTTCATCAAAATTGTATATATCTTCAATCTGAATATCATACTCAGTAATTATATCTCCTATAGTTTTAAATCAATTCTTAATAATCTTAATATCTTCACACTTTACTCATTCATGATTATAGTATCTGAAATAGTGACATTGAAGCTCTGTACAATATTTAATCAATCTGAAACCTTAGTTCTTGTAGAGGGTTAAGCTCTAAGAACTAGAAGCTAGTCCTCCTATATAACAAAGACAAATTGCTTGGGAAAAGGAAGAAAAGAATGAGATGAGAACATGAGCTTAAGCAAGCTCATGTAGTATGATTATATGCATATGTGCAAATGATGGCTAGGCTGAGTCAACTAGCCAGAGTGAATCTAAGAGTTCAGCCTCTTATAATACCCTCCTTCTCCCTCTTTGTTGCAGGTCTTTATGACTATTTAAAGCTTTCTTTACATCTAATTTTGCCTGCTGAGAGGCCTCCCAAGTGTTCAAAGCCTTTACTTCTTATAGGAGACTCATGTCATTCCATGTAGGCTCAGCCCAACCTACTTATTTAATAAGGTATTGCTTTTTCCTCTAGTAGGTTTGTTCATCTCAAATTTCCTCAATCTCAAACTTAGGTCCTTCTGAAATCTCTATAGTGAGTGACTGTCAGTCAGTTTGCCTCTGACTAGGCAAGAAATCTGTTGCCACTACATGTAAAAGCTTTACATTAAAGACATTGTGAATGCCAGGTGAGACATTCAGTTGATAAGCATGAGATTCTATCTTTTCTAGCACAGTATATTGATTGTATTTTGCATTCAGCTTCTTGCATAGATGATTAGTTCTCATGTTCTCTAAGCTCAATCAGACCTTATCTCTGAGTTGAAAGCTTAGAGCTGAGTCTCTTCATCTATTCACATAGTTCTTTTGAGATTGCTGAGCATCTGTCATTTTTACTTGAGCTCACTTCAACACTTCACAGGCCTTTCTCATATAATTATCTGCAAACTCAATGAGATTATGTGGTGTTTCAACAGAGAGTGCATCAGCTATATCAATGAAGGAGATATGGAAAAGATGTATTAAAAAAAATAAGCTCATGCCTATTGAGGCAACATCTCTATTATTGATGATCAGCTCTGTCAGAGGAAGTCATTCACATCAGTCATCCTGTTGAAAGCTAATATACTTATGTAGATAGATTTTCAGAGTCTGATTCATTCACTCTGTAGCTCTGTCAGTCTCTGAGTAATAGACTGTAGAAAGTTATCTTTTAATGTCTAATTTCTCACATATCTGAGTTCAAAACATGCTTGTGAAAGCTGATTCTCAATCTGACACTACTGTCTTAGAGATGCTATGTTGAGAGATGATGTTGTGAAAGAACACTCTAGTCACTGTCTCTACATCATTTTTCTTAACTGCTTTTAATATAACTCTCTTAGTCAGTCTGTCTGTTATAATCATGATGTTTGTGTATTCTTTAAAGCTTGATAAGTTTACAATAAAGTTCATAAAAAGCTCTTGCTATATGTGTTCAAGAATGAGGAGAGGCTTAAGCAGTCTCTGATGTTGATCTCTTCATGTGATGTTTAATCTGTAAAGATGACAGTTTTTGATCATTCTTCTCACATCAGTGGCATAGCCTGGCCAGTAGAACTCACATCTTAGAACTTCTGCCATTTGCTCTCACCCAGGATGGCTGGTAAGAGATGAGTCATGAGCCTTATACACTAACCTGATTCAAAGAGGTTTGAAGTCTGGCACTTACTTACAATTTTGAAAGAGAAGTTTCTCATTCTCATTTAAAGAGCACTCAGAAATGAAGGCCTTAATGCTGAGTTCAGAAGAAAATCTGAATCTTCTCTTATGAAGAATTTGCTTCAAATGCTGCAGAATATTATTATTTTTGTGAGTCTCATTTCACTGAGTTTGAAGAGACATCTCAGATTTCACACTGGCAGCAGTCACTATTGATTTCATTTCAGGTGTCAGTATATTAAACTTAAGTAGTTGAGCTTGCCTCTGCTTGATTCTCTCATCATCAGTGCTCTGTGACATGTACTACTCTCTTTGTGATAGGGTGTCTGGTTCAGCATTCAACTTCTCTGACTGGTAATCAATTCTAAAGTTGAATCAATAGAGAATATCTATCTAACATAGCTGTTTTTCATTTAGTCTGTGTGTAGTCATGAAGTATTCTAGATTCTTATGATTTGTGAGAATCTTAAATTTCTTTACACTTCATAGCTCAGTGTTCTATTCCTTTAAACACTCAATTATCACTAATAACTTCTTATCATGAATCTCATAGTTGCATTCTGCAGGTGAATACTTGTGAGAGAAGAAGGCACATGGGTGTAGAATGCTCTGCTCATCATATTGTAGCAGCACTCCTTCTGAGATGTAACCTGAGGAGTTCATTTTCAATATAGTCTCACAATCAGGGTCAAATTGAAGCAAGATTGGAGTGGAGATAAACATTGATTTTAGATATTTAAAAGCTTCCTCAGCCTTGCTCATCTATAAAAAAGAAATATTCTTGCATGTAAGAATCATCAGTGAGATTATGATCTTTGAGAAATCTCTAATAAATTATCTATAAAAATTGACAAAGCTTAAAAATCCTCATATATCTTTAAGAGTAGTAGGTGTTGCTCATTTCAAAACAGCTTTAACCTTCTTCAGATTCATTCATATACCCTTGTCTACTTCAATGATGAATTCAAGATGTTTTGTGCTGTTCATCTTGAACTCACTCTTTCTGATATCTGCTTGCAAGCCTGCTTCCCATAGACATATAAGCATCTTTTGTACATACTTGTGATACTCTCATAAGCTTCTTGAGGAAAATATCAAGATGTCATCTAAATAAGCTGAGCAGAAGTTGTCCAAATATCCATGTAATGCCCAGTTGATATATTTTTGAAATGTACTCAGAGTATTGGTCAAATCAAAGGGTGTAACCAGCTACTCAAATAGCCTGTATTTAATTCTAAGGACTGTCATTCACTCATCACCTTTTATAATTTGAATCTTGTGAAAAGCTGCAATAATGTCCAGCTTAGTGAATCATTTAGTCTGTTCAATTTACTGTAAAGTCTCACTGATTAATGGTAAAGGATATCAATCCTTTCAGGTGATTTTGTTAAGAGCTCAATAGTTCACACAGAATCTTAGCTCACCTCCAGACTTCTTTGTGAATAGTACAGAGGTGGCTGCAGAGGAGTTGCTTATTCTAATAAAACCCTTATCTATATAATCTGTAAGAGTCTTTCACAAAGCCAGTAGTTCCTCTTGAGACATATTATATAATGAGCTCTAAAGGGGTTATTCTGTGCTACCATCAGCCTTTTTAATCAGTTCAATCCCATGATCTCTACCTGAGCCATGAAGTGGGAGTAGAGTGTTAGCAGCTTTCTTATCAAATATGTCCAAAAACTCATGATAATGTTCAGGCAGCTTTTCTCTAAAATCAATCTTTGATTTCACTTTTAGAGCCTTTTAAATATCAGTCAAACTGACAGTGAAAATCTTGATGTTTCACTTCTCTTGAGTGCTCACAAGCCTAGAGAAGCTTACAGCAGAGATGGGAATCACATCAGCTTTTGCATTTGAACTAGACTCTACCTCTATGTCACTTTCTTCAAATCTCACAATTCTTCAATGAGAGATCATGGTCATCTTTTGCTGGGCCAGCCAGAGGTCACCTAGATACATATCATGACCATGTAATTCATTCACCATATAGAGAAAGGCTTATTCAGTTACATGACTGTCTATATCAATTTGAATGCCAGTCACTATGCTCATGGAGAGTCTCATGAAGTCTTCAAAGCTGGTCATTTTAACAGAGAGAATTTCAATGCATGGGAGCTTATACTTGTTAATGTAGAATTGAGAAATAAGATTATAGACATTACATCTGCTGTCTATCATTGCTCTAGTTGAAAAGGCATTATCTACTAGAGCATCAACAGTGAAGAGTTTAAATATTATCTTAAATTTAAATCTTCTTTATTACTTTCTCATAAGCTTTTTATTTCACTCCTTTTAGTGTCTTTTGGTTGAAGCTACTCTTTTCTCAAATCCTCACTCATATCCACATCATTGTCATTCAGTACTGGCTTGAAGATCACCTTAGCTATTGTGGAGGTGGCAGGATGTCTGAGAGATTTAAATGAGTAGCTCTTAATCATATGATCTCTGACTCTGCATTTCAAGCACAGACCTTGCTCTCTTTGTCAATTAACCTCTGTCT